AATAAATGATTTTCGCGCGCCTTCTGGTTCAATAATGTTTTCGATCTTCTATACCATTTTGGAGAAATGATTTTTTTCTCGATATCCTGCAAATCCGGTTTTTAAATTTTTAAAAATACTTCCCGACCCCCCAGCAGCCCCAATTTCAATAGGTTTCTAAACTCTATATTTGTGGCCACTTTGAAATCGATAGCTGCAAATCTTGGACATTTTCATACGAAAAACAGACGAAAATCGCAAAAAAAAGACAGCTTATAATAATAATAAGCTTATGTATCTCGTGGGCAGCAAAATTTCAGCATCAACGGTTCCAAAGTTATTTGAGTTTTTATGAAGCGTCTACGAGAACGAAGAACGGAGAAGGGACAGACAAAAAAATTAAAACGTTTTTTTCGACGCTGATTCCATCTGTACCAATGGCGACGCTGTACGACGCTCCGTTTCCGAGATATGAGTTTCGTTGCCAAGCGCGTATACTTTCGAAAAATTCGATTTCGTCGATTTTTCGAAAGTAACAATAAAGTATGTAGATTCAAATACCTTCGATCTGGTTGATAACAATTTTTCGGAATGTTACATGTAAGAAAAAACTAAAAAATTTAAGAAAGTTTTATGTTATGAAAATAAATATTACTAGTATGACTCCACACGAGTAAAGTGTGTTTGAGGGTTTATTATGATATCTACGCTGCCCTTTCAATATTTTTATTTACAAGATTTCTCTCCTAGTACAGGCGATTATTGTACTGAAATAGAAAAATCAAGGAACAAAAAAAGGCAACGGGATATGGTAATGATTTTAGGATATTCGATTCGAGCATAGTATATTTCAAACTTCTCTTGACTGCAAATCGGCGATATCATTAGGCAGTAACAGGAAGCTCCCAACTTCAATTTTAATAGAGCCTCGGAACAAATCGAAATTCATTTTAAATTCAAATCCAGGGTTTCGGTTTATGTGGAAACTTTACCCCGTACGCGGGACTTCCTAAAACCACCGACGTGTTAATCCGCCGTGCAACAGAGAGTCCTTATTGTCTTTTCCGAGCACGACCTTGTGACGCGAAACTTAATGGAGGGTAAAATGAGAGTCCACACTCTGAAATAATTCGACAATTCCGCCCACCAAGATTTCCCGACGCCTTTTAATTCCGCTAAAAGAAACGCTCCATTAAACCAGCCGTTTTTCCCTTTTTGCTTTGGTTAAGGTGCAGACAGGATTATAATGCATATATTAAAACTGGAGAGAAACTTTATACAGTACGATATGAACAACCTTTAGAATAATAATGATAACAATAAAGAGACTTAATGTATAATCGTATTTTTGTTAAATGGATATAATAATAATAACATTAATCGTCTTGATTAACCCCGAAAGAAATATACCTCTGAAGAAATAGAAAAATACAATGCTTGCATTAAAAGAAATGGAACTCCACGAGGGACGCATTAAGATCTCATCCTCTTCAATCCCTCTATTAAGTCTCTATAAGTCTCCAGCTGAATGAAATATAGATGGGAAAGTAATATTATGTGCTGGTGATACTGTGATTGTTTTCGGCGGTACTTCATATCAGGCTAGACGAAAATAAAGACACAGAAGGGCATTGAGCTGATTAAAAGATGGATTGATAAATACAAACTATCACTAAATTTTCCAAAAATCATAAAGTGGCCTGTGCTATGAGTCACTGCAATAGTATATTATGCAACAAGTGCGGTAAACGACATTTGACTCACGAGTTTATTTGGCACGGGCGAAACGAGTGTTTGATAAACGAGTGAGTTAAAAAGTTTACCGAACTTGTTGCATACCAGTCAACAAACGTTATTTTTTTTGTTTTACATTTACAATTGATCATTAAGTAGTATATTTAAAGCAAAAGACTGTAATTGGAAGGAAAATCATGCAAGAATAGAGCTTTTAAGAGGATTATCTTTTTAAGATCGTATTAGCAAGAAAAAACAATTTTGTGTTGTTTGTACTGATCAGACATGGATATTTGAAAATGGTAGAATTGGTTTCTGTTAGAAACATAAATTATAAATGGCACTTTACTTACCGACTTGTCCACTAGATGTTAAATGTAGCTCATAGCACGTAGTATCTAAATTGTCTGATATATTGCATAACATGTTTCTGTGTATTAGTTTTTGAGTACATTTTTGCAGAACACCATTACATTTAATGACATGATCGTCAGAATTGACAATTGTAAAAATTCAAAGCGTGGGAAATATTTCCGAAAACATCCGTTCCCGGTCCCAAACCGGTGCGGTAAAATGCAGGAAAGGTGGCTCGTGGGAAACGAAACTGACGCTTCCCGCACGCTAGAACGGTGGGTAATTAGGTATTTCATAGATGGGAGTAGAAAAATTAGTATATTATGCAACAAGTGCGGTAAACGGTATTTGACTCACGAGTTTATTTGATACGAGCGGAGCGCAGCGGAGCAAATGTTTAATAAACGACTTAAAAAGTTTATCGAACGTGTTGCATACTATACTTTTTCTACGACCGTTAGTTTTTCGGTTCATTTTCGCAAAACAACACGTATACATTCACTGACAGACTGTCAGAATGGACAAACGTCAAAATTCAAGGAGTGCGGGAAGTGTCACTATACCGGGATTTTACCGCACGGGTTTGACAGCAATCTAATGTTTTCGCAGATATTTCTCACGCCTTGAATTTTGACGTTTGTCAATTCTGACAGTCATGTCAGTGAATTTAATCGTGTTGTTTTGCAAAAATGCATCCAAAAACTAACGGTCGTATAAAAGGTATGGTATGCAACACGTTCGATAAACTTTTTAAGTCACTCGTTTAATAAACACTCGCTCCGCTCGTGTCAAATAAACTTGTGAGTCAAATGCCCCACTTATTGCATAATATACTATTTTCTACTCCCCTCTGTAAAGCGTCGTTTTGCCACCTCAATTTCGCTTCCCATGGTTACGAGCCACTTCGGACATTTCCGGGATTTTACCACGCGGGTTTGGGAGCAATCGGATGTTTTCGCTTAAATTTTGATGTTTGTGAATTCTGACGGTCATGTTAGTGAATGTATTCGTGTTGTTTTGCGAAAAAGTATAGTATGCAACACGTTCGGTAAACGGCATTTGACTCAAGAGGTTATTTGACACGAGCGGAGCGCAGCGGAGCGAGTGTTTAATAAACAAGTGAATTGTTCTTGAGCACTTGTTGCATAATATACTATTTGCACACGATTTTTTGTTTTAATTATATACTTAACTGAAATCGTCAATTGTGCTGTAAACTTGAATCATCACAATTTATACAAAAATGCTATATCACATTACTTTCGGTTGATGACTGTAATCAATATGCATCTAGATATCGCGGTTTGTAGATTTTAAAGAGAGGAAGTTCTCAGTAAAATAATTATTTCATAAAATATCTAAACAAAAACCATATATTTAAAAGAAGACGTTTTCCACTTAATAATTTTAGTAATTAAGAGAAGGCCTACTGAAAAAGGAAAACCGCAAAACCGATATCAAAGTAACACGGTCCCCGTGACGCTACAGTTAAGTAAGGCTTTTAAATGTGGGCTGCTTGAGCGGAGGCAAGGAAGTGCTTTGAGAACTCGATCTTTTAAAGTTTCATTTGTAAACGGTTAATTCATTAATACAATATTTTTAAATGATTAGAAGGACTTACCAGTGGCAGATCCAACGGATCCATAATTGGCAACGTCAGGCGAAGTAGGGAGTCCTGTAAATTAGCAATGAACAAAAATTAATTACGATGCTGTGTCTAAATGCGCAATAGATACAAATTTACCACCGGCAAACACGACCAAATTTCAATGCAACATTTTAATTTAAAAAAAAACACTGATCTAGCGCTTTTCTACAGGCTATTTCGTTCTGGACATTATGGAATTGACGTGCAGGTATCGGCTTCCTCCGCATAAATTACATAGAAAACGTCCTGTCAAATTTAAAATAGCGAATGTGGAAAAAAGTATGGAGTGTGACATCGCCGCTGAATGCGGTCCTGTCCACTAGAAAATCAATAATTGTGTTAAGCTGGGCAGCGTGTGGCGGCAACCAGCAAAACTTGAATGCGTTAAACTACTCATCACTGATATTAAAACTGGCTTTGTGACGAATACGTTTTTGGTTGTTTTTTCGCAGTACAGAAGAAAGTTGATGATGATAATACATTTGTGCCTAATATTAAGCATATTACCTGTGGAAAGACCGACTGCCGTTGTGCTGACCGAAGCGACTCCAGCGGCCAATTTTCCTACTTCCCTTAACACTGGAGGAACGAATGGAGGCGATTTTTGGTTATTAACAATGCCACAGAGTCCTAACGAAGTTTTGCTGCCTTTTAATTTTATATTGGGTTTTTGATGACTGGAACTCATTTCAGACTGCACGTTAAAGTCGATTGCACGGGCAATATTTGTACTCATGCGCGGCACTGAATTCTAACCTAGAATTGATTTTGTCACTGCGAATTCACGTTTTTAAAGTGTTGAAAAATCACTTGTGTCTGGTCCCAGTTATTTTTGAAACAATTGTTTCGGTTTTATCGGAAAGGAAAATGTATTTCTTTTGTAAACGAAAGCAAATTTCAAGCTACAAGACTGTGCCTTGCTTCTCTCTCGTATACGCAAATCTATGTTTATCGACTTTTGTGGGGGAAAGCATCAGTTGAGATAAATCCGAAATTGCAGTCTCAGGTGATTGTTGACAATACATACATACGGCAGGTCCGGTTTCGGGTAGCGAATTCAAAAATTGCCATTAGTCCGCAACGTCAGCGGTAACTCTTATTTATTTTATTTTTCTCAATGAGTTAACCTCAAAGTTGAATGATAATTGACGATGGTGGGGAAGCAACATATTTCAAATGCGAATGCCGACAAGTAGCAGTTTGGAAGACTTTGGATGCGGTCGTGTGTGATTATTAAGATACGTGGTATATTTTCGCGGAATTGCATGTGATTTTCTAAATAACGATGACGAATAATAGTTCTGTTCGCCAATACGTGAAACGGATTTTGCGAATTGTCCATGGTTTCGTCGAGGTATTTTTACATTGGTTGTTCGGGTTGGTGTACGGGGGAGCGAAACAAAGTATGCCCCCGATTAAGGATCTATTGTTGCTTGAATCAGCGACAGAAATTGCTATGAAAATACGCAGCGGAAAGGTAATTCAAGTCACGTCGTTAATGGTCGTTGCGTTGAGTGTTCTTATTGTTTTATTTCATTAATTGCCAAGGGTTGGATCATTGGATAATAAGTATGCTTCAAATATTGTGTCATTTTTATCAGATTTTTTATCGCAATTTAAGTTTTGATTTTGGTTCTTTAGTTATTAGATTAGATAAATAGTTATTAGACCGAAGTCCATGGTTTTACCGTGTGATTAAAAAAGTCCCTAAAAATATGGAAAAATCGTTTTCTATTTTTCAGTATTTGTTCTAACAAAATGTTTCAAGACCAATATATTATAAAAACTCAAATTCGTTGCAACTAATTACTTGAAAAGAAAAGAAAAGGTATTTGGTTGGATACATAAAGTTCAAAAACCAGAAATTTAATAATCGAAATTAGTTTTGGCTCAATACAAGTCAAAAGTATAGGTTTTAAGTTAACCAAAATACCTAGAACTAGAATTTTCGAATTGCTTTTAATCCACAAGTCACTTAACTTAAAAAACATACCGATTAATTTCGCAGCATGTTTTAAAAGCAATTAAATTACCCACAATTGTTTTAATCTCTTGTCGGCTGTGAGTCATCTTTATTAATAACAATTAATTGTTACACATAAAAACAATTACCAAGCGGTTATGCATTAAGGTATACCGAGTGGAATAGGTAGGTTTATCCATAGCAAACTCGAAACTTGAATGGCAACGGCGGGATAAAAAAGTGAGGCAAATTTTACAATTCAAAAACACTGCTAGAAAATTTAAGAAATAATATAATAATCTTTTATACTTAAAATTTTTGTCATTTTTATTACCGTATATGACAAAGAAAACAATCCCCATTACTCAAAAATTGTTTCGCACCGAATATTGAGTTAAGAGTCATTATATTTATTAAAGCTAACAATAATTTAATTTCAATTAAAATGAATTTGACGTCGGATACTGTTAGAACTAGATAGGTACCCCTCTTCCAAGTTGGTTCCGAGGTTTATTGTTCATGTTGGGAACATATAGTTGTTCCAGTCAGAAGATACCTTCTAATGACCTAAACAAGCCGTAGAAACTCGAATAGTGATTGAATATTGAATGAATGGTAATTTTTTGCGGATTGTGCGAAATGATAATTGTGACAGATATTTCCATTTGTTTGTAAGCCGCCACTGAAAATTCCAAACTAGAAGCAAGGTTTATTTATTTAATTCAGATGCAATTTAATAATAATTCTTGAAGTGCTTATACATGTAGGTAGTTAAAATACAAACTTTTTCCGTGACAATACTAAATACGCAATGAATAAAAATCGATATTGCCGCTTCGAAGGTAATTGTTTGAGTTGTTAGATTAAATGAACACCAAAATGTCATTTGCGGAAGCGTTATTAAGCACACACCTTATGAAATATTCATACTAAAATAGTAGGTCAATAACAAGAAGATATATTGCTACACACAAATAATGACAGTTTTTTGAAATACAGTCCAAACAAACGGAGACCGCAACCTCGTGAATTGTGGAGAACCGGTGTTTAGAGCGATATAATATATATATATATATATATATATATATATATATATATATATATATATATATATATATATATATATATATATATATATATATATATATATATATATATATATATATATATATATATATATATATATATATATATATATATATATATTTATAATCATCCGTTTATAAAAAAAATACCTTTAACAAATTTTCGGTTTTCTAACGTTTTTTGTTACAATATTTCGAAGTTTAAACAAATATTTATTGGTTAAAAATTAAATTTGAAAAATCATCATGTCAACAAGGTTTCTAAGCTCCCACTTTAAAACTACCATTATTCTCATAACCTTCCTTTCGCCTTTCCGGCATATCTGTTCACAGGTCATAAGATTCTTATTCCGTATCGTTTAATAAATTCCAGTTTCCACTACTCGGGATCTTGAGCCTAGGTATATCAAATTATTTCTGACTGTATTGGACGATCTTTTCATGTTGGGATCTGTATTATTTATGTAGTGACTCTCCCAGAACACCTGGACATTATCTGCCTTCGTCTCCCTCCAAAGCTGTCTTACTTTGGGCTGTATGTCAATCGGCATTATAGGATGATGTTGTAACAAAGTGTAAATCTATTTTTTCATTTCAACCAGGCCACAAAAAAAATCAGGATTCATTTAATTCAATTCATATAATGTTTTTCAAAATATAAATTAATGCATGCTGCGTGAGTACAAAAGATGTAAGTTTCTGAAATTGAAAAACTATTATATTTAAATAAAAATGATAAAACCACCGGTCAGGTTTTGTCGCCTTACTTCACATAGTAATAAATTAAAAATTAAAGTTGATGGCATTGAAAATATACAGGGTGCGCTAAATTAGATGTTTTTACAGAGAAACTCGCCTTTCTAAGGGAAATAGACCAAAATTAGTTGTCGAGCTTTAGAGTTGGTGTTTAGGTTTACGGTGTTTTTCGAAAATGTGTGTTTTTTAAAAAGTGCTGTAACAATGACAATGGCAAATTGGCCACTATTAATCTCCCGAAATTGTCTTTTAAGTGATTTTTTTCGCTCGGGATATTCGTCGCAGTATAAATCGCTTGCTTCTCTGCATTCTTCCGGCTTTCATAAAACGAACCATAGACTAAATCAAACTTCGACATAGTAGCAACCAAATTCACAATTTGAGAATTGACAGTACGCATATTATGACCGCTCCGTCTCCGTACTTGTTGAAAGTGGTAAAAACGCATTTTTACAAGAATTCGACCAAAATATCAAGTAATATATTTTAGAAAGGTAAATTTTTTTCAGTGATTCAAAAATATATATGGTGTCCCATATAAAGAATCGATTTTCCTGTAGGCTATTATTAATTAATAAGTAATTAAATTATGCATAAGTGGCTGCTTTGAAAACTTGTCATAAAAAAACACAAAATTTTCCATAGCTGAAAAGGTACAGCCACTTTTATAAAATACACATTTTTGAAAAATACCCTAGATCACAGTTCTAGAGTATTTTTCGTACCGTTTTTACCAGTTTGTTTTTTATAAAAATCAAGCTCCGGATAAGGGCAATTAGTTTTCGTCCATTTCCTATAGAATATACTTATACATGTAGGTAGTTAAATTACGAACCTGCTCGAATTTTAAAAGTCTAAAGATCTTTCAAAATAAATGATCATAAAAATTATTTGCTGAGATTCGGGCTCTAAAAAGCTGAATTGTGAAACGATTCTCCAACCTATTTTGTCCACACTGCGATTTATCTTTTCTTTATTGTTTCATTCTCATTTAGCTTTTCTCGGATCGCTTCAGAATTTTAATTTGGTTGGCAAACATTTGAAGAGTGCGCAATTATAAGACTCTTCCCTTTAGTTATGAGATTTTTTATGAAAATATTGAAATAATATTTGCAGCGTAATGGAATCCAGACGTAACGTATTCCGAGAGTAGACGGTTTATCAATACAATGAGATTACATCAGAAATAGAACCGCCCACGAATGGAAAATTGTGCTGCTACTCATTTTGTTTATCGTACGTGTTGGTTATTCTTTCGCTTTCCGTTGTATATTCCAAAAACAATTGATTTAACACAAAATTGGGGCGGAAGCACGACCAATTGACGATACCTGTAGCATGTTGATGCGTGATTTACGTTGACATTGAACTGAAAGAGCGCCGATATTGTTTATCATATTTTCGAGTCGTAGCATGTTGCTAATTTAATACTTCCACAATACGCATCTAAATTGAGCTAAATTGCTAAAGTACGCCTACGCGGCCAAGTTAATAGGGGAATTACATGCAAAACTCTTCTGGCATTGTTAGAAAAGGCAATGGTTATCGACACAAGGATATCTCGGCTAATAACCCATGCATATCTACAAAAATAACTCTGAATGGTGTAGTAGGTGTTTTAAGTGTTAGGTTTGTTCATTTTACGCAATATACAGAAAATCAAATTAACGTCATTTCAAACCTTGGCGGCCTAAAACCTGAGCTTGTTTATGACGGTCATCATGGCAGACAAAAATGTTGACGACGGAATATCGATGAAAATATGTAAATTTGTAGCACAACATACTAGTCGATTATTCATAATACAATGTAATACCTGTGTAAATACCTGTTGACTGTCACATTAACTTGTAAGAAGTCGCTTGATTTTGCGGCCATCAAGCTTTAGGTTACGGCATTTAGTTGATCGAGGCAGGGGAATATGCTAATAATACAAAATTTTTTGTATATTATAATACAACCTAGCGGCGTTTAACAATCAATCTGTCCGCTGCTATTTCGTCAATTCGATAGTTTTCAGTTTGGATGTGACATTTTTGCGTTAGCATTTTCTGAAAATATACCCAGATCCCAATAAATATTCAGGGAAAGTGAAACAAGTGCGTGGAGATCGGTGTTTAGAAAGAAAATGGGGCGAAGTGGCCTAGCGCGATATTGACTTTCGGATTCTATTAGAAACCTAGCATTTCTAAACATTATTATTTTGTAAATATCGGTTCTGAAATATTGATCAGCGTCTTTAAATGAATGAATGAGGCTCCTCAAAAGTGACAAAATATTTTACCTTTTTTAGATTTTTTGTGAGCGTTCTAGGAATTTTTCAAAGAAACTTCCTCAGGCTACTGTAATGCATTTTACAAAAGTTCTGGATTCCTCCTGCGTCGACTTTTGCTTAGTCGAAATTGCTGACGTTTCGCCAATCATCCTTCAATCCATAAAAAAACGCATTTGATAAAACTAAAATTCTTGCATGTAATCAGTTCTTCTACCAACGAAAAATCCGAGAGTCTCTAGAAATCTATAAACAACCTAACAATCAACCAATTTGGGAATCAGTCATCCGAGACGGTGTTTATGCTCCTCATTTAGCTCCGCCCCACTAAAACAATATATAAACAGGTACAGAGTAAAATGCGCTCCAGTTTCAGTCAAGCTCTGAAGAAGCCAACAGGATGATTAGCGAAACGTTAGCAAGTTCGACTCAACAAAAACCGACGCAGAAATTTATAGAATTTTTTTAGATTTCTTTAAAAATTATGTGAATGTTTAGTATCTGCAAACGCATGTGATGTAATTATATTATATGTAATTGTATTATAATTAAAATATTTGGTTACTAGATAAAAAAAAATATTAGTCAGAGATAATAAGTTGAAACAAAATTTAAATTTCTTAGAGGAGTAATTTTTTACCCCTTGAGGTATTGTTTGACTTTTATTTTTTCGTTCTCTCTTTAGTAGTTTTCATTTAACGCGCTGAGATCAGTTTTTCACATTTACGGCGTATATCTATCGGCAGCTAGCAGCAGCTGCACCCTTATCTATTGCGTACGAAGTAATTCTACTGTGATAAGACCTTTGACAACATTTAGTTTATCATATGAATGGAAGTTTTTGCGACTATAACTGTAACTCATTCCCAAATGTAAATATACAATTTTCTTTATCAAGTGAACTTTCAAGAAAATATATTACTTTTTTCTGTTTTTCTACCTTAGAAAATGTTGTAAATTTGATTAAAATCCGAATCTGTAATAAAATGTCGGGCCAAGATAGGTTATCCGGCATTGCACTTTTATCCACAGCGACGAGTTTATCCTCGAGTTTATTTAGGAATCGTTTTGGTTAATTATTGCGTTTAGTGTAATTAAAATAGTAATTCGTATATATAAAATATTAATGAAACGATATTTATTATATTTATATATTCTGCCGTATCTGATAATTTTAATACACATTTCCTCTGTTTTAAGTCAAAAACTTTTTTTATTGTTTTATTATTAAATAAGAATATAAACTCTAATAGTGAATAATTTTGTACTATATACAAAAAATAACAATAGTCCCGATCTTGAGACAACTTGATTTCAGATTTTATTTTCATATAAAAGAGGACATGTAATTGAAATATACACCGTTTGACTCTATAATGTGCGGAAAAAACGCTACCTCCAATTCCTGAAGCAGCGTCTTGCGTCTTTAAATGAGGCTCCTCAAAAGTGACAAAATATTTTGACAGATTGTTTTACCTTTTTTAGATTTTGTTGTGAGCGTTCTAGAAATTTTTAAAGAAACTTGCACAGGCTACTGTAATGCTTTTTACAAAACCTCTGGGTTCCTCCTGCGTCGGTTTTTGCTTAGTCGAAATTGCTGATAATTTTAATACACATTTCCTCCGTTTCCCATCATAAACTATTTGTATTGTATTTGTTCTTAAATAAGAATATAAACTCTAATAGTGAATAATTTTGTACTATATACAAAAAATAACAATAGTCCCGATCTTGAGACAAATTGATTTCAGATTTTATTTGCATATAAAAAAGGACATGTAATTGAAATATACACTGTGTCACTCTTTAATTATTTATCTGATTTTTTTTCAATTACTGAGTGAACTTGTTCACTTGATTCCTCCAATTATTTTTGCAGAGGACCAGCACTGAAGTACTAGAGTCGTTCATCGAACGGATAAAAGAAGTAAACCCTTTGCTCAATTGCGTAGTAGCAGATCGTCTCGAAGAGGCGCGAAAAGATGCCAAAAACGTCGACGAGTTGATTAAATCGGAAAAGTTTTCTCCAGAAGTTATAGCCAAAAGCAAGCCTTTACTGGGGGTGCCTTTTACCACCAAAGACTGTATAGCAGTCGAAGGTACATTATGACAGACAGTAGATTTTTGGTGTAGATCACAATAACGCGTCGCCAATTTGCAGGTTTGATACATTCTGCCGGCTTATACTCCCGAAAAGATACCCGAGCCGAGAAGGATGCTTTAGCGATAGCCCGACTGAGAGCTGCTGGTGCTATTCCCATAGCCCTTACAAACGTTTCCGAACTATGCATGTGGTGGGAGAGCGCCAACAAAATCCACGGCAGAACTAACAACCCCTACGATACCAGCAGAATCGTAGGCGGTTCTTCAGGAGGGGAAGGATGTGCTCAAGCTGCTGCCGTTTCTGCTTTTGGTATAGGGTCAGATATTGGGGGCTCTATCCGAATGCCAGCGTTCTTCAATGGTAAAATGAGTACAAGTTCTTATGCTAGTTCATTTAAATCACTTTTATTTTATTAAACTGTTTTATAAACTATTTGCACTTGTATGTCGCCGTATAGGCGGCACACCATGTCTTATCATTACAGCGAGTTGGCCGGTCTGTCATCCACTAAGCTCATTTCTAATATTTCTAAAATGCTGCGTTGAGGACATGTTTATGTAAAAATACAAGATAACGTGATATTTATTTTATATATGCCATGGTAAGCTTATTTTATATCTGATGATGTATATATTACAATCACTTCAGTTCACATGTGCACCATTTGTGCGTTTTGAATATAACTCGTTACATTTCGCAAAAAAAAAATCTAAGATGCTCAAGAAATTTTTACAAGATGAAATTGAAAATGAGTTGAATTTTATATTGACGCGCCTGAAAATGATAAATTGGGTAGTGATAATGTTGGTGACGAAAGTGGTAGTTACTAAAAGACAGAAGAGAACCATACCTTTACTATCAGATTCAAGCAGCAGTGAAGAAGACGAGAATATAACACGACCTGGTAATTTTGGTCCATGGCAGGACATCACGTGCCACAATCAGGAACCAACCAGGATTCTATTTACTTCTGGGGATAAAATGGTAGGACCACAAATTCCAGATACTAGTACAAAACCCATAGATTTTTTCAAGCTCTTTTTTACCGATGAGCTAATAATAAAAATAGTGGAACAAGCAAATAACTACGCTAGACACAAAATAGCCCAGTAGAAAGATAGACAGAATACTACAGTAGGAGAATTTACCGCGTTTATTGGAGTTGTCCTAAATATAGGTACTATAATCTTATCTAATATCCAAAAGTATTGCTCAGAAGAGTTTAATGCCAAAATACCTTTTTTAGTAGCATATTAAAAAGAGAACGATTTTTACAAATTTTTTGGATGCTCTACTTGCACGAAAACGACCAAACTCTTAGGTCTCAAACTTATAAAGTCACTCACAATTTAGATAATTTAAACAAATAATTCAAAGAACATTTTGTTCCATCACGACAGATATAGGTAGACGAATGTGTGCTTGATTTAAGGGTAAAATTAGTTATTCAACTTACAACCCTAACAAGCCTTACGAAATAGTGGATAAGAATTTATTCAATTTTGCCGTACTGCGGAAGCTTGACGGAAACGGAAAGTTTTGTGAGACCTGATTTACTTATAAGTACAAGGATAGTGTTACATCTTTGTCAAAAATTTTTAGACAAAAATCCAAGATGTAAAGGATATCATTTTTACAGCGATAGATTCTACACGAGCTTGCCACTAGCAGAAGATTTGTTAAAACTAAATGTTCATTTGATAGGCATTAATCAAATCAATCGCAAATTCATACCTGATTTTATCAAAAAACCAACATTTGCCGAAGGCAACACATTTGCGTGCAGATCAGGTAAATGGATGTTATTGGCATGGAAATATAAAGTTTCAGGAACACAGCCTATAACGGGAGAGAACTTGGAGGTAACTTATAAGTTGTAAATAAGCCAAATGTGTTGGTTAATTACAATAAATTTATGGGAGGTGTCGACAACGCAGACTCTTATTTAACGTCATACTGTTTCCTGAGGCAGTCTTTGAAATGGTAGCGAAAGTTATTTTTCTGGGGATTATCTAGTGTCGATGCATATTTATTATATAAAATTTCACAACGGGGCCAAAACAAAAAAACCATGACACATCTAAAGTTTGATCGGGAATTGGTTGACGAGATGACAAAAAACAGAAGAGCAACTAAATGGTAAATTACGTATTTTACGCCAAAATGTTGGGAAGAGAACAGACTAGGTATATTTGTGGCACTTGTACCAGTAAGCCTGGACTACATATAGTGATTATGTTATGCTATGTTATATTATAATCAAGATTTATTATTTTTGAAAGCCATTATTTTTTATTTAGTGTTTTTCATTTTTGTTTCATGTTATAATTGTAATAAATTGTTGTGTTGAATTTGAATAAACATGTGTGTAGAAAAATATATTTTTTAAAAGCATCCCATAGTTTTTAACATTAAGCGATTTTTTTATAATTTTCCCATATTTTTATTTTGTTTTTACACTAAGTATGTTTATTAAGCAATATTAGCGCATTATAAAATCCCATATAAAAAAATTCCGAGTAGTCAGTAAAGTAGGTAAAATAATAGTCCTTTGCACTCCCTTTGCACTCGCAAAAGGAGTGCAAAGGGTTAAAACCATAAATTGAATCTTATTTTCTTACTTACTCATGATTAAAATGTTATACGGTATTAATTAAGGGTGTCAAAATCCTTAGGTTTTCAGGTACTTCTAGAAGAAATCTGAAGGCAACAATAAAAGGCTCTATAAATAAATTATTGCTAATGTATATGGAAAGTGTTCACGAAAAGTTGCTACAAAAGTTAAAGAGATGAAAAAAAAACCTATTTGCATGAATATTTTATAAAACAATTTAGTATCTCATTAGTATTCTGATTCAGCAATCGCTTCATATAAATTCCACCAAATTTGGTAGGAAATAAACTGACTAAAATTACTTAAATTAAATTGATTTCTTGTTATTCTTCTGATGTACAAATATTTTCTTGCGAATTGAAATTGAATATGTTTATAAGACTCAAATAATTACGGTTTTTTATTATTGTATACTGTATATTGTGTACAAATACATATTCCATTGTTTTAAAAATTTAATTTTATTTGAATATATCTAAATGCGTTTTGTCCTCATAGGCGTGTTTGGGCATAAGCCGTCGCCAATGGTAGTGCCCAATGATGGTCAATATCCTGAACCTGTTAGTGAAGAACAAGAACGATTTTTGGGAATTGGTCCAATATGCCGCAGGGCTGAGGATTTACTGCCAATTTTAAAGGTAAGGTTGCTGACTATGTGGTTAGGGGATTGGATAAGTACTTGATAATCCCTATATCTCATTTTCCACACTTATTGTTATTACAGAACATTGCCGACAATTTATGAAGTTTTGCTACTGAGATCAAAAAGCTGCGGCTATACAGCAAACCGTTCATGCCTAGGATGTTAGGTAATTAGGCACAAATTTAATTAATTTGAATAAAAAGTGAGTATAAACTTTTAATTTATGCAACTGTTGCATATATGCATATTATTTTTGATTTGTTTGCCTATACCCGAAAAAATTATAATCAGCTCAGGTATTATACAGGGTGTTTCAAAAGACATTCGCCAACGCTCGGCTGGAGATTTGCCAATCAAAAAAAAAGTCATATAAACGTAGGTCCGGAAATGCTTATTTTCCAGGAACCGGGTGTTAAATATTTTTTTACAAGTAGCCAAAACTGCAAAAAAAAATGGTGCTGTATGTATTTCTCTTTGAGAACGCTAGGTATTCAGTTGATTTATCGGTATAAATTATGTCAGATTTCGGCTAAACAATATTGTAAAAAGGCAGTTTTTTTAATAGTTGACGCCCTGCATGTTCGAAACTAAGCATTTCCGGTCCAACAAACTATAAACTTTTTTTATGACTAATCTTCAGTCGAGCGTTGACCCGTGCTTTTTAATTCACTGCACATTTTAATGCTTTATTCAATATTTTAAGTTCAAATAAGCCAATTCCAATGTTAAAATTCATCAGCCTGAACTATAACCGAAACCCGCAAAAAAATATAAATTTGTATATGGATATATAAAATTAATTTGTGCCTAAGAACTTACCTAATGAACGGGTTGCCTATTGCCAAATTTACCGTCCAAAGCAAAACTTTGTAGCTTAGTAATTCAAAGGCAACAATTTGTAGTCTACTACCTCGAAAGTTTATATAAAATATATTTAATTGCTTCTGCATGATGCACTATAAATACTAAAGGTATTGTTTACGGTTTATATATTTGCAGATAATCAGTGATAATCCCCAAAAACTGCGTCTAGACGAACACGTGGATATAAAAACAATCAAATTTTACTACCAAGAAACCGACGGAGGTGCTCGTTTGGTGTCTTCGGTCTCTCCAGACATAAAGGAATTGTTCATTAAAATTGCTAAACATTTGGAAAAAGCGCACAATGTTAAAGCTACCAAAGTACTGTAATCACTAACGTCACAAATATCCGGACAATTTATGACACCCTTTCTTGCCCTAGGTGTCATTAAAACGATTTAAAATCAGCGGAGCCATGTGGTTCGCCAATATGAAATCGGCCGACGGTCCAACGTTCTCAAAACAACTAGCAAATCTGAAAGGTTCCATCAATCCATATTGGGAACTAGTTAAGTCCATATTCAGGTGTTCCAAGCATACGTTGATTGGGATTTTAACTTGTTTAATAGAAAAGGCAGGGGTCAAGTAAGAATAAATAAGGGTTATACATAAATTTAGTACTTGACCGCTTCAAATTGTTGTATAATAGGTATGACAGTGAGAAATATCACTATCTAGTAAAAGAGCGAGATGCGTTCCGTTTGGAGGTACTAGATATTTTAGGTGACAACGGCGTGTTGCTGTATCCAACGCACCCCACCTCAGCGCCCTACCACAATGAACCTCTAATCAAAGCCTTTAACTTTTCATATACAGGTAAACAAAATATCTTTTATTTGTAAGACGGTTTTGAGCCCTTTAAACACAAGTTGTTTTCAAATCTGTTTTGTGCTCAAGGAGTCTGAGAATGACTTCTCAACCCAAACAACCAAAAGATCACCAAGTGACGTAACAATGATATCACCATGATGTCTCTTTTGTAAAGTGAACGCGAACTTTAAAGGAACGTTTTTTTTTTTCAAAATAGCTAGCGCTTTTCTGCAAATACTTACTTGCGCAAGTATTACCTTTGGCACTTTTTTGTTATTGCTATAATGGAAAAAAAGTATTTTCTTAGAATGTGAACTTACAATTGGTAATGTATCTACGATAAAACGTTAAATTTTAAATTAGAATATGGGAATTAGACGAAACCTAGCAATACAATATATACGTGTTTTTTTTTTATCTTTAATTATAGCGTTTTGTTTTTTTTTGCCTTCTTAAGGCGTGTAGTTTTGGAAGTCTACTAAAAATGAGGTTAACATATATATGATCTAAACGAGCACACTTCTAAAGCTAATAAAGCTAAGTACATTTGTTTTTTCTTAATCTCCATAAACTATTTTTTTCACCTTTTAGTAAGGTTCTAATTAAAATCTACAGACAATATGAATTTCACTAGTGTTATGATGTTTTGAAATCTTGTGATTTTGTAAATCAAAACAAAAAAATTATCCGGTGACGTCATAGGCTATTAAAAAAAATTGTTTTTGAGGCACGCGCCCCTCCCTTCATTTAATTAAAATGTAAAACATGTTTCTAGGAATAGTGAACGTTCTTAAACTTCCTGCAACTCACTGCCCTATGGGTCTGGACCGACACGGTCTTCCAATAGGTGTTCAAGTCATTGCGGCAGATGGGAATGATCGGCTGTGTCTTGCAGTGGCCAGGGAATTAGAAAAGGCTTTTGGTGGTTGGGTACCACCCAATATACAAGCTTAAAGATGATGACTGTTATGTTACTTTTAGTTTTAGCACAGTGTTTTGGAGTTTGCAGCTTTCTTTATTTCACTAGAAATTAAATTATTTAAAATGAAAATTATTTGTACTTGGTACTCAGTTTATGTATTATTTGTTGTGTAGTTAGCATACCAAAAAGTGTGTGGTCTTATAAACTTTTATGTCAGGTATCAAATAATGAAATAATAAAGTTGAGATTATTGACCACTCAATACATCACATATGACATTTAAAGGTGAATAGGGCTTTTACAGTTGGATCACTTCCAACTTGTAAAAAAATGGATATTGTTGTTTCTACACTTTTCCATGTGATTTTTAAACTGCATTTACATTTCATGCTATACATTACTAAGAGTGCTCTAATGAGTTAAGAGTTGTTTCTACATTATACTTACCACAGTGATGTATGTATGTTTGTATGAAAATTCTATTAAACTAAAGCTAAGATTGAATTTAAAATCCAAAACAAAAAGTATTTTCCCCATCACTTCTACTACATACAAATCTCAGGACAGTTTTTCTTTTCGCTGAAAATATGACTGCAATATAATTTATGTATCACTCTGGTTATGCTAGTTAAGTCTCTAATGTATGTGAATTTTAACAGTGAAATTGTGTACATTATTTTTTATAAATATTATATGATATATTTTACAGAAATAAATTTTTCTAAATACTTCCCTCTAGATAGTTTTTTGCCGCTAGTTTGATTTGACAAGGTAAGTAAAAACAGTTAAAAGAACTACGAAAAAAAACAAAATTTAGAAAAAAAATAATTTTATTAAAGTAGTCTTGCTATATGTTTTTGCATTTTTTTCTCCAGGATTCAGAACTTCAAGTATACTATTGAATATTACATTTTTAGTAGTATAAGTAGAAGTTGTTTCCTATAAACCCAGAGAATTATAGTTCAAATATTCCAAAGTTTAAAACTTCAAATTTGTCAAACACAATGTTATCTCTGGCTACTTCTTAAAACCTCAATCAATTTAAGCAGTTCCCGTCTTTTATTCTGTACCTGGTCAGAAGTAATTTTCGGACAACCTCTTATTCTTCCATAGTGTGCGGCATAACTAGCAAGCTGTTCAGTATTGGACAATACATGTATGCCACAGTCATACCCATTATTTTGTTGCAAGCATGGCACTTCTTCAAATTTTGCTTGTATAGATAATCCAAAATACTTAAGAACTTTTTCTGCAAGGTCCAATGCTTGATTCTCGTTGCTTCCTCTGGAAGAATCATAATGAAATACGTTTCGATCAGGTCTCGAGTATACAAGCAAACTCCAATGGGAGCCCCCGGAATATTCAGTTTGTTCGTTATCATTCAAGGCGAAAAATATAAAATTTGCCTGTTTCTTTTCAATTAAAGGGTCCAAAAAGATACTTATCTCTGGCTGTGGGGATATTTTTATACATTGAGTCACTTCCGGGGAAATAAACAATAATTTCCTGTCATCTTTAAATAATTCAGTCTCTAAATATTCAAAATAAAAGGAAATTATTGTGTCGTTTAACCAAAATGGACCTTTCAAGAGATCAACGTCAGATTTTCTCAGTAAACTCTCGTTGTAACTCAGGATGGTGACATTGGAGTTCATGTCGTTTTTTAAAAGTTCTACACCTTATTTCGTTTCGTTTGTCAGGATCATTGTAATTTGTAACAGTTTTTTATAATACAAACATAATTTTGAACATAATCTTGACAGGAATAAACAATATGACACTCTGTGGTTCATCTTTCTTGGCCAAAATAGCAGCGACCCTCTGGCCAATTTCTTCTTTATTTTAAAGTCCAAATCCGCTCAGGGCAGAGCAGTTTATGTACAAGTCGCAAGAATCGTGGGAAAGTTAAACCTTAAAATCCAAGAACATTCTGCATAAATGGGACGTTCATAAAAGTAACTGGAAACAAACAATAAAATCATGAAAATTTTCCATAATCATTTTTGGGACAACGCAACAAAAATTCTAATGATAAATCATACATTGAAAGCAAATCAACAAATTTCATGATTTTTTTTATTTATAAAGTTTGAAAAATGGACCAAGTACGATCCTGTGTGACCTTTGAGCTATGCCATTTCTCCACAACAGTGGCAGAGTAACAAAAACTTGAATAAGGTGTTACGTTCATAATTGCCAATAGAAAATATTTACAATGGCTGTACAATGGCTGTCTTGTGGTAAGAAAAAGAAAGTGTAGATTTTGCCTGTGTAGTTAGTGACGATTTGAAGAAAATGGTGTTGACCGGGCGGCGGTAAAAGTGTTCGTCAGGTGAGTAACGTTTTAGAAAAAGAACCTTGTGTTTTTACTGGATTGCGAGCATTTCTATATATAATTTCGCGATAATATGAGTAGGCCAAGCAACACAGGCAATCTGGAAGTAGCAGAGTGTGAAGTAAGAATTGATATGGCAATTAGTTCGCAAAAAATAGTAAAAGGATCGAGAAAGCTATTTGATATTTAAAGAAATATAGAAAATTGAAGTTTAAATTTATTTTGGTAGTTTTTATCTTATGACTGAATAGGCACCACTACTTTAATCCCAAGTTTTGCTTGCTTTTGCTATCTTATCAGCAGATACCACATGTATAAAAACCAGAACACAAGGTATGATGGTGTGATGGTCAAGAATTGGAACCACTTATAAAACAAAAGTACTTGAAAATTTTGGTAAATATATTATTACCTTCCACTACTAAATGCATACACACGCATTAGAAATTTGCTATTTAGATATTTAACAAATTTACTAACTGATCAAAGTTAACCCTAGATCAGTACACCTGATGGTGATGACATACTTTTATGCCATTATTCTTGGTATCTACTTAAAGAAACGTTTAATTAAATATTGTTTTTATACATTAAAATAGTATGTTTTATTTATTTAAATGAGTTTTTAAAAATGTCTACAATCATTATCTTCAGCATTGTCCAAAGTTAGTATCTAACCCCGATATTCTAATGTTTTTGTTTTTCGTGTTTTACTAAAATAAATTTAATAATTAAATAAAAGGATATATTTTAACATGTTCCTATTATAATAAATTGTAATTTTGCGTTCTGTATAACTGGCTAGACTTCTCGGTAATGTGACTTTTTAACAAATAATTTCCCAGAGAGAATAAAAATTGTCAAGGCAAAATCCTTTTCTGTATAATGGTAAATTTGATGTGTGTTCCACATCAAAGGACATTTTGTGTAATATGGAATAGAAAGTGACTGCGTGTAACTGAGGCAAGGTTCTGCGGAAATTTGAATTATAAATTTATAATTATCTTGTGGCAATGTTACACCCATATAAGCTAACAATGCTCCTTCCTTAATCACACTTATGTATATTTTAATATTGATGAAGAAATTGCGTTTTGTTTTAATTATTTACATAATAATTCAGAAGTGATTCTTGGTTACTTTCGTTTCCAACAAATATGTTCAGAAACAATATTGTGATCTGAAAATATATGATTATTCCAATCACAGTTGCTTGAGTGTGGGTGAAGTTTTTAAATTTTAGGAAAAACTATTGGAATTTAGAAAATAAATGGATTGACTTTTTGTAGGTATTTGCAAATAATCTTTAATCCATCTCTACCATGGCATCTAACAGTGACGGCGGTGCCGGTAGTAGTAGTAAGTATATTTATTTAATGGACTGGTTATTTTTTTGCGGTACCACTTCTTGCTTTTTCAGCTTTTGTCTCTGACACTTTATCAAGAAATTTTGCTACTCGGGATTATGACGCCTTCAATAAAGGTGGCAATGAAGGAAATGCTAGGAGAAGGTGTGATCATACGTTAAATGTGAGTTTTTCACAAGCGCGTTTCAGGTGCAACATTTTCAACCATTTGTTACAGGATTTAGATTACTACAAAGAACAACATCGTGCTGTGATGAACCAACTTGAAGTGTCATCTCAAGATTCAGCGTCTTTACGGAACAAATATGCTGAACTTTTGAATGAAAATAAACTGCTTCGAGAAGAAAACCAGCGTTTGCTCAAGGAAACTGAGCACAATGGGAATGCCTCGGAAGCACTGTTTATGTCTCATACCCAGGCTCTGTCAAAGCTGGAATTGGCTCAGGATGAAAATGCCAGACTGAAAGAGCAATGTGATGTTCTAGGTCAAGAAAGAGGAGCAGCACAAAGAGATGTGGCGGGTCTAAAACAGAAACTTGTCAAGCTTTGTAGGGATTATGCCAAATGTCAGGCCGCTGTTCAGAAATTACAGCAACAATATGAAGATGCTGTTAATGTGACCCTTAAAGCAAACAAAGATATTAAGAGATTGACAGATGAGAGAAACGCAACTATGGCGGAGTACAACCTTATTATGAGTGAAAGGTACTACTTAAATTTCATTTTTTAATGAAACTTCATTATTCCTTATTAACATTATCATATTTTAAGAGACAATTTTTAATATTTTGGTTTATTTCATAAAAAATTGTGTGCAGGAAAACGAAAATTACATATTTCGTAATTCAGTAAAAGGTCTGTGGAATTTTAAGTCACCTTTAAGCTTCTGAGATAAAACTAATTTAAATATGTAATCCTTGTATTTGACAATAATTCATTTTATTTTTATTCAAAGGATTTTTGAGACGTATATTTCTTTTAAAATGTTAAGATTATTATTATTTCACCTCCACAGAGACACAGTGCATAAGGAAATGGAGAAATTAAGCGATGATCTTTCGCAGGCCATGAAAAAGTTGACCATATTGGATTCCACAAATAAAGAATTGCAGGAAGAAAAAAGGGCACAGAATTACCAACTTGAGTCTTTAAGGAGGGAGATTTCCAGTGCCTTGCAGGAAAGAGATAAGGTACACAGTAACATTATGCTATCCAATACCCTTCTTCTTCTTCACAAAAAAGGTTTATTAACTGAATTGATTGGGTTATTTAATTAATTTTGTTATTTCTTATTTTCAGAAAAAAAAAGAAACTTAAAAAGACAAGCCTTTTGTGAAAATGGCCAATTACTGTAATCCCATTTTTCTTTTTTTTTTTTTTTTCATAAAGCTAAAAAAAGTGGTACACGCATTTCAGGTGGTTTGTCTTTAGCATTTATTTAAGAATCCTGAAAAAATGTTCTCTTCTGACTGTTTAGGTCATATCAAGATCTAAAGTTTTTGTATTGAAGGTTTTCTCAAAAAATACATGGTGGTTGAAATATTATGTGCTCTATTAAGAAATATAATAAGTGTCTAAAATTTGCAGCTGTCAACTTCAGATTTGGCAGCGACGTAGAAGTCCACACCCACATTTAAACTGTTACAATCTCGCGCAATATTTTTTAAAAATATTTGATTTTTTTTTTAGGTTATTTGGGCTTCTAGAAATAACACATATTTTCTTTTATTTTAATTATTTTTCCGATCACTTACAAGGTTCTTCTGTTATGGAAAAAAAACTAAGAAACACCAAAAATTGTGTTTTTCAGGGTTGCATTATTAACTATATTTGATAAGATTATGTGCAAGGTGTGTCGGGTTATTGGCAAAAATCTGACACCCTGAAAATTGCACTTTTTAAATTCGCCATGTTTAAAACTTGTGCTGATTTTATTCATTTTATTTCATAGGCTTTAAAAGAATGCAACGATCTTAGAGAAAAATTCGGTGATCTAGGAGCTACTTCTCAAGACGGTCGTCTTCTCTTAGGCGACCAAATGAAAAAGAGCCGGGGTCGCCTGATAGACAGTTTGGGTACCCTTGGCGAAGGCGGTGTACGGAAAGAACATCTCAGAGAAGATTCCCGGTCAATGGCGCAAAGACAACGTTTAGATAATTTAGATCAGGCTAATCAAGAGCTGGAATCTTTGAGGAAGAGTTTGGATAAGGCGCAGACGGAATTAGCGGAAGCGGTTCAAGAAGCGGAAGTTTCTAAAGGAAGACGCGACTGGGCTTTCTCTGAACGTGACAAGATAGTTCTGGAAAGGGAGAGTATCCGGTCCTTGTGCGATAACATGAGGAAAGAAAGGGATAGAGCCGTGTCGGAACTTGCTGAGTCTCTACGAGAATCTGATACTATTAAGAAGCAACGCAATGAGCTTGTGAAAGAGAACAAAGCATTGAGAGAAGCTTTGGAGTCTCATATGGAACGGGAGGGACGAATGTCTCAAAATGTCGAGGAGCACTCTTGCGGACATACAGAGGTCATTCAATTAGAATTAACCACGGCCGATGAACAAGCTTTGGAGTTCGCCGGAGGTAGAGAATATCCGGGCGACGGAAGCGTTTATGTGGCATCTGTCGCATCTGGTTCGCCTGCAATCGGGAAATTCTTCCCTCACGACCGTATCTTACGAGTCAATGATGTGGACTGTAGTCAGGCTTCGTTGCGCGTCGTGACTGAAGCTATACGTTCGAGCTTACCTGTGGCGCACGTGCTAATAAAAAGAATGAGGTGTGCCCGCGACGAAATTAGATCAGTAGGTGAGCAGGTGACCAAATGGATTCACACCGCTCGCTTAGCACCCGGTTGTCACGGCCTTTCGTTAAAATTGGGAGTTTATATAAATCGAATCAGCGAAGGTAGCCTCGCAGCCAGAGATAAGAGCCTCACGGTTGGGGATAGAATACTTAGGATCAACGATAAGTCCATGGACGATATAGAAAGCACTAGAGAAGCCATGAAGATACTTAACGACGACTCCAGCGATGTTATAAATATCACCACTCTGAAGATGAGCTATCCGGAATGTCCGAACGTTTTCACTCCGGTCAGGCGCAATAAGAAAGAAAACCGCAGTTCTCAGACCGAGGATTGGATGAGTCACGGCGATTATAAGTACAGCGGACATGAAAAAAATAGCAGCGCGTGGTTGAAAGAGAAGCTCGAGCTCATGCGCGGTCCTTGGAGGCACTCCAAGGAAGATAAAAAAAAGTATAGAAACAGCTCACCAAATCCAATAGATTTTGGTCATGAACAGGCCATAGCTGAACTGGACTCAGTTCTGGACAGTTACCATCATGGTACTATGAAGCGGGTGGAAGGCGCGAAAAGACATTTAACTCGGCCCAAAGAGGAGAAAAATAACGGAGGTACTTGGCCCAAGGCCCGAGCAGCCGCATTGTTGACTCCAGGCGGCGGCACTGTCGTTACCAGAACTAAAGAACGTCTGCCTTTAAGTCTCCTCGCCCAACCAAAAGACAATCAAGAAAATTTTTACAGGAAGTCGACGCCCATTCCTCTGACCATAGCCCCGCAGAGCGTTCCTCAAGAGAACAGATACTCCGCGGTATACAAAAGCGTCGACGCATCTCATCACTTTGGCATGGTCGCAGATTCTTTTGAAATCGTTAAATGCTCTCCAAGCATCTCTAATAGACAAAGTGTCAACATGAATTCTGATAATAGTTTGGATATGCCACTTCAGCGATCGTTCGAGAAAGACATAATGAATTACTGTAAGAAAACAACAGGAGGCCGACTTGGAATCAGCAAATATGGTTCGGATTCCGAACGAGATAGCATAATTGGAGGCATGCACGATTTGGGTCCGTCCCATAGTCGTGGTCCTAGCCAGCTATTTGTGGCCCCTCGTGTGCATTATCCTTACCATCCTCATCCGCACCCTCATATTAACCACTCGAGAGAAAGTTTTACTTTTGAACCGTACCAACATAACCACAGCCCTTCGGCGGACGTGGGACTAAGGCGACCTCCTGATTTGCTGGATACTGGCGGTACTTTTCCACGCAAAAGAGAGGGACGATTCAAGGTACCGTCCACTAAAGTCCCTTCGATAACTAGTGTTACATCGAAGTTGAGCACGGGGAGTATCGAAAAAGTTATTTCTGAGAGAGGTAGCCCGATGCCTATTTTTCAAGTGGAAGTTCTAAGCAGTCCCGGCGACCATTCTTCCCAGGTTAACGCGAACAAGGATTACTGCTCGTGGGGTCACAAACCTTTGCCTGGAGAGCTGAGACGGGTTCACATAGGTAAGTGGTGAACGATTTGTGGGGTTGTGTAATTGACCGGTCAATTTTTTTTGTTCTAATTGATCAGCCAATTGACCGATATAATTTTTAAAATACCATGAAATTAATATTTAATTATTTATATTCCGCCCTACATCGCCATCTCGTCATTCCGGGTAGCAAATGGAGTCCATATTATTATTGAAATTCCCCGAATCGCTTTGTATCGTATTCGTATTGAAAAACATAATAATTTATAATAAAATACATATTATTAAATAATGATAAATAACACTCTACAATTGTCAGATGTTATTTAAAACATTTTTGATTAGTCAATTAAGAAGTGGTCAATGACCGGACAATTAACAAGTGGTCAATTAACCAGTCTCAATACTAACGACTTGTAAAAAACTTCAAGTCTATCTGCCAGAACTTCTGATACCTATTTTGAAATATTTCTTTCTGTTGTAAAATTGTCCCTATCCAGGGATAAACAGAAGATGATACAACATACATAGACAGGGTATTATATTAAATGTCACACATACATACCACCATTTTAATCTTGCACAAAATTCGGCCAAAGTTAAGGTTGCCGCTTTGCGTTCTGTCTAACTCAATATCAAATGATTAAAACCAGGCACACTGTTAATCCAAAAAAAATAAATTAGACAAATTTTTAAAGGGATTACTGATAAAATAATAATTAGTAATTAGTGATTATTTTCAAGAAAACACTTAATTGGAAATAACAGATAAGCCAAATCTAAAAAGTTAGAAGTAGAGAAGGTACCTAGTATTGTCAACTATCTCTCTTATTTAATTATGCAATTATACATTATATATAATACAGCTTAGTAATTTATCATAATATACTTTACTTGGAAAAGAAATTGTTTGCATCTTCCACATATGGACGAATACAACTATTGATTTGGTACCTAAATAAAAACGTTATTTGTTTTGGAAACACCGTTTCAATAAAAGCAGCAGCCATCGGACCATTGTAATTTTGGTTATGGTCAAGTGTAATAAAAGCCAACTTAACTTAATATGTATAAGTTGAACTCATAAAATAACCGCAATGTTTAACATAACCGTGTAATAATATTCGTAAAATATAGGCTCTCATTTTCTTGCTAGATAAATCTAATGAGCCACTGGGCATCCAAATCAGAGACAAAGGTGGTATATTTGTTTCGACCGTAAACGACGGCAGTTTAGCCAGCCAAGTGGGTCTCCAGATAGGTGACCAGCTTTTAGAAGTGTGCGGCATCAATATGCGTAACGCCACTTACCACTTGGCGGCCAACGTTTTAAGACAGTGCGGCAACTCCATCACCATGCTGGTCCAGTACAGCCCCGACAAATATCGAGAGGTGAGTGTACTTCAGAAGCCAAATGATAAATTTTGACCGAACGGATTGTTAGGTGAATGAGTCGCTTTCGGGTTCGACATCAAACGAGGAAGAGGAGGAGGAAGAAGAGGGAGAAGGAGAGCCGACCCCTTGCAATTCTCCCAAGGAAATTAGGAAAACATCTATACAAAATAAACCATCACCTTTAACGGTTATGCAGAGACAGTCCGGCGTTCCATCTGTCATTAATCCAAGGTATTTGTGCTCTGCATGGATAATATTATTAGACGAAGTCTCCTTGTGATAATAATGGAAAAACAAAATGTGAAATTTGTTATACTAATTCGTATATAGAATACTTTAAAGTTGAGTCACTTGTATTAGTGATATAGTTTTGTATTTTAACTAGAATTCTCTGACTGAATTAGGTAATTGCAATTTTACGACAGCACATACCCCACTAGCTTGCTAAATGATCTTATATAAATAAAGTTATCGAAAATTTAATTAATCAATTGTTAGTAACACAATGGGATTAATATTACTTAAATGGATTTACTGGTAACGTGGGAAATACAGTTTATTTTCATTACGTCCCAAGAAAAACTTAGTAGCGCCATTTATGTTATTATGATTATGACCATGTGCATTAAGAAGCTGTATAGTATGGCGAAACAAAGTTTTAATCATGGTCGATTGACTTTTGTTTCTTTGCCACCCCTACTCAAAGTCTCAAATACTCCTCAATTTTTTTTTGACATATCTCAAAGTCCAAAAGACCCAGTGTCCAAAGGTTAGACAAAGAAATGAATCTAATTCATCACATCATTATAAAAAGTATTTAGTAACTTCTAGTTTGCATATTTGCTAAAAAATCTGGTGAAATGTATAAGAGAAAATGTGATGCATTAGAAATTTTGTTGGTGCAAAACATGTAATCAGACAGACCATTTCCTGATATTTACACTTTTAGAAATTAACAATGACTGTGCCATACATAGAATTTCTGTTAAAGTCTTAGTAGTTAGTAAAAGCCATAAGACAGGTAGTCTAGTTTTTTCCAAAATTGATTTCATTAATTTGTTTTCACAACATTTTTTGAGTCATTTTTTATGGAAACTCTTACTCTTAAATTTTTGAATTTGAATTTTTTATATTATGTAAATCCTCTAACAACTCAACAAATAATCATACAAAAATATGCTATAAAGAAAAAAAACAGTACTTACTTATCTAAGACATTAATTGTCTTTCTTGCTCCTACCTCATGGCCTCAATGGACCACTTCAGACCCTAAACTTGTAATAACTGTTAAATCAAAAAGAAATATTAAAAATTGCTTGAGAGTGTGTGCTCGCTTTTTAGGGGAACTCTGGAGGAGCCTAGGTATTTGTGCATTGAAACCTTAAAAACGGCCAATTTGGGTATTTCCCTAGTAGGCGGCAATGCCGCCGGAATCTTCATCCATTCGGTTCAACCGGATTCCTTGGCCTACCACGCCGGATTACGTACGGGCGATCAAATTTTAGAATACAATGGCTGCGACTTAAGGTCGGCCACTGCCGAAGATGCGGCCTACGAGTTAGCCAAGCCGGCCGACAAAGTTACCGTATTAGCGCACTATCGCATCGACAGTAAGTTTTTTTTTTTCGCTTCTGACGGTAGTAGATTTTTGCGCGGTGTGTTGCAAGGGCTTGATTTCTTTTAAAGAATACAACGAAATCAAGGACAAACCAGGGGATAGCCTGTACGTCCGATGTGGCTTTGACAGAAGTGGCAACGATTTGACTGAACCGCCGGAGTTGTTCTTTTGCAAAGACGACGTGCTTTACGTAGATAATACCATGTTCAACGGCGTACCGGGACAGTGGCGCGCGTGGCGTCTAGACGGCGACGGGCACAGACAACAGTGCGGTGTTATACCAAGCAAATACAAGGTAAGATATTAATTTTTAAGCTTCCTCGGACTTACAACCTCAATTTTTACTAATTTTCGATCACTCGATTCCCTACTCCAAACCTAAAAGATCTGGTTGTTCTTCACTCCCTTTGTTTATAGGTGGAGGAGGAGCTGCTTTTAAGAAGGGGAGCTGGGGATAGTATAGAGGGTAGGACAACCACCACGGCGCGACGAAGCTTCTTTCGTCGGAAGAAACAACAGAGAGGTGGCTGCGGATCATCCGGCTTGGGTTCGTCGACCTCGAGGGATTCCAAGGACTTGACCAGTTTTTGCAATTTGTCACCCGGATGGTACTCTGACAGCGGTGAGGCAATCGATTTAATAACTTGCTTTGGTTTAATTTGCACTAATGATGTAACCCATGAGATTGAACACATAGACGCGTCATTGGCCCAAATTTTAAAAATGTGAGTTAAATGAGAAAACTACTTCTAAAGTTTCAATGCATGTGCAAGGAAATGTGAGTGTATGTGTATTTGACCCCCATACATTAACCTATGCCAAGTTATTAGTTTTGTTTAACTTTCTTTTTGCTTAGATATAGAACAGGTATATGACCGGGATTAACCACCATTTTGTTTTTAACGTGTAAATTATAAGCAACTATAGCAGGAACTGAATCTTAAGTACAATCAAAGTACAAGTGCTCGTTTAGAATGATAAACATACTGATAAGGCGGACTGACAGATTGATAGACAGATAATTACACAGTAGGAATTTGCACTGTTAAAATTAAATGCATCCATTAGGTGATTCTTTATATGTATTTAAAAAAAAATTAATGTATGGAAAAAAATAATATTAACCTCGCTCACAACGCTGTTTGCAGATCTACGAATTCGTTACACCTTTTTTTTTGTCCATAATTTCTACTTTAAGAGGTTAGAGGATATATTACTTTTAGTAATTCTTTTTGTAATTTCGAAGTTGCTCAGGGCAGTTTATCGTGCTGTTTAGCATTTTGTATCCGAATTTCAAGTCTATCAAGGTTCTTCTTGATTCTATGTGTCAGGCAGTTCATATTTTAGAAAATCAGCTGGTAATTCCAGTTTGTATGCCACAAATATAAGATTTTTTTTTGTACTTAGCCATCACTTGAATATTCTGAAATTCATCGTACTTGAGAAGGGAAAACAAGAGATTTTAAGTATAAAATATTCTTGAAATTATTTAAGAATTATTTAAGAACTCGATGCAAATAAAAAAGGTCTGTGATATATAGTAAAAAATACTACGGGGTTTGCTTGGAGAATTTTTGAGGGGACGTCAAGTTGCCTCCTTTTATACTTGATGGTATAATAAACTACCAACTAGTAAACACTTAAATGCGCTTATTTATAAGCGAAACATTGAAAACATAGTTTATGTATTTTTGTCTCCGAGCAATGGCTCGCAAACGTTATTTCTATTCTCTGAATAGGTTCTCTACACGAAGACCTCTCCCAATTGTCGTATCAACGAGTCGAGCGCCTACAGTATCCCGAATTCCGTCCAGTATTGGTGCTCGGACCCCTCGCCGAGTTAGTGTCCGATAAGCTCGTCAGCGACTTTCCCGAAAAATTCCAAAGGCCAATAGCCGACACCAGGAGGTGTTCGCAGCACCAGCTCGACCGCGAACTCGAGGACGGATTAATAATCGAGTACCGTCGACGCGGATCGACGTTCGAGTGCATCACAGTAGCCGCCATACTCGCCGTATCTCAATCGAGACTCCACTGTATGCTCGACTGTTCTATCGGGAGCGTCCAACGCTTAAGAAGGCACAAGGTCAACCCTGTCGTACTTCTGATTAAGTTCAAAAGCACCAAACAGATTAAGGAGTTGAAAGACGGGAGGTATAGTTTCGATAAGTTGTCGGGCAAGGCGGCGAAGGAGATGTTTGAGCACGGTCACAAATTGGAAGCGGAATACCGGCATTTGGTAACCGCCATCGTTTCTGCCGGAGCTAACGTGGCTCACCTTTGCGCACAAGTCAAGGCCGCCGTCGATGCCGAACATAGGAGGAGTCAGTGGGTACCTGTGTCTTCTTTGAGAGGGCAATAAAACTAAACCGATTGCCGGCAATATTCAATGACAAGCGCAGTCAATATTTTTTATGCGTTTCGGTTGATTAGATTTAGTATCGCGGCAGTATTTACTATAGCCCGGTCACTCTAGACATTCAAAAATACAAAAATTTACAACAAGTTGAAACCGAGTAAAGTTATTTATAACAATGAAAAATAAGATTTTAAACTTGCCCGCCATGCCCGTACTTCGAAAAAAGTTTGAAAAGGTCAAACGTAAAAAAAAAATAGTTTTCGCGATTTTAAGGAAAAGGGTTTATCATAAAATTACCTCATACAAAAAAAAATCGTTGGTCATAAAATTATCTATAAAAAATGTATTTATAATTTTTTTCCTGAGAGCCGTCGGATCAAAATGTTGTAAAATCATCGTAATATGCACGCCACCTATGAGGGCGTGGTTTCCTCAATAGACCGATTCGACAGGTCTGTTTTAGTCGTATCTTATTCTTTCTAAAGTTGTAGTTTAGCAAATATCTCTTAGTTCCTTCAAAGTAAACTGACAATTGTCGCTGCTTCCAATGTAAGTAAATATTTTCTCCATTGCCAAATTCATAACTTCATCTTTGGGACTACCGATTTTACCACCAGAGGAAGGTTTCATGAAAGAAACGTAGAAATCATAATGATACTTGGTCTTCAGTTGCGATTAAGTCATGTCGTGTCAGATTCGAGCAAGCACAGGTTCTGCTGTAGCGTCGGAGCGAGTCCGAGCTACTTTCGAGATTGTATCTTTAAATTGAAGTGTACTTACTTTGCTAATTCGACGGCGAGAATCAGAAGATTTTCTTCTCTTATACGCTTCATTCGATTCATTTCCGCAAAATAGATTTTTAAAATGAGAAAGCTGATTCACTTACTTGTGATCTAGTACGAGGAGGACCTACTTCCTATTATTCAAGTTGTCTTTTATTAGCTGCAACGATGTGTAATATTTACGACAATCTTCATGTATTGTCACAGATTTCTTAATTTAAGAAACTCTGAAAAATCGTCACCTCTTTCAGTTGTCGATTAATGTCTTCAGTTAAAAGTTTACCACAAATAAAACAATTTTCTGACATTTTTATTACAAAACTCAAAACAGCACGAAATAGGTTGAAATAAATGCATGTGCTCGAAACTAACGGGATTTCAGTTATTCAGGGAGAAAGATGTTGTCTCAAGGTTACCCTGCCGGATAAATTAAGGGACTGGACTCATAGAGAAATATTTCAACTTCGATTGAATCTTCAGAGATGGAAATAGGTGGCGTACTTTTGCATATTGCGATTACATTGTGATTACAGCTGTTACAACATTTCGATCCGTTATATCTCAGAAACGATGGCTCTTAGGGAAAAAAATTAATCCATTTTTTATAGATAGTTTTACAATCTACAATTTTTCTTTGAGGTGATTTTATGACAAAACTTCCTGAAAATCGCAAAAACTCCAGTTTTTGACCTATTTGACCTTTCGCAACTTTTTTTTCTAAGTACAGCAATGGCGAGGAAGTTTCAAATCTTATTTTCAGCTTGTCGTAAATTTTTGTATCTTCACTCTTATTTTTCGTCTAAAACGTTGGCGACCATGTATGCAACTAACCTGCCGAACTGTTTCGAAAAACGAAAAATCCAACGAACGTGCGCCAGAAACACTCAATAGTTTCTTTATTTAAAAAAAAAAACATAGTAATAAGTAGTGCCTTTTAGGGCTGCCAATTTTTTTTACCGAAACTGATATTTTATGATGTACTTTTTAGATGTTATATACACAAGTGAGGTGGTTGTATATTCTTTTCTTCTGTGATTCCTTTTAATATTTCTCACGTGTTAGTTATTTCTTGAAAAGAAATAAAATATGTATTTATAATTGCGTTTTTTTTTCCTCAAACCTTATATGTTTAACATTTCGTTAAAACAGATTTAAAAAGTTTTGGTTTTTCCTAGATGGAGACCGCAAAAAGCTAAATAATTTGAAATAATTTTTGAACAAACATATTCTCTCTATTTTATTTCCTTTATATTATAGCGTTATTTGTAGCATATTCATTAGCAAAAAAGAGGACGGGATCCAGTAAGATTTAGTGTCCATATATTGGGTCGTCAAATTTAATTCCGCGCCTAAAATAGCTCATCCTGACGTCACGGTGGTAGCGAAATCAATACCAGAACATATAATTATGTAAAGTTCGACTAACGATATACCGTTTTTACAACCTTGGTTTTGATTTCGGAGTGAGCTTAAGAACCGCCTCTTGTAAAGTCGCAGAGACCATTCTTTTTAGCACGTGTACCACAGGCCAGGGCCGTATTTAAGATGTTAGCCTACAAGAACTGTGTCGTTTGAGGACGGTTCTTTAAGAGTAGATTGATTAAACTGTTATATTAATTCATATTAGTGTGCTTTTTATAAATCGTCCTAAAGCAGTCCTTACTTGAGGTAGCTCGATTTCTAGTTGAATTTTTCCATTAGATAGGTTGATTCCTATATTAAAAACACATTAGAAAGCTTAAACTGATTTCCGATTCAAGGATTTAATGTAATGACTCTAAAATATGTAAAGTCTGTTCATAGATAAAAGAAAGTGACTAACTGATACGAATTAAGGAAAGACCCGGGCAAGCTCTAAGTATGAAATATGGCCGAACAGGTCCGTACTTTGCTTAGAATTTAATTATTTGTTTGTTTTTTTAGGAAAGATACTAAACAATATTTATTTATTTATGTATGTATTTATGTTTAAATCTAAAATAAAATTACAAATTATTTTTATTACCTACTTAAATTACTTAAAATTAGTCACATAATATATCAGTATCACTATCGCTATCATCGCCTGTTGTTCTGCTTTTTCTATATGTTTAACAGAATTTGCCCAACTTTGTGGAGGGATGTTAAAAACTTCGATTTGTATAAGTTTGAGGAGATTGGAGTTAACACGGGGAAAAACATTGTTACGACGAATGGCAGATTTCAGTTGGTGCCAAACATGTTCAATGGGATTAAATATACAGTGGTAAGGTGGAAGCCTTAAAAACTGTATGCCCTTGATTTTTTGCATAATTATCACAGACGTATTCCTTTTGTAGGTTCAAGCTTTGTAGAACCTCAATTAATTGCTTTTTGGTATAGTCTTCGTGAAAATAAATGTCGTTATTATACATGTGGTTTTGGATTGTTGCTTTTGGGGTTTTAGTCAACTGTCTACTGTGATAACTTGGATCGTCTATTACAATTACGCTATTAGGAGGAATGTTGGGAACTAGTTTCTTTTTCAACCAACTTTCAAATAAATCAGCGGTAGTGTCTTCATGGTAATCCAGAGAAGAATCTTTAATATTTTTCGCAGACGGAGAAAGTCTACTTGGAATCCAACCATCTTTAGAGTCAGCATTCAAAATAGTTATTCTTTTACCTCTTTTTGATGGCGCGTTTGTTTAACACTTATCATTTGAGTCAACTCAACCCTTTTCCGGGGTATCATAAGTGTCGAACCAGAATTCATCCAAGTAAATAATTGGCCTTTGTTGTTTTCTGTAAATCCTATTTTTTTCTAGATATGTCAGTCGCCATTTCCGAATTCTAAATGATTCTATTAAAACTTGCCTTTTGTCAATTTTTTAAAATATAAAACCCATGTGTTGAATACATTTCCATAAGGTAGTTCTGCCACATTTAACACCGGTTTCATCTTTTTCAAGCCTCCTAATTAAGATATCTAATGTAGGCACGCTTTGTTCCTCGTATAACTGGTAAATTTTACGCCGTATTATATCTTGATCACTTTCATCTACAATCGCTGAAATGAAATTATTGGGATTATTCACAACTTTCCATACACTTGATGTTGGAATTTTTGTCAATGTGGCCGTTTCTTCTAAAGATGAACTCAGAACTTAAACTAAGTAGTATACCAAACCAAAGAATATTAAACACAGGTAGGTATAAAATTATTTTCTGTTACGGACCACAATTTTACCTGAATTTAAATTTCGAAACTTTAGGTAACAATCTTGTTGCATTGTATGTTAATGACCACCCTTGGATAATCCCATTCAAAAACAATTGGTCACTTTCTTATATCTATGAACAGACCATACGTAGGAAAGCAATACAAAGTCTAATGTAAATAATTGAATTATAATGGATTTTTTCCTAGTTTGCTATTGGTTGATTTGTGGGGTATACTCAGTTTTATGAAACAGTGAGTACCATTTACATTTTCTTACCAAGAATTGGTTTTTATTACAAAACCATCAATAACAGACAAGTTTTGACGGAATCAAGAAGAGTTTCGGAACGGAGAACAAGATATTTGAAAGAAATCCAAGAAATTCGTGCTAAAAACGTCCCCATCTTATACTTAGATAAGCCTGGTATGAGAGTCACGATACCATGAAGAAAGGATGGATTGATGGTAACAGTAGGAAATGTTCGTTGGATGTGCCAGTTTCGCGGGGCAAACGAGTTATCATACTACATGCGGGCTTTGAAGCTGGTTGAGTAGATACCGCTTTGTTGCTTTCTGTAAAAGATGTCAAAGAAACAAAGGTTGACTACCACGAAAACATGACAGTAGATATCTTTGAAAAATGGTTTTCTGAAAAATTGCTTCCCAATATTCCACCAGTGTTGAACAACGCGAGCTACAATTCTGCAGAAGCAGAAAAAATCCAGAATTCGTCATCGGCTAAAGAAGTCATTCAAATTTTTTTGAAAATGATGTGTATTTTGACAACTGAAAATTCCTGTACAAAGAAGCAAGTTAAGACGGAACGTTTGATAGGAAAACAATCAATGAAAAAAAATTTCGAAGTGAGCACAAGATATTTGAGAGAAATCCAAGACATTGGTGCTAAAAACGTCCCCACCATATATTTAGATACGACATGGTTTGATAGCCACGAGAACGTAATGAAAGGGTGGCCTGATGGTAACAGCAGGTAAACTAACCAAACATCTTTGCAAAATGGTTTTCTGAAAAATTGTTTCCCAATATTCCACCAAACAGTGTTGTGGTGACGGACAACGCCAGCTACCATTCTGCACAAGCAGAAAATTTACCAAATTTTTCATCGACTACAGTGTGTCATTCAAAATCTTAAGACGGGAACTGTTTAAGAAGAAACAACACCTCGCCGAAATTTAGTTCTGGGGGAATAGAAATAATTAGAAGCGAAGTAGAAAAAATATCTGCTTCTAGTTGGAAACAATATGTAGAACAAATCATCTAAGAAGAAATTGTTTACAAGGTCTAGTGAATTAATTATTAATTTGGGGGACGCGTCCAGTGACAGTGATTATTTTGATGTAGAATAACTTTATATATATATATATATATATATATATATATATATATATATATATATATATATATATATTCTCACGTATTGATTCACGGATGGAAAAATGTGATGACACTATACTCCGGGATATCATCCGTTCGCTCGTTGAACTCCGACTGGAATCCTGCATCCGACTGGAATCCTGCAAATCCTGCATCCGACTGGAATCCTGCAGACGTTTCGCCAAAATCTCACTTGGCATCTTCAATGCTCGCGCTCCGAAAACACTTCGAACACTCGAAGTGTTCGAAGTGTTCGAAGTGTTTTCGGAGCGCGAGCATTGAAGATGCCAAGTGAGATTTTGGCGAAACGTCTGCAGGATTCCAGTCGGATGCAGGATTTGCAGGATTCCAGTCGGATGCAGGATTCCAGTCGGAGTTCAACGAGCGAACGGATGATATCCCGGAGTATAGTGTCATCACATATATATATATATATATATATATATATATATATATATATATATATATATATATATATATATATGTATATATTCTAACATTGTTTTATAGCTAAATTTACGCCTTCATTTATATTTATAATAAACATTTAAAAGTAAAAATAGATTTTTCAATGCATGGACTAATAATAATTAAGGAATCTCATCGATGAAACTGTTCACAAATCCGTCAGCTTTCAGCATAGGTATGCACGAAGTACCGAAGTACAGTTCTGGAACCTCTCAACCTCTGATGAATTAATTATTGTATGACTAAAAATATTGTGCATTTATTGCTTTGACGTTTTAAGTATGTTACAGTACATTAACCCTTCGCAGGACCGTGGTAAAACCGATTCCAACAGATGTTTATTCTGCATTAAATATATCTTCCCTGAGATGGACCGTAACGAATCTTTGTAGAAACTTTAAATTTTTATGAAACGTAAATGGACCATTTTAAATTTGATTAAGCATTGATGCTGCGGGGCATTTTCGCATAAGTAGAAGCGTTTATTTTAACATCAGATGATATGTATCGTTCTTATGAGTTTAATCTAAGTTGCAATATGTTCGTATATATTACTGAGGTATTTGAATGTGATCCTTTCAACATTCTTCTTGTATTTTTGTGTCTTCCACATAGTTCTTCGATTTGTAAACAACAGTCCTTTTTAAGACTATTCGACGGTTCGATAGCACAACAAAACCCGATTGAGATGATTTGGTATAAGTTGAAAGCGCATATAAGAAGAAATAACACTGCACCAAAATTTAGTGATAGTACCATAAACATAATTCGACAACAGGTAGCTAAAATATCAGTAGAAAGCTGTTCTAACTGAAAAATGAGTAATAAAAGAAGAAAATATTTATCGGGGAGGATTAGTGACGATTTTTTAAGTGACTTATCAAAATAAATAAGAACTAAAAGTTTAGATTTTCACGAAATTATGTATTTTCTTTTTTATTATTATATTATTTATATTTATTATATTATTTTATATTATTATTATATTTAATATTTCCACTATGGAGAAATGTAATGAAATAAAACGTGATAAATTGTTACTTTGTACTAATTTTCTTATGTACATGTTTCAAGAATTGCTCGGCGAAAAGGATTGAAAACATACTTATATCCCGCTTGTTAGTGTAGGTAGATAAATTCCTAGGACGCTCCTGGAATGGTTAGTTAGAAGGGGCTGCGGTTTTGGAGTAATAAACAGCAGGCAAAGTTAATCACGGGGTCGGTTGAAAAAACACAATATTTGTCATCGTGGTATACCAGTACATACCAGTATATCTTTGGAATTGAATTTAATCAATTCAGTCTAAATTGCACTTGGGAAAAAATTTCTCATTAGGATAAATGATTATGTGGTTGTCTTCCCACCGTGTTCAGTTCGTGATGATGCCTATAGTGTGTTTTAAAAAAATGTTACGTTATTATTTACATATAAGTCTTTATATTATTATATTATTTGGGACAATACTGCCTGAATTGTAAATAGTAACCATAGTATTCATAATTTCCCTGTAAATAGAAGAGGAAATCCAGCAGCATGAATCTATCTCACTTTATCACACTTGCTTACCCCATATTTATTAAAATTTATTAAGTATAAGGTCATTATTTTTAAACATATTTTGCTTTAAAAGTTGTATTATTATGACAATAAAAAAATGCTTCTAATTCAGAATATCTCATAATTAAAAAAATCAAAATAACAGAAGCAGAAGAAAAATATCTTTACTTTCTTATGTAACTAATCGAACTAATTTGTAGCGTAGCCTAAAAATGTATGATAGGAATAGAAAAGGGACTTATACTACAGACATGACACAAATTTATTAAGAGAACTTGCTCAAAATCAAAATCCAGGTGCACGTGGTCAATTTGAAAATCCTCGGCCGACCATGATTTTTGACGTTTTTCAAGAATATTTTTTTCGCAACAGTTGGGAAAAAAGTATTCTAAAAAAAGGAAATTCTATAATATTTGTGTTGGCCAAGGATTTTCAGGCTTGATATAAACTAATTGAAAAATCCGAAATAGAAAGATTGAGAGAGCACGGAAGCCACAAGAACTTTCGACTCGAGCAAAAACTGACAAATTCACCACCTTTCCGACGTTTCCTCCCTTTTTTAAATCGCTTTCATCGTATTTATCGTACTTTAACGTGCAGTCCTTAATCTCAAACAAAATAAAAAATAATACAGCGCGTTCAAATAAAAAAAGCCCGATAACTTGTGACCTGAACTTATTCTGATTGCAACACTGAAATCTACCTAAAAAATTATATGTCAAATTATAAACAATACACATACGCAAGTTATAAAATGCAAATTGGACCGTAAGTACTTTAAAAGAAATATTTCCAAAAAGCGTTTGTTTCTAAAAGCGGAAGAAAATTCTATTTGTGCGATCATTGCTTTCATAAAATTCTAGGCCTATCCGCGGCACTTCTTTATCGCTAAACTGATTGCATTGTTTATATTGTTTAATTATTGCTACTTTATTTCCGATAAATAAAACAGATTCGGATTCACTGTACAACATCAATCTGTTCGGTCATTGGGTTACTAAATGAATATAAACTTTGCAATGAATTTTTAACCAAGCCCGCCCTGCGAAATAGGTTAAAGAAATTGCAGCGTTTATTGTTATTGTTATCATTATTGTTGGTTACCATCTCACGCGATCTTAATACCTTGTACTTAACTCAGTGTGCTTCGCATAAACGAACCGAACTAGCAACTGTTTCTATGATGTCTCAACAAAAAAAAGTTTGGGCGATAAGTGAAGATGGTAAGCGAGGAATCATTGATTTTCTCAAAGTTGATAATTTGCTATCCCCGTGTCACAGGAACCATCGAATTCATCTCGGTGACGTCAGATAAAGTAGAGGAAACAATTTCAATGATGAGGGAAGGATTTATCAAATGCGAAAACGTATGTAATGTAATTGGGTTGGCTACTCGACCTCAACTCTTTCCACATGTCGAGCAACTTTTCCGTTACTACATACGGGATGGCGTCTCGATCATTGCTGTTGAAAAGGCATCCGAAAAAATCGTTGGGGCTCTAATAAATAAAACCTATTCGGTTAGTTCTTTTGCATTCGAAATAATTACTATTACTTACTATTTACTTACAAAATTGCGGTGGAAAATATAATAAGTTGCTGGGCATTTCAGTTTATTCTAAATAAAGCCAACCCTCGCTATGTTCTTCCACATTTCGTTTCTCAAATCTGCTTGAATTAAATTAATGTTAATTTGACATGTTTATTTTCAATTGCAAAATTACTTCTGAACTGCAGATAAAACTAATAGAAATAATCTAATATTATTGAATATTTCTTAAATTGTTAAGGGAAAACCCACCTAAATAATGATTTTTTAAGAACTAAACGGGAGAATTTTATATGAATAGAAAATATGGGGGTTCGAGACAGATTTTGAAAGAATAGCAATGTTTTGTAGCCGTATTTTTATTAAAATTAATAAGACTTGAGGGTCAAATTTATAGTCGTTTCTTGAACCTTTATTTTTGCTTAAATCGTCTTTTAAATGAAATTGACTTCAAGAACGCTTTAAAAGACAAAAGTTTGATCCTAAGAAAAACATAATGATATACCTACTGAGTTTGATTTTAATGTGTGAAACAAAATATGCATGTCTTTATCGTAAACCATCCTTTATTTGATTGTCCAGTTTAAACTCGTCAAGTTTTGAAAATTGTCTCATGAAAAATATTCGCTGGTGTTTGTTGTATTTAACTTTTGCAATTTTGTTATCATATTTAATTCAATAACTGAAGATTGGCTTATTAATAATTATTCAAACTCGGTCTATGAGTTAATCATACCAACCACTTATATTAAAACTTTGCTATAAAATGTAGAGTGGAGCCAATATTTGGCCCTCTAAAAATTTACGTTTTACAATTTACTATACAATTTACGGTACATATATAAATACATACTTATTTTTTTATATTTTATATATTAATTATATTTTTTATCGCCTAGCATAAAACATATAAAATAGAAGAAAAAATATTGAAAATCACAATTTCAGAAAATTATCTTAAAATCTTGTTTTATTTAACAATGCATATGAGAGCAACGTGTTATAACATTGTATATCAGGAATAATATAATAATAATAATAATAATAATAATAATAATAATAATAATAATAATAATAATAATAATATTCATAAAGTTTATTCATCAAAATAAATGTTAACATAACGTACATAACAAAATAATATTATTAATTATTATGAATTAATAATAATTTTAATTTTAATTATTATTTATTATATAATTTTTTGCTTGTTAGTGCTTGATCATACTTAATATAAATATAACCACAGGAGGCCATTTTTTCTACCTGGAATACAGTCACAGTTAAGTTTATATTAATTATAATCGAAATAAAGTCACAATGGTTTAAAACGATTTTTAAATAACGCTAGCAAACACCTTATGAGTTGCTAATCTGCCTGTAATTTGAAATTTTTCACGTACAATTTTTTGGGTCAGTAGTAGAAAACTACTCCCGTCTGTAAAATACCTAATTACCCACCGATCAAGCGTACGGGAAGTGTCACTTTACCACGTCAGTTTCGTTTCCCATGAATCCGAACAACTTCGGGCATTTCCGGGATTTTACCGCACGGATTTGGGAGAAATCGGATGATTTCGGAGATATTTCCCACGCTTTGAATTTTGACGTTTGTCAATTCCGACAGAAATGTCAGTGAATGTATTTGTGTTTTACGAAAATGTACCCAAAAACTAACGGTCGTAGAAAAAGTATAGTATGCAACACGTTCGGTAAACTTTTTAACTCACTCGTTTATTAAACACTCGCTCCGCTCGTGTCAAATAAACTCGTGAGTCAAATGCCGTTTACCGCACTTGTTGCATAATATACTATTGCTAATTCGGATCACTACACAATCATTTGTATCTCGGGTATTCTGTTGATGTGTGATACTTTCAAGTTTATTTCTCTTTGAATCGAAGTACAGTTGACGGGTGTCTAGTATTCTGATTTCATTATATTAAATGTGAGTAGGGTATAACCGATTTTTATTAAGTATTAATTTTAGCACCGACTTTTGTAAAACGTTTCTTCCAAATAACAGTTTCTTACTTCTCCCCAAATCCACAATACCGTAATTTATTCGCGATTTAAGGAGGGAGTAGTAGACTTGTTTAAGATAATGAATATTTAAGTAATCTTTAAGATGAGATACATAACTGTAAATCTTGTTCAATTAGCCAAATATTTAATATGTTTGTCCCACCTTAGATGACTATCAATAATTATGCACAAATATTTTGCAGAATCAGTCTTTAGAATGTCATAATTGTGCTCCAGTTTAATGGTTTCAAAGTGTGGTAGAGTATTAGACTAAGATGCAGAAGGAAGAAATGTTGTCTTAGTGTTGTTTAAAGTCATACTTAAACCACTTGCTAATATTGCTAAAATCTCGTTCTGCAATGCAAGTTAATTCCAGTTTTCTGCGGTGTCATCTGCAAAACTGAATATAGTTCCTTCACTATAAATATCTAAGATATCGTTTATATAGATTGTGAACAGTATTGGAGCCAATACCGTTCCTTGTGGAACACCGCATGTGACGATTCTTGTTTTGCTTTTAACACCATCAATATTCACAAATTGGTTTTTATTTTTCAGATAAAGGTTTTACGCACTACCCCTAAATCCATATTTTTCAAGTTTTTTTATTAATTTGGCATGACATACTGTGTCGAAGTCTTTCATACGATCAGCGGAAAACGCACAAGGAAGCTTGCTTGGTATCTATTAGCATTATAAATGTGCGAAGTCAGATTAAGTAGTGCATAATGTTGGTTTTCCAAATTTTTCGATCACCACCTGTTAATTGCTAACTTTATTCAACAAGTAATAAACAACAATTTTATTTACCAAAATCATCCCATTAATATTACAAAAAAAAACCCTTTTGTAGATTCGTGGTCCTAGTTTTTATAATACGTTGCCAGAGAGCCTTAAGAATTTATCACCTGAAAATTTTAAAACACAGATAAATTAGTTGTTTTCTTTCTTAATTTAGTGCTCCAGTAAAATGTTTGTTTAATGTATTTTCTATTTTTAAATGTAACCTGTCTTTATACTTCAATGATGCATTCTTTTTGCGAATTTTATTTAATGATTTTTTTATATTATAAACCTAACAATGTAAAAGTTGCCTGTGTAAAGGTAACATAGAAAATGTTATGTACTGTATTAGAACCGGCTCAAGAGTTTAAATATAATAAGAAATTATTTCGACAAATTTTAAAACCCCGCGCAATGGAAACTACCACCTTTCTGAATTTAAGTTATCCAAATATTTTCGGAACGTTGTCCAATTTCCGACGACTTGTTGTAGGCCGAATTAGGGCTTCATCAGACGTACGAGAAGTACCACGGCACATCGCAGCACCCCACGATGGTCGCATTTTTCCAGTTTTTACTCGAATCGCAAGCCGGATTAGATTATTTTAAAGAATATCACGTGGACGGCCTGATGGACATGGCGTTCGTAGGGGTACTTCCCGAGTTTAGAAAGAGAAAAATCGCGTTGACGCTATTTCGTGTATCCCTCGAATTGGCTACGTTGTTGATGAACGGCAAAAACGTAAGACACTCGATAGACGGGATCCGTTTGCCTTTGGAGCCAGCACCGAAAATATGTGTCGCACTGATGACATCTGTCGCTACTCAAAGGATTGCGGCGCAGTTGGGCTTTAAAAGGCTCAGGACCGTTAGTTACGAGAATATTTTTTTCGAAGGAAAGTCGTATGCGAGCGCGATCAGCGACGATACTTTCGGATACACCGTGGATTGTAAATTGTTAAAATAACAAAACCATTGTGAAACAATAACTACTAGTGTTTTGGATTGGATTTGTGGAAGATAAAATAAATGGTCTTTAAAATTTCAAATGCTTGTAGTTTAGTGTGAATAGCGGGTGCAATAATTGCACATATAAAAAAATAGCAATTTTTAATTAATTTGAATATTTTTTGTTTTAAAAAGAGAATAATACAATTCAATATGTAATTATAAACACACATCACTATAAATTTTGTAATAAGTAGGAGAGTTGGTATGAGTTATCTCAATATCTCGGTTTTTATTTTTCTGAATCACTAATTTTTTCAGAACTATTATTTTGAGGATCTGCCACTATTCCACCCTGTGAGCGATATGTTAATTTGACATTTTTTAGTTGAAAACACCTCAGCAACACACTCCCAAGCTATGGCAGTGGGAAACCCTGTATATTGAGCGGATGCCCGAACCGTTATAGTTCTAATTAAGTTACAGTAATTATACAATAAATTTGCTTGGCCACTAACGCTTGCATAAAAGCCATTCATCAAAATATTTGTTTATGTTATTGACGTTACTTTGCGCACCAGATCATTGGAAACTTTCATATCGTTTGTTTTTAGTAGTAACTAAATGGACCAATAATCCGAATTTTGCATTTATTTATTTTCTATATCGACAATGTATAATAAATATATTCGCTATACTAAACAGCCTTGCCATCTTTAAGTAGGTTACATATTAATGCTACTACGTTGCGGCAGAAGTATTTTACAAATACCCTGGCTTTGTATCGATTCAATGTAAAACTTTGGGTCCAATTACAACGAAACAAACCAAAAAATATCTTATTCTAACCGCTAACGTGACGTAAGATAAATCTTTTCAACATCAAAACAACGACACCTAATATTTTTGTTAATATAACAATTTTGCTTAGGCCTTAAAACATTAAAATCGACGATATTGACGTAACGCCAAGTGACATTTAATCGACATTAAATTCATTTGCATTGTTCTTTGCTGTCGCCTTCCCGACATTACTCTTAAAAATAATTTTCATTTCTCAGTCTTTTTATAAATACTGGCTCATTATCTTCATCCTCCTAAAATAACAATTTGAAAACATGTTACAAAAAATATCGCGGTCATATAAAACTTACAGCAAAATAAGATGGCGCCTCTATTTCCACGTTTCTATGAATTCCACCCTCTTTGCATGTTAGCCAGTACGTCTCCATAAGACCTTTTCCCTATAAACAAAACCAAAAGTATAACAAGCTCTAATTGCTTATACTTTTTTGTTTGTTTATTCTCAGTGGTCTATTCATCGAACCATTAAATTTTGCCCAGAAGAACTTTTTTCGAATATTAACAGAGGGGTACTCTAATTAACTTACCTTCACTTCAACCATTCCGCGTTCTTCGGTGCGAAATCCACCAATGGCATCCAAAGCTTTCTTCATCTCTAAGCTTATGTGAATTTTAGACGCTATAAAAATGAGAGTTAACTATTTTTGACCTGGATTCCTATTATTATTTTACTGACCTTCGCCAGTAGATTCCATTCTCGATGCCGTATTGACGGTATCACCAAATAAACAATATCTGGGCATTTTGGAACCAACTATGCCTGCTACCACGGGTCCAGTATGAGCACCCGATCTGATTTGAAGTTTTTCCGATTTCCGGTGAGGAATCTTAAAATGTTTCGATCCCGCCAAGAGATCCAGAGCCATGCTGGCAATTTCCGCCACGTGCTTGTTACCTGGAAATAAAATATTTTTCGTTACTAACGTCTTATTCCCGCAAAGTTCCTCAAACAATGCAAAAGAGGAAGGTATGCAGTAACGCTCTCTTACCGTTTTTTACGGGTAATCCTGAAGCGACCATGTAAGAATCGCCGATAGTTTCAACTTTATAGACGTCGTAACATTCTATTTTGGCATCGAACTGCTTGTAAATTTTATTTAAAAATGTTACTACCTGAAATAAGTTTGAGTCAGGAGTTTAGTATTTGCATTTCAATGCAGTTTGCATCGTCCTATTTGAGAGTTGTTAAAAATCCAAACTTTCGATAACATATAATATGTTATTGGAAAATATTGCGCAACATGAGCAGATAGCACTGAACAACAACAACAGACCTAATTTTTTATATTTGAGTTCATTTAATGTAAAATAAGGCAATATTAAAATGGCAAAGTAAGGTAAACGGTATTTTGACGTACTCTCGTACAAAAAGTATAATATGCAGCACCTTTGGTCAACACTAGCGTCTCAAACTTCCATTGGCTAAAATGCTATATTATGCAGCAAGTATGGTAAACGACATTTGAGTCATTAGTTATTTGGTACCAGCGCAGCGAGTGTTTAATAAACGAGTGACAGAAAGTTTACCAAACGTGTTGCATACTATATTTTATCTACGACCGTTAGCTTTTGGGTACATTTTCGCGAAACAACACCAATACATTCACTGAAATGACCATCAGAATTGGCAAACGTCACAATTCAAGCCATGGAAAACATCCGATTGCGCCCAAACCCGTCCGGGAATATCCCGGAAATGCCCAAAGATGCTCGGATCCGTGGGAAACGAAACTGGCGTGGTAAAGTTACGCTTCCCGCGCGCTAGATCAGTGTGTAATTAGGTATTTTACAGACGGGAGTACAAAAATATATTTGAGGACTACATAAATTAAAAAAGTTCAAAGTAAATGGCTGGGATGTGTGGGAAACGAAACTGACGTGATAAAATTAGGTAATTTTTCTACTCCCGTCTATCTAGCGTGCGGAAGGCGTCACTTTACCACGTGAGTTTCTTGTCCCACGGATCCGAGCCACTTCGGACATTTCCTGGATTTTACCGCACGGGTTTGGGAGCAATCGGATGTTTTCGGATATTTTCGTTTATTAAACGCTGTCAAATAATCTCGTGAATCAAATGCCGGTTCCGCGCTTGTTGCATAATATACTATACTAACGTGACAATGTAAGTTCGAAAGGCCAGTATTGGCCAAAATCAATCCTTGTGTACCTTTAAAGAAACATGCAACAACAAATTTCTCCAAACACTCGTTCGTTAATGGAACTTGTTAAGTTATAAAACAGTTTCATTTGTCTGGCATTACTGATCTAGCAAAAAAAAAATATCCATGGAACTTCAAACACAGAAAAGGCAAAAAGCAAATACATATCTATATACTGAGTTTTTTTTGGTTTGTGTTTTGGATTTAAATTAAAATTTTGCCTAGGCAATTCTGCCATCTATGGACTCACCTCCAGTGGAGTGCTTATCGCGGCGATCTCAGTAAACCCCACTATGTCGCTGAAATAGACCGTAACAGAGGCGTAATACTCAGCAGGAACCTGTCAGAACGTTCAATTTTAAATCGCTTGAGGCGAAGTTTTCAGTGTTTACTCAATTAATACCTGCCTTGTTTGTTTCAATTGAGTCGCCACACTCGGAGGTAACATTTGAAAGAGAAGGAGGTCACTTTTTCTCTTCTCCCTTTTCAGCTCCTTAGCCTTCTTAGATAAGTTTGCCGCGTATAGCTAAAATTGACACCGCAAATAGAGATAGATGGGGCGGTTTGCTAACCGTCAGCCTAACCTGAATGGTTGCCACAGCGTTATGGACCAGCCATATAATGACCGGCGATACGGCTAGTACTACCACCAGAATCGCGATGCCCAACGCTTCTTGGTGGGCAGCGTCTTGCAAGTTCTCGTGGACGTAGTCTCTATAAAAGCCGACAAACATCTTAAATAAAGAACTGGAACAAATTTATTGCTCCCTAGAACTGATTGATGTGACACTACGATTTTCTGGAGGTACGTACTTTGACAACCTTGATATAGATAATGTCAAATGGTGTTTCCATTTGAGTGCTTGAAGAGGAACTAATCGCGATTGGTCTTTGATCATCATCAGGGTGGCAAGATAAAGTTTAATGACTTGCGAAAATTAAAAGCTCTTACCCAATTGTAACTCTCAATGATCTCTGCAGTTTCCTCAGTTCGTCGATGTACAAGGCAATCGAATCAAAATAATTCAGTGCCGAAGTGTAATTTGCGTTTATCTGTTCGTTGCGGATGATAATGTCATTACTGAAATCGAACACACCCTTAAAGTTTTATTAAGCACGGTGCATCCGCTCACTTTTTCTTAATGTTGCCGTACTCGTGCATTGTCATGGTCAAAATCTGGTACTCTTTTTTGAGTTTGGGGACGTAGTTCAGCGAGGTGTTGAGTAAGTCCCGCGCTATCGAATCGTGTTGGATGTAACTTATGTAGTTTCGGCGTTTCAAGAAGCCTTGTCCAAAATAATTCACCCCGTAAACACTTGCCACGCCTGTACTCTCTATACTTTTCAATAAATTTTTGAATGCCAGCAAGTACCTGAAAATTAAGTTATTCTACAAGTATGGGGAATTTTAATTTGTAGCAACTACCTCCAGACGCCGCTGGTATCTGTTTCCTTGATTTGTTGCGTCATCTGTTCAAGCATGGCCGAATTAACTGAAGTATACCACGATAAGACGTCCGTGATAGTAGTTTCTTCGGATTGCTTGACCGTTTGCCTGAAAAATGAACTCAAACGCTCAAAGAATCAATTGATTCTCTACAAAACTATACTTATGCTGATAATATATTTACTTTTAAAATTAACATAGAAAAATGTTGATAGGAGACCCTTTCTAGCAGTTAGACTTTTCGGGAGAGTTCGCGAATTTGAGAATTTTTAGTTAGAGAAATATATTTTTTTAATTTAAATTTAAAAAGAAAGTTTTATACAAAAGGTGTAGGCTTTAATGTGTAATTTATATAATGTTCTTATATACACATTTATGGTGATTTGAAAAATATAGTGATGTCGTAGTTATTTTTTGCATTAAGCCCAGAATTAGCAAAACAATAAAATCGTTAGTTACTTTTCCATTCATCAACATAGCGTCACGCCAATGCCACGTCCTTTATTTAATTGTGGCAGTTGTGGCATATCTTGACATTTAACTAAAAATTCGAAATATTGTCATTATTGACCAGAAGATAAGCGCATAATATCCAAAATGATATTCAATCGCGATTAACAACATTTTCGAGAAAAAACTTGGCAGTGCGTTTTAAATCCTGATGAAAAATTCAATTTTGTTTTATATTCCTTAGGAATCTTCGTTCAATGACTTGTTTAGCCAAATAGGTTAATACAAGTTTTTCATTATTTTTTAAAAATGCATTACCCGACAGAATACCCGACATAAAAATGATTGTGTAGTGGTCCCAGTGTGCAAAAAAACTGTCAAGCAAAGTTTTTCAACTACTTACTCAAAAAACTTAAAAACACTGTATACGATAAAAATTTCAAAGTAGTACTAAAAAAATATTTTATCATTACAGACGGATTAGAAATTTATAAGGTGTTTTGCTTGCGTTATTTGGAAAATCGTTTTAGTTTCAACCGCCCCCCCCCCCCCCCTTCAATTTGACGTTATGTGAACATTTATTTTGATGAGTAAACTTTATTATGATTATGGAAAAAGTTTTGGAGAGGTTTGAGAAACTTAAAAAAAAAGTATCTAGGACCCATGATGGAGCTCATGCAAAGGGCACTCGATTGAATCTAGCAAATTCTTATACCTAATTCAAACAATTTTACGATTATTTGCGATCCCCATATTATCAAATAAAATAAGTAGTTCACCGACATACGTTGGTCGTCTTATTTTCTAAGAGAGGCATATATCTTGATTTTTTATCCATATTTGACGTATCCAAGTGTTTAATTTCAGGTAGTGGGTATCATCTGACTATGTGTAATCGAAATTTCGCTGCTATTTGCCCCTTGCCCTTTGGAAAATTAGACAATGGGGCTGAACTGGATCACAGATGCAATAACAGTGGAGATTAAGCGAATCCTGTAATTCTCAACGGTTTCAGTTCAACCTAATACGGTCGAATTAACGAGTTGAAACTGAATGTTCACGCCGCAAAGGGTCTATTTGTCTGAATTCTGAATGCTTAACTATCCTAATGTACTTGTACAAATCTACTAAAGACGTGGCACCCCAAATTAATCGCGCCAACATCATAAAGCAATTATTTCAAACTAATTTAAATTTAAATAATTTCTATATAGCGGATGCAGGAGAAACATAAATGAGATCATCGAATCAAATCCGCGTCAACAGAAATATAAATAAAAATATTTAGGTGGTTCGAAACAATCCCGAATCGTTTGTAAATTGTAATTTCAACGAAATATTTATGTATTTAAATGCAAACGATCGATTTGCATACTCACCGGAATGTTGTGAGGTTCTTCAGAAACGTCTCTCTATCTAAATATACCTTCCTGCCGTCTTCAAAATGTAGCGTTAAAGGCCAGAAGCTCATGTTTTGCAATGCCTCGTTCGTTAGTTGAAACCTTTGCTCAAGATTTGTCCTGAAAGATATAAAGGTAATTAACCTTTATATCTTTCACCTTTGGTTAAAAGTTCAGATCTAGTAGTTAATAATTATATTAATGTAATGACAGTATTTACTTAAAAAAACTTACTTAAGTTACTTAAACTTAAGACCTAATCAAGAAACTAAGTGGTGGGAAAAACTGTGGTATCCGGGACGATCTATTGAAGAATTTTAAAAATTAATGGAAATAGGAGGGGAATAGGAGAATTCTAGAAAAGAATGATGATGTTCCATAGTAATGTATCTAGCCGAGATATGTGGGTGGAAAAGTATATGAAAAACACTTAAAGTGAGTGATACAGCTTTGAAGATAAACTACAGAATATGTAGCATGAAAGAAAACATTAATGTGGAAGAGCATGCAAGATAGGAACAGAAAGCTGGAGAAAGTATGTTATGTTTAAAGTATGAATGTAAAAATAATAAAAAAAGGTTTATGAAAGAAATTGCAAGTGGCCAGACACACTGAGAAGACAAGCTTATGCAAACGGTTGTATGTATGAATGTGGAACTGAGGATATTGAAACAAGAAAACGTTAGCTTAATAAAATAAGTGCTGTAAAACGTAAGGAAAAAAGAAGTGTACTCGAAGAAAGAAACCCGATTGCAACGGCTGTTTAAAAAGTAAATAGGACAGCTTCATTGGAAAATGGTTTTATTAATTGGTAATCCGTTTCCTAACTGGGAATCATTGCAACTATTGTATAGTGTACTTCTTTTTTTCCCCTTCTCCGGGTCATTTATAGCCATATCAATACTAAACACCTATTTTTAAATAAGACGTATATTACATTAAATAATATCTTAAATAATTATTTTCTTTCCTAAGTTTCTAAATTTTGGTGCTGCTTCAATACGCTCTGCTTCTATTTTCAGAATTTTTCTGATTTATAACCATGTAAAATAATAATTATTAACACTAATAGTTAAACCATATTCTCAACTGAATATGAAGTTGAAAATTTTCAAAATACCAGTAATGACTTACAATTTTCATCAGTATCACAAAATATTCAACAGTAAATTAACAGACCCAAAATTTCTGCTTGAAGTTGTTATCAACAATATAAACCATCTTTCGGCTTCGTTTTAGAAGTGATTTTGCAAGGGATAATTTAACTCATTTGATACAAAAATATGTAAAAAAAAAATCAAAATGTCAAAATGTGCAATGATACGACTGAAAGTTCTTACCGATAGTGGGTCCCATTCGTGTAGACAAAAAATGCCACTTCCGATCTTTCCAATTGCATTCTAGTGACTACTTTTCCGAGCTCCGTTGCAGCTGTTACCTTTTGAAAATAGTTATCGTTAAACTTTAATTTCCATTTATTATACCATCAAAATGATTAGAAAATTAACACAAGCACAAAAATTTGTAACCCCGAAAATTAAGTTATTTGTTTTCCTGGTAACCAAACTTTAGACATAAAGTGTTAATTAGGAATTTTTTCGTACCACTGAAACTAACCAGAATTAATTCAAATTTGAGGGATATCCGGAATAAAATGAATCACTCGGGCAATACATTTTTTCTGTGAGATTTTGATCAAAATTTTGATTCGATTCCGCCAAGGTATTTCAAAAATACTTCCAATTTACCAAATTTAATTTGACGCACAAATGTCTTTTCTAAAGTGACATCATTTTAATTATAATTTTTGTGTATTTAAAAAAGAATTTATCAAAAGCAAGGTTTTAACCCACTTCATAAAAACCAAGCTTTTATACTATTAAACATTATAAATAGTGCTCATTTTGCTGCAAATTTTCGGCACTTCTACTTAACCAATCCCTCTACGTTCTTATGTGTTTGTGTTATATTAATATTTACCCCATTTCACGCGAAATTTCCATTTTTATGCGCCTCTCCTATAAATGAAAATGGAATATAAATATTTGACGATAAAAAATATCTAAAGCGGTTTGAATTTCTAACGTTATTGCCGCCCGGCTTTTTTTAAAAATCCACTTCAAAAGATTGTTTGTATGTAGGCGACGCGCTCTCATTTGAGGCAGTTTTATTTTACAAAAGCGGTTTGATAAACCCAGATCACGTTTAAACGAATCCACAAAATTAATCATCCGATTGAATAAATTCGATTTGTTTTGATTTCGTTTGGTAAGTCTATCCGCCTTTACGTGTGCTGTGAATTTGCTTTGACGTCACTATATTGCCCCACGATAGTTCAGAGAGCAACAAAATTCCCAATCATGCATTGGATAATATAGGGTTTCTACGAAAAGTTTCAATTAAACTAACTACCACCATAGTCATATTTGTCATAGTAATTGCACACTAATTGATAATACGCTATATGCTTTTATTTAAAAAAATATTAAACAAATTCTTGTACACAAATTATTCGTGAAGCTTAGCAGTTTTTCTGCTCAAAATAGTACATTCACTGATCTAAACTAGAATGGCAATTAGGGTGGGACGTCAAAAAGAAAAATGATTCTTTTTTTAGATCTGACACATAAAAACTAGATGTTGCTACCTCCAGTTATCTCTAGAAAGTGCTTATAATGTTCTTAATATTAGTCTCATATATAAATAATCATATATTATCATCAATGTGGTATTTAAATGATGAACTTATCATTTTATCACTGTTAAAAAATTTGAGATCGATCAAAAGATCATCAATTCGATTATTCAAAAGGATTTGAATTTGTTCAAATATTTGACCTACCATTTGATTTCTTGAGAGTTATAATAAAAATGAAGAGTATTTCAAACAAACCAAAGATGTAATTGACGCAGCAGAGCGTCGATTAGAGTTGGTCTCTGGAATATAATCAGTGTTTGACGAAAAACTAAAAACGGTTTCAATATTTCAGCAAGCTGTCAAAGAACATCGAGGACTATTTGCTGAATATAATAAAAGTCGATTTATATAACTAAATCTAAAAAATGTACATTTTTCTATTAATACTGTATTAAGGTATAAAATTTCATATGGTGAAATAGAATTCTTTTTCTATTAATGCATTTATTGATATTTTATAAGACAGAATTTTTTTCTCATATATATATAGTGAATAATCTCAAAATTTACTAAGTTATTGAATAAATAAAATAAATAAAATAAATGGTTTGAGTAATTGATAAACCACAGATCATTAAATTTCCCAATAAGAATAATTAAAAATATTTCACGATAATTATTTTTTAGTGTCACCTCGGATATCTTTGAAATCATTCGATTTATAAAAAAAGTATAAGCGACCATTTTTGTAGAATTTTCAATCTCACTATTGATGGGAAGATTTGTTTGACTGTTTTTTCCTTGATTTTCAGTAAACAATATATGTAAAAAATAAAGAGCATAAAAGTACATAGATGGTAGAAAAAAAACATACTTGACATATTTTTTGGAAAAACTAGACATATTTGTGCGCATGTTTTAAGCATTTTCTGTGCATAAAAATCCGAACTGCACTCATTAATAATATATACCTGGTAAATACTTTCTAGAGGTAACTAGCAAGTAGTTTTTGGGTGTCAGATCCAAAAAAAATATTTTTTTTTGATCCACCCTAATGGCAATGCCGAAATAAAAAGGAAAGATATATTTTACGACAAAAAAAGATTGCTAGTAATGGGGATTGATTTATTTATTTATAGAAACGGGAATATTAATTAATAATCAAACAATATTATCTTGAATTACTTGTAAAAAATTTAAATTTATAATAATCTATAATAAACAAATTGAGATGTTCACTTAAAAAATCAAAATATTTACCGCGAAATTTGCTCACAAATCGATACCGGTTATCAATAGTTAAACTAAATATAATAATTATTTTGCATACATTTAAGTTCGGAGAGTTTTGCACTTCTTTTTAGGGGTAGAAATTATTGTTTTAGAAATATCTGATTCTATTTACTGTCCAGTTACAAGTGGCGAATGAAATGTGATTCGTCGCTTAGTATATTAAGCCAAAACGTCCTCGTTCGACCATTTACTTTTCCGAACCGTATTCGCCTGAAACCTGACCTGCTATCTGTTGATGAGTTACTAATGTAATTAAAAGAAAACGAAATTCAGCGAAACTTTCGCTCTTTAGACGGCACTAATTACACTTTTGCGTTAGCCTCTCCCCAACGCCGTTCCATTCTTCATCCTCGGTAATTTTTGAAATTGGAAAATTCTCAATGCCAAAAGTTAAGAATTAAACGAAGCTAATATTAGTCATCAAAGCGCCAACGAAGACGGTCAAAGGTTCCACTGTCTATGTACTAATCACGATTAATGTTTAACCGTTAAATTGTTAATCAAGGCGATGCATTTTCTCTTAAGCGACCTGGATTCGACTGAAGATAAATTCAATTTAGGTGGCATTATACAAGTGCTGTGTTTCTATTAGGACGGCAACGCGTACGGAGTTGAAAGTTTGGGGTGATTGGAATTTAATGTGTTCGGCCTTATTGAAAGTTTCTATTCCGCCAAGCGGCGTTTTTTAAAATCAATTTCGCTCCAACAAGATGAAAATTAATCAACTTCCCACGTAGTTCTGTTGTCAATCAAATTAAACTACCGTACCAAACCCCATTAACCAATATGCCACCTGTATCCGCAGAGAAGTCAGTTTAGTATTTTAAATGCATTGTGGCTTCATTTGCGGCATTTTTGCTAAAATATTTTGACACCATCAACTTAAAAGGCAACTTTTGCAGATACGGTGTCATATTTATATTGGAAATATGGACCTAACGAAAATTCTAAGCTCGAAGGGAAATTTAATAGGTACTTTTTGCACCTTTTTTTGTGAAATCGACATTTTTATTTTTGCACTCTGCTGTTCTGTTTTATTGAAATTATAAATTAAAAGCAGGGGCTAACTTTTTAATGATCAACTACCAAATATAGTTGCGGACAGACCTCTCAATTTAGAAAACAACTGGCTACTAAATTTTTATTTTTTGGGGCCATAATTTAATTATCTGTTTTTTTAGCCTATTAGGGACCTAATATATTCCTGAGTTACATCTCGTATATTGGATTCAAAAAGGATTTAAGATTAGAACCTCCCACAGCAGTGATAAATCGTTGTTTTGGGAATGTATTTTAAAATGAACAAAAAAGAAACTAACAAAATAAACGCAGTTCTATTGCATTGAAAGCAAATCATTTCTAACCTAAAATATTTACTATTTCCGAAATTTAAGCTATTATCGGGAACTTTATACTTCCGTAAGAGCGGTTAGTAACGGAAAACGTAATTTTTATCAAATTTCATAAATACATAAAGTCCTCCAGTTTTTTTATTTATTCAATAAGATTGAACACGAAATAATGTATTGGTTGATTTTATTGATCTAGATGATTCTCGTTAATGATAGATGATAGTTTGATCAAACTTAATTCGTTGAAGACGAACGAATTAACGGCACAGGTTATCTACACAAAACTCAGCGTGTTCCATAATAGCAAAACCACTTACGTAGCAAATTTCTGGAATAAAACAAATTTATTAAAAAGCAACCAATACGGCCCTGTCCCGGCAAAAAAACATAGAAACATTGAAACAGTTAAGCAATAGGGACCGGAGAACGGAGTGCCTAACCCTGTGTGTAAATATGTGTACATAGGCGCCATTAGCCACCAGCTGGGTATTTTATTACCATAGAAAACACATGTTTTATTGCGGTGTTAATTTATATGCCTGGCCGCTTTTATTAATTGGGTCGAGATACTATCGACTTCTATCCATTTTCTTGCCCTTATTACAGAGCACCACTTAAACTATAGATTAAAATATCATAGCCAATTTGGTAATATACTACGACTGATAGCGAACCTGGTTCTCGATATCCATACTCTCCCGCCTCAGTATCACTATATCGTTCAGCATGATAGAAGTTTGAACTATCAGCGCCATTATGGGAATAAACGGCAGTACCAACATCTGGAGTAGGTGGAGTTTTCGCCCTCTGCCATCGGCGGGGTTGATGGATTTCGCGCAACAGTATCCTCTTGGTGCTACCTGGGAAACATCTTCTGAACTCAAGGACCGTAGCGAGGAGTCGTCTCCTTCTGATATGTTATTGGCGTGGTTCTTCGAATGATTGGATGTCATGTCTGGAATAAGTGTTTTATTGTCTAACCAAGTTCTGATTTACAATGAAACAGCATAGTAACTTGAGGGAAGCAACCCAAATGCTAAAATGAATTTGGTAAATAATCTAGGATCGAAGAATGTTCTGCTAGATTCATCGAAACAACTAGTGAAAATAATTAAAACAATTCTGTTAAAATAGCCAATCCACTTAGTAAGGAGGGCTAAAAATTAGGATGTTCAACAAATTCTTATCTCTACTCTTATGGTAGTGCCAATTCCCGATCTAATGTCAGTTGATTTTATTGACCTAAAAGCCTTGCAAGTTTCACTATACGTACGTATTAAATATTAGAAAATATTTAAAAACTTAGTCATTGAATAGTGTTTTAACACTAACATGGATAAAGAAGAGAAGAAACTGATGTGTGAAGTCAGTGTCAGTGTCAGTGAAATAGAAATTAGTTTACATATATCATAGGTTACCCTCCTATGAGCGCTTATAGCGGTAATTTTAAAACTCTCCTTTATAACTCACATTTTTCAATATATCTTAATTTTATCACTCTATAGGTACTTGGTAACTGGAATTTTTTAACCTCTGTATAATATAAATGTCAACAAAGACAACATGGCTGTTGTATTAATTAATCTAATCAGTTCGTTGATTGAGAATCTTATATGTTACATGTAGTTTGGTCGCCAGTAGATGGAATCTCGCTGAAAAACGGTTTTTGAAATTTATTGAGGTTCCCAAAACACATTTTTCACACTTTATATTGCCACAATGGCTTGACGTTATGGCATTAGATGCTTAATCTCCTTTAAGATCTAAATTTCCCGTCTAATAAAAAGGCGTGTTATTGGGAAAGCTGAAACCAATTAATGGAATCTAATAATGAGAGCGACAGCTTCTAAATTGTTTTTCAGTTGGAAATTTATATGAAATGAGCTTGGAGGGGCGATCAAGTGACGATTCGATTTTTCAAAAACGCGGTTTATTTAGCCTGGCAACAAGTACAAGGCACGAACCTAATTTGTCAGGGGATTTTTAGCAAATCTGATCTCAATATGCCATTTTTTACTAAGTGAGTAAAGTTCTGTATCATTTGAAGCCCTTATTACTCTATGCAGGAGTTCTTTTTGGGTGGATAGAAAAAACTTCTGAATTTTGGTACTCCAATTTTATTAAAAAAAAACAAATTATGTTCCAGTGTATCCAATCAATATAGAATTAGATAATCAATAAGTAAAATAATAAAAAATTGGTCATAAAATTATGGAGATACTATTTTCTTTAATAGTGCTACTCTTCTTCTTGTTCTTCTCTTTCTGCTTCGTTTTTGTAAATTCCAAAAGATTCAATTCGAATTATTTCTTTCTGTTTATCTCCAGTAGCTTGAAAAATGAAAGGCATGGAGACGGTACTTTTAGCTGGCTATAAAATTGCCATCATATATGATATTTTGTTAATTCGTAAATTAATGTAAAAAAAACTCAAATTTCGACTCTAGTTATGCTTAGGATATATTTTATTGATTAAACTTTATAATACTGTTTTTGCTACTGAAGAAATTAAAAATCATTCGATTGTTCGGTAAATGACTTAATGAAAAATGGATAAAATATTTATTTAGCGAGACGTGAAATTAAATTTTAATTAACGTTAACACAATGACAAATCCGATTTGCATATTTTTCCAAGAGTCAATCAGAAAAAATTCAGGGCAAACCAACGGCGTTGGTAAGGATGTGGATCAGGGACGCTTTTAGTGAATATCACATAATAAATTCATTCACTTTTTAATTTAATTATTTATAATCTGATATCTTGAACAAAATAAGTCAAGGCAAAAGAAATATCTGCATATAATGGATCAGAAGCTACCAAAAATCAAGGCTAGAAAATGATGAAATATGTTAAAGATCTAATAATCTTAGATACAATTTAAATTAAGAAACCCGTTTGAAATGAAAAAGTGTTAGGGGAGATATTGTGCCAGTCAACGACTCCATGATGTCGAAGAAATTTGTATTACTTATTCGCTGAAGGATTCTTTTATGAAAAATAAAATGTGAAGACATCTGAAGTGAAAATAGCCTTAACAGATGGAACAGAATGGCTACTGATCGAAGAACCACAAAATCCACCTAAAATAGGCGGAAGAAGATCATAATAATAATCGACTAGACCTTAAACTATGCTATTTATATATCTATCTCACGGATTATGGAAATAGAAAACCTACAAAATAATTTTTAGTAGAAAAATGGGTTTTTCTACTCCCGCCTGTAAAATACCAATTGCACACTGATCTAGCGTGCGGCAAGCGTCACTTTACCACATCAGTTTCGTTTCCCATGAATCCGAGCCACTTCGGACATTTCCGGGATTTTACCGCACGCATTTGGGAGCAATCGGATGTTTTCGGAGATATTTCCCACGCTTTGAATTTTGACCTTTGTCCATTCTGACCGTCATGTCAGTGAATGTATTCGTATTGTTTTGCGTAAATGTACCCAAAAACTAACTTTCGTAGAAAAAGTATAGTATGCAACACGTTTGGTAAACTTTTTAACTCACTCGTTTATTAAAAACTCGGGAGGCAAATGCCGTTTACCACACTTGTTACATAATATTACTCATGTTCCAAATACTTTCAGGTAACTAAAACCAGTTCCTCTAGAATTTGTATTTGCGATGATTATCTCGTTCTTACATTAAGGTTATGCTATATTGTAATACCATGAAAAGGGGATAAGGAGTTTTCTAAAAACTGCTGCTACTAATAAGCGTAGCTCACATAATTTTATCGACTTTTGGATTGAAAAAATTAGCACCTGAAGGGATAATTGGCAAAAATAGGCCAAGGTGGTTCAGGCTGATTAAAATTATGTTAATTTATTATAAAAATGAAAATGAAAAATGAATAATTAAAATTAAAATTAAAAAATAAAAGATAGTTTCAAATGGAAGTTGTAGTAAGAAATCTATTCTTATTCCTTTTTTCTTCAGATTCATTGGCCACCTTTAGACCCAAATCGTTTGTATCAAATGCATTCTAACTACAAATAGTTTTGTAACATTATATTAGAAACAATGACCAATGGATTTAGAGTTACTCCATCTTAAACCAAAGTCATAAAATCAGTCATGAAATAGTTTTACCATTAAGTAGTTTTTATTCTTGGGTTAAGACAAACGTCACTTCGTTACGCGAAACATTAAAAGATCATTTAAAGAAGTGGTTTGAATTTGTCGACAATCTATATCTAAATAAAACAGAAAAACGGGCAATAGAATTGTTTTGGGCCAGCGGTCTCACATAATATAAACCCCTGTTTGGTAAACATCTTTGTGTATCCGTCCATTCATCGAGAAAAGCTAAATTGATATTGATGAGGGATCCCAAAGTGAAAGAACGTGCCCCTCCATTTGGAGACAGCGGACAATTCTACCAAAAAAATGTTTTTTTTTTCTAATATTAGCTTTATTTCAATAAACAATATTTTAATAGGAAATTGCATTTCTTGTAGAATCGTCATCCCTCCAATTTTGTTACAAATCCACTTGATTAGTTTATTGTTGAAAAACAAATTGGGTATAAATAGAGGGTGCATTTACATCGAAACCTACTTACCGACAACCCGCGGAGATTTATTAGAACACACCACCCGACTCTGGCTCTTCATTTGCGATACGTTTGACTCTATTTGCAGAGCGTAACAGGTCGCTTCGGGGGAACGTTTTGGCGGCAACTAATCAACCCCGAACATGTGCTCTGATCGAAATACTCCGCAAAGACTTGCCTCCTGCGTTATGCGCAATTTGAGTTAATAACGCCTGTAACCAGGTTGCTCGCAACTTACACACGGGGAATTTTTTTCTCTCCAAACATTTCAACGGCTAACGGAATATTAAAAAATTTGGTATCCGAATGGAAATCATGATGGTTGACCCGAAAGAATTGTTTTGTCATTTTTTTTGCTGAAAATTTGGATGTGATATTTTAAAATTTTTGTGTTTCATAGTCCCACAAAAATATGTATTTTGCAGAAGAAACTCACTTGGGAACTTTGAAATAGTACATCTGTACATATATACAAAAATGTTATTTACTACCAATCCGATTTTATGGACTTGGTTTAAATTTGAGTAATTTTAAAACCAAATGTTTTATGATTTGTTTGAAAATTAAAACCTATGAAACGAGTATAGCCAAACCTATTTCATATCAAATCAGAAGTGACGTCTTACTAAACATGATTTACCAAGTACTCAAGAAAAATTTTGAATAGAAATGATATCAAGAAATCAGAGGTACACTTACTAATTGAAAAATTACAAAATCTATTTTACATTTACGCATTCACTGCAGGTAAAACATTACATAGTTTGATTTTGACACAACAAAACGGGGAAATATGTTGTAGAACAGTTGGGGTAGGATAGAGAAGTTTTGAGAATGTCAATAACCATAAAGAAAGTCAGTCAATTTAGTAGTTGTTTCGACGACTTCGTCACATTTGTTTTTCTTTTTTGTCGGGACGTTGATTGATGATTTTTTCCACCAATTTTTGCCTGTTAACTCACTTTAATGTAAGAGGAATAATAAAGTTCTTTGTCACTCGTTTTAATCGTGTACTAAATAAATTGGTAAAAGTGGTATAACCTTGAATAAGTTTATGCATTTGGTCCAAATTCCTCAGCGATGTTCGATATATTTTCGAGTTTCGGCGATAACTGCCACTCCTCTTATTCGCGCTCGAATAATGCGAATTCGTATTCATAAATTAGTATAATTTTTATTTTATTAAAATTATCTAGGACCTTGGCTATTCTTCGATTTCAAGTTATGAGTCACTAAAAAATAACGTGGCAGAAAACAGCCAATTTTATGATGTTTTAGTAAATAATGCAGCACGAATTGATTTTCTACCTTGTGGTGTCAAATATGTTTGTATTTGAGTAAGTTGCATTTTCAGATACCAACGGGGAGAAGCTGTTGCAAGGCACAACAACTTTTAATTGATAGATTAGATAAAATTGTACCTAATTCTCTCTATGCTCTGAGAAACATTATTTCGCAAAAGTATGCAGAAGAAAACTTAAACTAAGTATATAGTAGTTCAACAAATTATAGGGACTTATTCTGCGTTGCACTGATGGAACCTTTATTTTGATAATATCATACATCGGCACTTTCGAATTAAAATTGCGGGACACAGTGCACACCTAGTGAGTCCAAACTAGACCGCAAAGATCACGGCCTCATAATGCATATAGAGAGATCAGAACTATTCCTGAAACAATTAATAGTTCAACCTGCCCTTTGCCTAAATTAATATTGTAGTCAGTTAATTTGTTTGTTCTTTGGGACACAACCAGGATAAAACCACAACAGTATCTTCTTAATAATAAACAGTAAGTAATGTGTAATGTACACAATCTAATATAATTCAGCGCAAGGTTGTGTTGTCAACAAAAGGTAGGAAAAACTCACATTAAACACAGGGTCTGTAAAAACCACCGCCAAAACCAATCTTGTAAATGGAGAAGAGAAAGAGAAAATAGGAAAAGTATTAAAAAAGAGAATAGAAACTAGAAAGATTACAGATGAGTGGTCAAATCCAACCAACAAAAAATACTTTAATTTTAAAGTTTTAATATATCTATTTAAAACTCTTAAAGAGAATTAAATAATCTTCAATTAAATAATAATGTACTTCTTCACCGGTTATAGGCACAATTGATACAAACAAAAATGGGATAGCCCAAGTTTTTAATATTTTGATATACAGTATGCTCACGAAATTTTTTTTTAATACCCAGTGGTGCTAAAATTATCTGTGGTGCTAAACGAATCAATAAAACACGCTATATCTTGGAAATTAAGTAGGGTTTACCCACTGAGTATTAATGACTTTGAATCGCCTATACAAGCAAAGTACATTCACTAATCAAAAACTCTATAATTTTTGTGATAAATGCTTATTTCATGGTTCCAATCTGCAATGGTGAGCGAATGTAAATAAGTCCGTTAATGCCGATTTTTAAAACAAAACAAAAATCAACAGCCTTGATCGGGAGTTCCGGATTACCGAATAACCCAAATCCCAATAAATATGTAGGATTACCGAAACAGATTAAAATTTACATAGCGTTCGCATTTTATTTGTCAATCTCCAAAAGTGTTCTATAATCTTGTTGTCAAACTATATAATTTCGCAATTTAAATGCAAAAATTCGGAATTGTCTGATCAGGTAGGAACTTATATATTAATGTGCCAGAACTGTTAAAAAACAGTCCGGCATCCTAGTGCTCTAAGTTGTGAAATACATTTGTCAGTAATGAAGCTACTAGTGAGTAATTTTTTTAATTAACCTTATGCAATTGTTTTGAGTGCATTCTGTTTTAATAAATATTGATCGGTGTTAATATACACGTTATGGATTAAGTCATTATTTAGGTCAGTATGATAGAAAAATTAATCACGTCGTCTAGTTGATCATTGTCGCATTGCTATATTATATTGCCCAGCAATTTTGAGTGTTGAGAAGACAGATTCTTCACTTTGTCCACAAATTGTACAAACTGCTCATAGCGGTTGAAATCCACTATATTTCAGAAAGTACTTTATACAGAATTTTTGGGTAAACCTATAAATGATTCAATTCGGATATAAAGCTCTTTTAATTTTTTAAAAATTAAGTTGTATTATATACGTTTTTTATCCTATTTTTATGGGTTTAATTTGATAAATGCCACTTCAGTCACCAGTTTGATGTGGCTTGAGCTGAGTGCATGTTCAATGATGATTCAGTGATGATAAAACAAATACGAAACTCTTAAGGGGGTGATTCCGAATTCAAGAAGGAGAAGAGAGGATTGAAAGAGATTACCCATGGTTTTTTTTGTAAAACATACGATAATATAGCCAGCAAAATCCCCAGATTTAACCCCTATTGATTTTTTTCTTGGAAAAATTTAAGGCGCAAGTCTACGACGCTATCTCAACATTTTAAAGGACAAATTCAGTATGCTTGTTTTTACTTGCTGGAAATAAATTAATGTCCCAATAGAGAAAAAGCAAACTTTTCGTCATCACAGGTGGTGATCCAATAGAGACAGAGAAAAACGTTTTAGATAAAAGTTGCATAAAAAACATCATCATCAACGAAATTTGCATTTGTGTTTTTCATTTAACTGATATAGGCACAAGACTCCAAGTCAGAATCGCCTAGTACAACCGCTAATATTTATTAGCTCGATTGTTGAATGCTACAGCACTAACTGAAAGTTATGATGTGAAATTTAGATAATTGCCGCGGTATTGGTAACTGCCTGTACAACTCAACGCATCAATCGGTACGTCAACAGCAACTTTCCCTCATCTTTCGGAAAGTACCAACCCGTAAACCCTAGCCCTGCCAGCGATGGCAATTATTATAGTGGGGGGTATAACGCTAACGCTGGACAACAATATGTAGATAATAGCGGTCGGTATGTCCACGATCCTAGTGGCGACTACGATCCTGCGCTTCACCAGTACGAAGGGCGATACATCCATGACAATTCCGGTGATTATTTCCCGGAAAAATATGGCGGGATTGTTGGAATTGGCGGAAACGTCGGAGGTACATTTTTCAGTTTTCGACTGTAGTGTTGACCGTTTGCTCGAATGGGAAAATATTCCAAAAATGCAAAAATTGCATCGATATTACTTTAAAATGTTTTGTACTAACTAGGGAAACATTTAAAATGTTGCAGTTTGGTATCAAGTAAGTAAGTATTAGGTAAAAATGTATACTATTAAAAGAACCACAGTTCACAGAAAATAATTTCGTAAGTCAATGTAACAAATATGTTTAGTATAAAAAATAAAGTTTTGAAAATGACCGAGGCCGAATTTTTAAAAGGTCACTCTGATAATTTACCTCTAGTAGATATGTTTATGGTGACATCTTACACATAAAATACCGAAAGTTTTTCATTTGCTGAGGTTCGCGATGTTAACGCTAACAGGTATAAAAAACAAAATTGGAATATCAAGAGTCTCGTCCAAGATGTACAGATGTACGACAACTGAAAAGGATAGCTAATATTATTATTATAAAATGATATGGAGGGTATTCCACTTAAATCACATATAGGTATATAAAATACAACGACAAAAATTTGAATTTCAAAATCGATTGTCTTGCGGAAAAATATTTATATGAACTTTTTGTTTAAATATGAACCAAGAAATTATTGGCTAGGGACGAACAAGTTGTTGTCTTATAGAAAAATATTTTGCCCGAGAAGACTGAAAATTTTCGAACCCAGTTTCTAGGGCTTTCCACTGAAGTTTCTAATGACTCCCCATGGTCTTCCATATTTTAAGGATCTCCATAAGGAAAAAAATCTAAGCATATCAAAAGATCTTGCATGCAAATAGGTTTGACAAATTCCAGCAAAAGTTCAATTTTTCCTTAAGGCAAAATATAATGTCTTCTCACACTGCTGAAAAGGTAACTTTAAGCTCTTTCCAAATTAGGCTTACTAAAAAAAAATAATTTTATATCGGTCACTCATAAACAGAACACTCTGTGTTTTCCTGGCCCTCCCTGCTCTCATTGTCACTAAGCAAAATCGAAAAGCTGCAGAACGCACGATACCAATAATTGAAAAGATTAGTTTACAAGCAAAAGCGGAATTGTCGCATTTTGTGAAAAACTCAGCCATACGAAATAAATCAAACAAGTTTTGCTTCGATTCGGCAAATAACGACATTTAAAAACGCTATCGCCAAATATTAGTTGGTAAACAATCCGCATTCTCGTATAAGAAACGGAGGAGTATTTTATTGCTTTAATATGCAAATGTATAGAGTTTAATATATTTTATCACAATACGTTTAGCATAATCTGTTATGATTACTTTGACATATCGGTATTTATTCAATAATAGATGTTTCGGTGAAAAAATGGATATTCTATTTATCAGGCCAGTCGACACAGAACAGATTTGCACCAGGCGTAGGCACCAACGGACCCGCCTCCTCATTTTCAGCTCCAGGGTCATCCGGAGCTGCATCTGAGGCTGCAGCTTCTGAATATGTATCACAATCTGGAGCTGTGCCTGTTGGTTACCGAACATCTGCGTCACAATTCGAAAGCGCATCTGGATCCGTATCTGCAGGAAATGGTGGACAATACGATCCAAGCGGATCTCAGAATGTCGTATCAGGTAACAGGCATTTCGAAAATTTGCTCTGCTCTCTTAATAAGCCGAGGAGGTGAAAATATGGTTGGTTCTTTTTCAAAGGTGATATATGTTTTAAAGTATTTAACCTGCATTCATTCAAAATTGACATTCTTATTTCTTCGATGCAAAAAGTGTAAGCGACCTAATTAAATTTTCGTATTTTTTCTAGAATTACAATAATTATTGCTCTTAATACTATTTTGTATATATAAAATATAATTAAAAATTTTTTTGGAATATATATATTAAACGACATGTACCTATATATAATAATGGTCCCTATACTTAACGCCCGATTGTGTATTGTTCTATAATATTCTATCTCTATTATGAAATTACAGGAAAATAACAATAATTATAATAAAAAGGAAATACATTCGTACTTTTGATGCCAGCTTTCTAACAAATGTGATCGTACTGTTTCGAATGTGTTTGTAAAAACAATCTGTAAAAACTGGAGTGTACAAATAATCGATTATATTGACTAAGGGTCTGCATATTCCCAATCGCCAGTCAACTACGGCAAAAACTATTATGATAACGCGAGGTGGAAGATTTTAAGGCAAGAGGGAGGAACTGACGAGGATGGTTATCACTACTTGTAAGCTTTATTTATATATTGCACGTCGTGGGAACACAATGATGAGAAATTTTTTTAGATACGAAACCGAAAATCAAATTTACGGCGAAGAACAGGGAAAAGTTCACAATAAGGGCACGAATCAGGAAGCCCTTAGGGCAAACGGAGCTTTCCAGTATGTGGGTACCGATAACCGGCTTTACAGAGTAGACTACGTAGCGGATGAGAACGGGTTTCAACCAGCAGGAGAACATTTGCCGACACCACCCCCAGTACCGGAAGCCATCGAAAGATCTCTCGCTTATCAAAAATCGATCGGGCAAATCTAACCACCGTAATATTTTGTATATAAAAGCGCTTTTCGTAATTATCGTACTCATCGCTGTATGCTTATATAAACTGTATTTATTGTTTATAGCTTATTCCTCGTTAATTAAATAGGAGAAAAACATTGATTATTTCAGTTCCGGTGCGATGCTTCACAACACCCTCTTCTGCCTTCAACATTTTAGTTCTGGCGTTCTTCATCTTCAAGTAAAACATTCAAAATAATATCAAATTTTCAACGATTTCCAACAACTGCAATTTTTTAAAAATATTTATTCCTAGTAACATATGGTTAATACCATGGGTTTCTGGTGGGCGGTTTCTCATCTGACAAAATTATTCTATTCATGATAAAATACCTTTAGGTAACGCAAATATTTCTAATGAATACAGAGAACGAACCGCAGTAGCATTAATAATTCAGTAATTTATTCAGAGCAACGGATATTTCCTTTTATGGAGCGCAAATTATTCAAACCAGGTTAAATTAACATTTAAGTGTTTAACGGATAAAATGTATATTGGTGTAGTATATTCCAAAATGGTAACGATTGTAGTAAAACTATTGGAACTCCTGTCTGTCTGAAAATAACTAACTAAATAGATATGTGACTTATCAAGCACATGACAAATACATCACACTCTGTTCATTAAAATATACTGCATCACGAACATTATATTTTAAAACCTTTGTAAAATTCATATTATTACATATAAAGTTAACATTAGGTGGAATTTTATGCTATGCTTACAAATCACAGGTTGATTTCTATGATGGGTCGAGCAGACATAAATACATCATGTCAAAATCAAATATATATAACAATACGAATAGGGCTACCATCTTTGTTTACCTTCAAGATTAAAGAGCTACGATGGACAAACCATCTCTGAAGACTATTTAGTCCCCCGAAGTCGTCAAATTGCAAGAAATGTGATGCATTTTGTATTCTTTATAACACTGATCAATACATGACATCACAGTAAGAAAGCTGTGAGAATAAGACTCTCGCAAAATCTAAGCTTAACGTCAACAAAACAAATTGCTGCTACAATCCGACATCTCCAACACTGTCGCATCAGAAAATGGTTATTATTTATTATTTGCTCTCTTTGGCTTCAATATCAATAATATAAATATAATAATATAAACCTAAAAATGTGTTGCCGTATATATTGGATTAAGTGTTTAATGAAAAACGTAGTTAATTTTAGTTCGATATTCATTGATTAGTTGGTGCGGTTTAAATAATGACTGCTTAAGATAATACTGTGTTTATTATCTCTCTTGAATTACACGGTTATACAACATTATCCATGCACTAGAATTGAAAATATAATATAATATAACTACCCACAATAGAAAAGTATCGTATAATATCACAGTCAACGCGAAAGGCAGGATGCTCATCTCCAACGGAGAACTTGACATGGTTTCCATGACAAACTGTTCTCATTTTTTATGAATGCCAGAGCAACGCATCTCCACCAACGTGCTTAATTGAAAACGGAATTTTCACGGAAAATATCTGTAACTTTCCATTACGAAAAACCTACTATCTACACACTTAGACCCGCAGTTTCTTAAGATAACTGCCACATTCAGCGCCCCTACTTAAACAAGCCGCGTATGCCATAAGATATGGAATAACGTTCTCCTCCATGACACCGGTAAACAGGTGAGCCCAAGGACCTCTAGCATAAATAGGGACGTCGTCAGCGCCGTGGGTTTCGGATTTCATTGGGGTAGTTGACGGAAAACTGAAGTGGACGTCATCTGAAAAATAAAAGCGAAATTGTATATCGTAAATTACTCCAGGCGCCGAAAACCATACTCATTTCCTCTTCACTGGGCACGTATCTATCCCCCAAGTCGCTCATTGGTTTATATCCCGGACCATTTGCGTAGTTTAAAATCGAATAGTACTTGTCATCGCTCGCAGTTCCTGCGTAGCCGAAAACGTCACTACCTCTAGCAGCGTAACCCGCGTAGCTCATAGTGTGAGCGTGGTCCGATGTCACTACTATAAGTGTGTCTTCTTCATTAGTTAGTTCCACTGCTTTGGCTATGGCCTTGGAAAACTCTGCAGTCTCATCTAGTGCCTTGTGCGCCCAACTGGAATGATGGGCGGTGTCGATTCTTCCTCCCTCGACAAGCAAGAAAAATCCGCTGTCACCTTTGTTCAAAACTTTAATAGCTGCCTCTGTCATTTCTTCCAATGAGGGGTCGGTTTCTATGTTACGCATGAGGTTGTACTGCATGTGTTGCGGTTCGAACAACCCTATCAATACAAATGGTCTAAATGCAATGACATACACCTACAAACGATACGTTACCTAGAAGATATTGCGTATCGTTCGAAACATTGAGGAGCTGAGCTCTGTTCCAAGCGTATTCGAACTTTGCTCCGAGCCCTTGTCTCTGGTTCATCCACTCGTCTATCAGATTCAACTTGTCCGACCGCTTCCCCGCGAACCCTTCTTCGTCGGTCCATTCCATGGGCAAGAATAACTGCCTTCCACCACCTAATGCAAATAAAGTTATATATACAGCCATGCTTATACGGATTTGATGTTCGATTGGAGAGTTGTGGAGAACATTCGCCTTCGTTTCTCGTGATATTTAGTTGTTTAAGTGTGCCTTTAAAACTTCTTAAAACTAAGACCCAAGTAGTTTATTTTAATAACAACCTTTCAAATGTTCAGAAGAGCTTTTTTGGATCCATAGTGATTTTTTTGAAATGTACTGAGTTGGTGATTGACACTTCACAACACGGACACTCGGACACCTAAACTTTGAAAATGTCTATCAACACAACACGTGGATCCCCTCTACAGCTTCATGAATATTGATATTTTTGATACCAAATCATAAGTTAAATATGATATTCAACTAAACTTCAAATGAGAGCGATAGTTTGACCCGCAAATAAGAATCAGCAAGTCCTTCTTATCTTCAAAAGTGGTTAATAATTCTATTCTATAGTTAAAAGCGGCAACATACCCATAATAACATCCAGTTTTCGTCCAGTACCGCCGAACACTAATTGGTATGCGATGTCTGAACAAATAGATGAATTTCTACCGTCGTTAATGACGTCAGTATCGACCTCCCAATGTCTTTCGGCACTGTGTGCGTATAGAGCTACAACAAAAGAGGAAAATTTTTGTTTGCTCCAGCACACTTCGATATGTACTAACCTGATGGTGTGGCATGTGTCACCCTAGTTGTGGTGACAAATCCAGTGCGCTTGCCACACTCTTGGAACCACTTGGCGACCGAGTCCACTTGGTTCTCCGGTAAATTCATGGCGGTACAGTTTTTCTTTTCGACCGCTGCTGTCACACCGACGGTGCCCAAGTTGGCTTTGACCCCACCCAGGAACGCAGTCGCTGAACAAGCGGAATCGGCGGTTTGATGATCGACGCAATATGTCTGCAAGTAAAAATAGGTTTGTTACATGCACTTTACAGATGCGTTCGTCAAAATGTAGAGTAACACCAACTTCACAAAAACCATTTGTGTTATGTGTTTTTGATTTAGTTATTTTAGATAGTTTTGGTAAGTTTGAAAGAATCTGAGAGGTGTCAGTGTTAGTAAATTGGTTAACGGTTCATGAAAGAGCAAGTGTATTTTAACGCACATGAGTTTAATTTTACTGATCCATAATGGAATGGAGCCTCGATTTCAATTTTTCTGCATTTTTATCCCTTCGTCTCTTTCTGTCTCTACCTGCCCAATTTTATATATTATTAACGAAGAAAAAACAATATTCGCTAAACATCTAGTCTAAAACCCAAATATTCAAATTAATTTTAACTAAAGTTAATTAATTCATAAGTTTCTACTAACTAAGCTTTTATGATAATACATTTCGCATTGTCTTCGAAACTTTTGATTCACAGGTAAATTGTTTACTAACTTATTGCTTGTGCTTTTTTATCTGCAATCTAGTTCTGATGATGACCTAGTTTGGCGCAATGCATTTGACATTTGAATAATATCTTGCAACTGACACCATTTTCAATTAAATCTAATTTATCCACGAGGTACACTAGCCACTTTGCACTGCAAATTAGTTTTTTTCTTCTATTTGAAACTGATTGTCAATGGGCAACCTTAATATTCCAACGGCAATAAAATTATCATTAGGCATTTGCATTGATTGAAGCAATTTTTCTGGAACCGGCGATAAAGCCAATAAGCGAAAGACCTTGAGTTCTGTATCCGCCTTTATTGGCCAATAAACCCTCGTCAAGAAAAACCAATCAATTCGTTTAATATTAAATGTCGCGGTTACAATTACTATGGGCACAAATAAAAAAATGTTTTATCCCAAAAAATGGTTTCCTTACTTTAGATATACCGGTGTAAGGGAAGTTCTCGAACGACAGGTGCATTTCTTCACCACCCAAGTACACTCTCGTGGCGGCGATGGTAGGTATTGACATACCATCTCCTAGAAAGAGTATCACGTTCTTGGCCGGATCTAAAAAAATAAATTGAGATTCGTTATAGAGTTTAATTGAACTGTAGTAGTTCTTACTCACTTAAATTAAGTTTCTGATGTAGCCTGTCATTGAGAGCCTTTATGGCACTAGCTCTCCAGAAGTCCTTCCCTTTTTCCTGCTCAATTTCCGCAGTAGTTTTGTTTCGCACAAATTTATTTCGGAATGCAGATAATTCGTCATCTAAGAACAGAAACATAGTAAGAATTAGACAATCTTGGAAAAGTTTCCTCCAAGTTTCTTAGTATCCGTTGCTTAACTATCGCTTCTGACCAGTTCAAAATCTCATTGCTATTTTTTATGCAAAATGAATTGCGTAGAGTGTAAAAGAATAAATAAACGGACCGAAAAAGATATTTAATTCAGATATTAGACGCTTTCCAAGAATCATTTGAAGAACATGTGTTTTGTTGATATAAGAACAAATGAGTGGATTCAACGTGAAGAATGAAATGCAACTACCGGAATGTTCTGAAAGAGTCTAATGCCTGAAAGTTTTTGTTGTTATATATTTTAGTCTCTAGAATACCCCATCTTGCGACACCATAGACATCAATTGGTAGATTAAAATGGGCTAAGCAAGTAAAATTACAATTTTACGTGCCAATTATTATTACTTAAAATAAATAATAAACTGTTTGTAACATGTATGAAATAAGACACAACCAATAGTTCCCAAATATAAGACAATATAAACACGATTTTAAACTGGCGACACCCTATAGATTTTCTTGACAAATATGAACTTCTGCATTTGAAAAAACTAGTCTATTAAGACTATTGATTTTCACATTGTTTTTCAAAGAAATACATAATTACTTTTATACTATAAACAAATAAACTTTGAATTAGTTTGCCAATTTTTAATAAATAAAAATGCTAATGATGAATGAGTGTCGGGACAAAGGAAAAGCACTCACAACTACTATGAAATTCTCAATTCATATATAATCTGATTCTCAAATTTCATATTAGTATTTTGAGAGGTATAATTATATCTGTCCGAGCTATATTGTTTATACGATAATGGGTGACCTAAGTGTGACATGAGATGAGTAGTTGATGACGACCCTCACATCTTTTTTCCGGGTTTGTATTGTAACTTTCTCTCTCTTTCTAGACCAACTCTCCTAGAAAAATGTGTCCCGTTGATAAAATAGAAATACAGTGTTTACTCGAAAAATACAGAAAACTAAAAATTTTATAAAAAAAATGCTTTACGTAAGTTTTATATACAGTTTTTTTTTACCATTTTAATTGGAGGACAAAATCTAAACTTTAGCAACAATGCACTGTCGACAACTCTTACACTATAATTGGTAAATAGTCAAACATTCAAAATGAAAATCAAATGAAATATATACAAAAAAATAATAATACACCATAAAACACTGATTTCAATTTAGGTGTGTTTAGTAACAGCAATAAGTAAATATTACCTATTAAAAAAATGCTTTCTGTACTGACACAAACTTTACTAAAACGAATGATATTAACGCAAAACTAAATTCAAGTAAAATTATGAGTGCCAAAATATTCCAAGGTGAGTCTGGCTTCTTTCAGAAATATTGATTGTCATTAACATTATCTCCGGCACCAAACTCTCGCTAGTATTATTGGAAAATGCAGTAACGATTAACTCAAGGCGATTAAGTCTTAATTTACATATCGGTTGCAGTTCTCTTGCAATGTTATACGATTCGTTTATTTGCGTGCGACGTATGTCTACCAGGCGGAAAGAAAACTTGTTATTTACAAAAATAATCTTATTTTTGTTTGACATATTGTCTTTATAGAATATTGAAGATCGCAATTTCTCCCCTTATGGTGGTTTTATATAAAAAAAACAATTAAATTGAGAATTAATAACTAACAAATGAAAACTCATTTTGACAAGACAATAACAACAAATGAGTCGATTTGTAAACCTCAATTAATAATTGACGTATAAGAATTAACTAATTAATCAAGTGTAACCGTAAGAATGGAATGTATCCTTACACCAATGCACAAAAAGGGTGCCAAATAAATGTGTGATAACCATAAAGGTATCGCGGCTACCTGCACAATCAGTCGAGTTTATGTAAAAATTTTAAAAAGCAAGAATGAACATGAATACGCAGACAGTGAAGCCGAAGAACAAGCAGTTTTTCGGGCAGGACAAACCACTGTCGACGATTCTGCGTTAACCAGCTTATTGAAAAATTGGACGAACATCTCTTGTTCGTGGACTTTAGAAAAGCCTATCACAGCATCCCGTTAGTAAACCTCAGGGGGGCATTAGATCGGACAAATATAAACAGTACCGTAATAAGAACTCTATAAAAAGTGCCACGTTCAAGTCAAAATCGGTACCGCTCTGTCTCAAGGGCCTCAAACAGGGTTGTTGCTTGTCATTCACCCTGTTTAAGATATACCTCGAAAAAGCCTTTATGATGTACACAATTAGTTTCGCAGATGATCTAATTGTCATGGCACAAGGATATAATGATTTAGAATATATGACTTTAATGCTTATAGAAGAGTATAAAAGATTGGAAGTTAACATATCAAAAACCGAGTATATATGTGTCTGTGCTGGAAGATGAATGAATGAATTAAATCATTCCAAGCGTATAAATACCTGAGCAATGAAGTATTGGACTATGCAATGAAAGAAAGGAACTGAACTGATCAAAAAATTACGATAAGGAACAAACATCTTATATATAACACTATAATAAAAAGCATACTTTGGGAAGTCTGGCAACTAAAAGCAAGGACCATTACGCTGGAAGAAACAGAGGACTTCTGGAGGAGACCAGCAGGAAAGTCAAAATTGGAAAGGGTTCACAATGAAACAATTTGTTCAGTCATGAAAGTGGGGCATACAATAACCACCGAAATAAGAACAAAGCAACTACGGTGGTATGGGCATATCCAGAGAATGAAGGAAAAACGACTTCCTAAGCAAATACTTACTTGGCCACCCAACGGAAGAAGAAAGAGAGAAAGGCCAAGAAGAAGACCTGTGGAATGATAGAGACCAATGGCCCTATGGTCAATATCAAGCTAACCAACAAAAGTTCAAGCAATAACATTTTAAAATAGGGATTGATATTTTCGAAAATAATCTGTTTTAGTTCTACAAAAATGCGGCTTTCTTACATAAGTGGTTCACCATATGCTGCCTATAAATGGTTTTTTAGTAATATAACTTTTACACAGGTCCCTATCTAATTTAACTCAGTTAGATAAGTTTGTATTAATATGTTTATTTTTTCATTAAATCAAAATATTGATTTGTTGGAGATATGAATATGATTTAAAAAAAAAACAGCTTGAACATGCTTATTGTCCAATTATATGCACAAAACGAATATCTGGTCAATGAGTTTTTTAACCTTAATTACGACATCAATTAGTTTTAAGAATAGATAAATTAAAATCGAATTACAATAATAATCATTCGATATTATACGGCGAATTTAATAATAATACAAGTATTGGATATTGATTGCGATTTAATGACAATCGATTTAAATAATCATGGAAAACATCATCTGGCTCTTAAGGTGCCCAAAAAGAAGGTGCTGCCAATTTGAGCCAGCTTTTTAAGGCTGCCCTTAGAGTGTATCAAAAGTCACATTTCCAACATAGAAGAATAATGAAACTAGCGTATTATATTAGTTACTCTACTGAATCAGTGCCTAGCATAATAGTGCAAAACAAAATTTACACAAAAGTAGAGATAACTGGAAAAATAAACTAGCCAAAACCACTAAAAATTTTTATAATAAATTTTGCTGTTCCAATGGTTCGCATATATATTTTTACTCGTCATCTCGTACGTTCAGGTTCGCACAAATGTTTCATTAATTTACATTCTCAGTGCAATATCCTCCGTTATTATTTTTTAAATTATTCAATAATATATTTAACCTAGTACTCTAGATATGCAGATAACGAAATTTATAAAAAGTAGAGATAACTGGAGAAAAAAACGAGCCAAAACTACTAAGGTTCTTTATAATAAAATTTGCAGTTACAATAGTTCCCTTTAATATTTTTACTCGTTACCTCGTACTTTCAGGTTCGCACAAATGTTTCTTTAATTTACATCCTCAGTGCAGTATCCTCTGTTATTATTTTTTAAATTATTCAATAATATATTTAATTTTGCATATGCCGATAAAGAAAAATATAAAAAGTAGAGATAACTGGAGAAAAAAACGAGCCAAAACTGCTAAAGTTCTATATAATAAAATTGGCAGTTACAATAGTTCGCTTTAATATTTTTATTCGTTACCTCGTACGTTCAGGTTCGCTCAAATGTTTCTTTAATTTACATTCTCAGTGCAGTATCCTCCGTTATTATTTTTTAAATTATTCAATAATATATTTAGTCTCACACTCTAGATATGCATATAACGAAAAATATAAAAAGTTGAAATAACTGGAGAGAAAACTAGCCAAAACTTTTTTCATAACAAAATTTGCAGTTACAATGGTTCCCTTTAATATTTTTACTCGTTACCTCGTACGTTCAGGTTCGCACAAATGTTTCTTTAATATACATCCTCAGTGCAGTATCCTCCGTTATTATTTTTTAAATTATTCAATAATATATTTAATTTTGCACTCTACATATGCCGATAAAGAAAAATATGATAAGTAGAGATAACTGGAGAAAAAAACGAGCCAAAACTGTTAAAGTTCTATATAATAAAATTTGCAGTTACAATAGTTCGCTTTAATATTTTTATTCGTTACCTCGTACGTTCAGGTTCGCACAAATGTTTCTTTAATTTACATCCTCAGTGCAGTACCCTCCGTTATTATTTTTTAAATTATTAAGCACTACATTTTCTATTCCGCTAATGTTAATGCGTCGCAATATGATAAAGCTAAGTACAGTTTCAGTAATCTAAATACACAATAAACTCTCTTTCCGCCATAGACTTTCAGTTGTGAAAAGTGATAAATGTTAATTGAAGTGAGAAATCGGTCGGTATTAGAATTGACGTCAAACGAGGTTATATTATTATATGAATATTGATTGTAAAACGCAGAAATTTAAATTTCAATTATTTAATTTTTCCTTAGTTAAGTGTTAATTGAAACGCCCAAAATTTAAATATCAATTGAAGCTGCGTAAATCACAGCACGTTATGTCGGACCCTGACCTGGGCTTACGCGATTAGAAAATAACATTCGCTTAGGACAAAAAAAAGCAGGGTATCGGTGCACTAAAAAATCTCCACTCAGTCTATTTAATGAAAAATATTTTCTGCTCTAATTGCGCACGTGAAGTCCATCATCATATTCTATATAATTTTTTATTTCATTCATTTAAAATATGGGCAAACCATTATCTGAAGCTATCAGCTTTTGTTGTTCTTGTAGGCCTTAATAGATAAGGCGTAACATGGTTTCAAATTACTTATTTTAAAAGATTATAACTGGTTCGCTGACAGCAGTAATCTGCCGGGTCATTTTCGAAAACTTTTTCGATATTTGGAATTGAAGCGATGTTATCGTTAATTTCATATCGCACATGCAAAAATGTTCAGAAAATATATTTTAGAGGTATATACACTCTTTGAGTAAAAATTATACTAAAATGTTTTGGATATATTTCTTTTTCATAAAATTGGGAAATTAAATTCAAGATACATTGTTATAAATCTTTATTAGAAAAATAACAAAAAAAAATTAAGAAATGAAAAGGAAAGATACTAATCAAAAACAACTACTTGATGATAAATATTTTAATGTTGGTTAAATGAAAAATGTAATAACGAAAAATTATGTATTATGCAATGGTTAAAAAGTGTCGCATCCTAAGAAAAACGACCTTTCCTAAATTTATAAAAAATTAATTTTTCCATTTTATTGTAAGCAATTAGTTTCAAACCTCTCAGTATTTGCATAATTAAAAATTTGACCAAAATTTTAAATGACGTTCAACTGACGCTTAGTTTACACATACCTAGTTCATCAGTTTTTCTTAAAACTGCGGCGTGACACAGAACCATCCAACAAATTAATACTCCGAAATAATAAGCGATAAACATTTTTGTTTAATTTCTTGTTTCGTCCGAAACTACAACGCGGGCAAGAAGTGAACTCAACTGCAGCAGCAATTAACAGTCGCCAATATCATTGCGGCAAGTGCAATATATAAATAATTATTAAAATAGTCCCCTCCCCTCCTGGACTTGGAAAAGGTCAAGAGTAATTTGATTTTTACATAGTATTCGGGTACAACTTTTTTTTTTACAATTACCAACGCGCAACGATTCAATTTTGTTTGGTTTACTTCAACAATTTGATTATGTTAGGGGATTTCTTCTAAAAATTTTTGATTTTCATTTCGGAAATAGTATATTATGCAACAAGAGCGGTAAAAAGTTAAAAAGTTAACCGAACGTGTTGCATACTATACTTTTTCTACGACCGTTAGTCTTTGGGTACATTTTCGCAAAACAACACAAATACATTCACTGACATGGCCGTCGGAATTGACAAACGTCAAGATTCAAATTCAAATCCGTGCGGGAAAATCCCGGAAATGCAAGAAGTGGCTCGGATTCGTTGGAAACGAAACTGACGTGGTAGTGGTGTAATTAGTTTTTTTACAGACGGGAGTGGGAAATAGTATATTATGCAACAAGTGCGGTAAACGGCATTTAATTCAAGAGTTTATTTGAGCGGAGCGAGTGCTTAATAAACTAGTGAGTTAAAAAGTTTACCGAACGTGTTGCATACTATACTTTTTCTACGACCGTTAGTTTTTGGGTACATTTTCGCAAAACAACACGAATACATTCACTGACATGACTGTGAGAATTGACAAACCTCAAAATTCAAAGCGTGGGAAATATCTCCGAAAACATCCGATTGTTTCCAAATCCGTGCGGTAATATCCCGGAAAAGTCCAAAGTGGCTCGGATTCATGGGAAACGAAACTGACGTGGTAAAGTGACGCTTCCCGCACCCTAGATCGGTGGGTAATTAGGTTTTTTTACAAACGGGAGTAGAAAAAAATATTATTATTAATATATAATGTCGTTTTTGTTATCTGAAGCGGTAAGAGTAAGATGCTAAGTAGAGTTACTTAAATCTTACTTAAATCTAGTATTCAGTACGTTTCAACGAACTTAAGCGATCATCTTCAGCTACGAAAAACCATTTTTGAAAACATTTTTATGACGATCGTTTAAACAGAGTTATAGAATCGCTTGGAGTAAGATTCGGGTTTTCTTTTTAACAGGAACTCTGTTCTATGTTCTATTCTGTAGTATTTCTATCTCTACTTTGGCTACACAGTAAATATACGCGTATAAGTGGCACTTTCCGCACAAAAGGCTAAGCGAATAAAAAATAATAGAATGACAATTGTAATAACTAATGTTTTGTTATCTACATAATATGGTTTTTTGCAAACCAGAGCTGTTGTATGACATTTACTGCGAACTTTTTGTATTTATATAGTCCTACTCCCGTCTGCAAAATATCTAATTACACACCGATCTAGCGTGCGGGAAGCGTCACTTTACCACGTCAGTTTCGTTTTCCACGGATCCGAGCCACATCGGACATTTCTGCGATTTTACCGCAGGTGTATTCTAGTTGTTTTGCTAAAATGTACCGAAAAACTAACGGTCGTAGAAAAAGTATAGTATGCAACAAGTTCGGTACATTTTTTAAATCACTCGTTTATTAAACACTCGCTTCGCTCGTTTCAAATAAACTAGTGAGGCAAATGCCTTTTACCGCACTTATTGCATAACAAAGTGTTCCCACAATGCAATAACGCAAGCAAAATAAAAGTAACTATAGGACAATAGGTTTCTATCTGAATATCTTGTGTATTATAATTTAATTCCTAAAATAAAAAATGGACCTGTTAATAATATTCTTAGGTAATGATAATGATTTAATAACATCTAAAGATCTCTCTCTAGGCAAAATGGAAAAATGACGCTTATTCTCAGAGGTACATAAGGTTTAAACAAACAAAATACATTATTTTCATAGTTCCACAGGACGAATAAATAAAAAATTAATGTTTAGATGTCACCGGGTCTGTTGAGAAAATGGGCGTAGCTGTATTTGAAAGCAAATTTCTTGTATATTTGGTCCTAAGTTTCGCCTAAGTTCATTTTCCATAACTTTTTATTTAGTATCATCATCAGCTTGTAACTCAAAAATGAATAACGAATAAATTAATAGAAAGAAAACAAACAAAATATATTTAAACTATCCAAAACCAAGACATATTTTTTTCAATTATACACTGTTTACGCTACACATGCTTGAAATCCTAATGGAAAATAACACATGCTTGAAATCCTAATAGAAAATAAATATCTAATACCGATGGAGCTTTAATGTACATAAAAACAAAATTATAAATATTTCATTATAAGAAGGTAGATTTTGTTTTTTTTTTTTCATATTATTTTAGCTAACTTCAAAAATATTATAAATTGAATTAAGAAATTGTCAATTTTTTTAATATGTGTTACTGTTTCTTTACGCTAAGATTGATTTAGATGTTATTTCTTCACAAATGAGACCACGATGCCTCTATTTTTTTCCAGCATGTTATTATTTACATTTTTTAAGTACGTTCTTTATTATTTTGGTACGGATATTGAGACTATCAATCGATATACATATTTTGAAAATCTCGAATTTCATAGAGAAAAGAAAATGTTTGGTTGAATAAAACGATATTGATTGTTTCATAAAGCACCCTTCATAACTTGACACGATTGAGATGAGTAATCCGTAAAATCTGATTCCATGACTTCGGTTCAGCGATGCAATTCAGTGAACAGATTCCAGCAATAAAAACCGTACACCTTTCTCGAATTAGATGAAATTACCGAAGCATGTCGCGGTTACAATCAATGTTTTTATTATTATGAATATTCATTCTATTTGTTGCTGCCATGGTCACCGAACTTATAGTATTAATTAATTTTCGATTCGGATTTAGATTTTATAAAAAATGCATAATTTAATGATACCCCAGTTAACAGATAGCACAATTTAACGGGTTTAAACTTACAAATTTCAAACATATCAAATAAAATACTAAATGCTTATGTGTTCCTATACAAATATGCAAATTCATTTTCTGTTGGTATCATAATCTAAAAGAGCATTGCAACTTTGTTGTCATTTTCTATTGTATGAATTTTTTTCTGTTCTCGTTTGAATTGTTTATTTCAGTTTGTTTATTTTATTAACACTAGCATGCGTGTGAAACCTTAAGACAAATAAAACGGAAATCAATTAAGGGAAATAATCGTTTATTAAACCTATAATTTGGATTACGCTATTTTGAAATAATAACAATATGTACAGTAAAATTGTAATGTTGCCAACAAAAATACAATAAATTCCTTAACAATTAAGTTAATCTAAATAAAGTCAAATCCCTTTAACCTATAATTGATGTAAAATACAAATATTGTCGTTTCCCTTTTGTGCTTAACATTTCACATCGATTACTATTTTTCTAAACATCTGCCATTTTTTATGTCATTTTATTTTGCTTAAACGTACACGCACTACAAAGAATTTACGATAATACGCAACTTTTTCGAAAACGTGATTTCGTGTCTGAAGTCTGAAATGGGGTTACCGTTTAAAGGAATTAAATGTAGGCCACTGCAGTTGGAAAACACTACATTCTACTTTTACTTTGAAATTTTGCAAAGCAGAAATGAGTCGAAGTGAGTGAAATAAAAAAATTAGAAGACAATAGGAAGCTCTAACCCTAAAGGATGAGAAAGATACTTTAATTTTATTTAACTCTTGATATAGTGGCCCAAACTTTTACGAACACTATTTGCAACCTTCAAAACTATGTCATGAAAACGGTATAACTTTGGGCCCACTCTATTATGTATAAAAGTTTAATAACTGTTTCTTCATCAAGTTTTCAAACAACGTGGATTTTTCATATTTCATAAACTTTCTTGCATCCACATAATATGTTATGTTACTGAAATCCAAGCCGTTTATGCTATTCAAAATGGATACAAAACTACAAAAATTTACATCAACGAATTAAAATTGGTTACATGGAAAAGTGGTCATAATCTCGCTTTGCAACTAAAGTTTTAATAAGTGCTTATTGTGCTGTTCACTGAACAATTGATAGTAAACTAAGCTCGAAGAACACATAGATTTCAGAATATTACCAAATTACATTTTAATAGATATTATTAATATACAGTATTATAATAATATATTAAACTACTACATTTACAAAATTGCTATTAAATTTGTTTTTACATTTACGATATAAAACATTTATCTTGGACGCATTTCACGCACGTAAAGTTATCTTCTGATGATTATTATATATTATTATTATTATTACATTATTACAAAACTTCATGTTTTAGTGTTAAATATTATTTGTTCAATTCTTAACCTGTCTTATTACATATTATAACAATTAAATAATTGTAGGTTTGGAAATTCAAAATGCTGTGGTTAATGGAAGAGATAAAAAATTTAAATCACAAATTTGAATAAAAAAGTATTATATATTTGAAAGAAGATTAACAATCCGTTGTACTGATAACAATTTATTATTGATGAATTTAATTAGATTATTTTTTTTACGTGCGTGGATCGCTTACATATAAGTGTCATCACATTTTTTTATAGATATCATGACCCTGTTTTCTTTCCCATTTCGTCTACATATACACTGATATAAGATACATAAAGAATTCAAGCAGTGCTTTTTAGAAATAGATAAGAAACGTCTTTAATATTATTCGATGAGAAAAGATGAAAGCAGACTGCTGCAGTTTTTCGACATCATTTGTGATGCCCGGACTAAATAAAATCTATAAGCTATACTTTCCAGAACAACTATAGCTTAATATATCCGGATTCTGGTAAATTGTAATCGCATTCCAATTCCAACTGTAACACTTTTGCTCCACTCTATTTTCACCCTTTCGCACTGTCTTAAATCTATCGAGATATCATAATAATATAGCCATGATCTGTTCATTGTAGGAAACAGTCGGTAATTTATTTTTCTTCAAAAATATGTTTGGACCATTTCGCGCAGTCTCTTACTAGTTTTTGGAAGCGAGTATAGTCACAAATTCTGAAATTAAAAAGTCAAGTAAATCTCTTGCCGTTGAGTTGCCTAGTCGAATGATCATACCTTCGTAGTTCACTTGACCATCTCCATCCAAGTCAGCCTCTTTGATCATATCTTCAACCTCTTCCTCCGACAGCCTCTCGCCCAAACTTGTCATCACATGTCGCAGTTCTATGTTGGATATCAAACCGTCATTGTTCTTATCGAATACCCTACAATGCCAAAAAAAATGATGAGGCGACGAAGATTACCAAATCAAATGATTCACATTGGATCGGTCAGTCTTGATGTGACCTTCAGACATTGTTTATGGTTAAGCACGTGCCTAAATAATTATACACGACTAATAAAAAAAATCAATAGAAAATTAACTTTCCGCGTTTAAAATGAATTTCTGAAATTTTTGTATTATTTTTTTCATAGCCCAAAGGAATTAATCATCATTGACAGACAGGTATTGTGTGATGTGTGTCTGATAATATTCGTTTTGCTCGTTCAAAAACGTGCCTGCCATGAACACTAATTTTATGAGAAACTGGAGAGGTAGAGGATGTCGACCGTTTATAATCACATTTAGATACTATTGTTAACAAACAGGATGTCCAATCTTACAAGGGTGGAGTAGTTTTTAAATTTTATTAAAGATATTCTAACCCATATCGCTCAGAGCTGTATAGAAACGGAAGCTGACAGTTTGTCAATTTGACAGTTTTCAGTGTGGATATGGCATTCTTTCGGTACTATTTTGTGAAAATTTGGATAGACTAAGACAATAGTTTAGGAATCCACAGGGCTAGAACCAACCAGCCCCGGTTCGCCATTTTATAACTTTCGTATTACAATTTTGAAATGTACATGATGTTGAATTAATGAAAACGCCATTGTGATTATGATGTCACATTTTGATGTTTGTCCATTTATCTACATGGTGTTGATCTTGATACATAGAAGGAGATGAAATTTGTATTTAACTGGTCGCCTATATAGGTCGCTTTAAATTTATTGGAAATTTTTCGACATTTTATCAAGAATATTTTAAACATTTGGTGACAACTGAATGTTAGTCTCGTCTTTTATTTTTTATTAGTTTAGTTAATCAATTTAGTTATTGTGGTGAATATGTTTATTAAGATTGTTGATTAACATCTTCTTGGAAGAAATATTTGTTAGAAGCACTAAGGCACCATTACAAATTTAACAGCTTGAAAAATGGTGGCACTGCTTTGAAACTGACAGTGAAATACAAATCTCTAAAATAATTTTGTGTTGGCGGATATGTACAACTAAAGTTCAGTAATTCGTCTGTCAGTTCTGAAGGGTCTAGCGGCGTAACCAATAATTAAATGAACGATTGCTTCACTACTTGTTAGAAAACTTGTAAAACAGAACTAGAAGTAATTTAGGTATAGTTTTAGAAGTAAATTTATTGAAGTTGGAAATCAATTGCGATACTGTGCATGCGATTTAATTCAATTACGCAAATTTATCATTGGTTGATTGGTACTGATTATTAGTTTAATCAACAAAACATTGCATTCCCTTCAAACTGAACTGTTCGACAAGTTGTGAAAGCTGCTGAAAAAATTAATCTCCAAATTTTATAACAAAATCGCAAAGTTGTAAATCCGACAAAACTTAAAGAGTTTAAAAATAATTGAAAATATTTAAAAAGCACACTGACAGGTATACCCGCTTATAGTTTGTGTAATTTTTAACAATGGAAACTGAATATTTATTAGTTTTTTCTTAATACCTCTTCAAATATTATCTTTTTATATATCATACACGCTACATAGAGACAATTTTCCATGTTCTTAAGACGTTATCTTACGTTAGCTTACCTAAATGCTTCTTTCAATTCTTCTTCGCCGTCCGCTTCTTTCATCTTCCTGGACATCATCTGCAGAAACTCGTTAAATTCTATTGTCCCGTTTCCATCCTGATCGACTTCGTTGACCATATCTCTTAGTTCCGTTTCTAGGGAATTAGTTATTCATGTAAAAGGCGCTCATCCCATAAATCGAAACCATAAAATAAGCACATGAAAAATTTCCAGCGTCTCTCCGATAAAGGTTTATAAAGGTTTGGAAATGTTAAAAACTTTAATAACAAAATCGGATTTCGCTTCGATACGGCTTTTCGTGAACATAATCTCTGTTCCTATTAAAAGAGATCCTTTTTGAAAATTCGGTTAAAATTGTACCCATGAAGGACGGAAACGTCGCACAAAGTGGGATTAGTATACGCCGTGAGCCACGAGCTTTTACTTTAATAATTACTGGGGAATTTTATTTCTGGTCTGCAGTTCACCTCCAATATTGATATCCTCTTATTTTATATAAAAAAAAATCTCGTAAAAAACTTAACATGTATTGCGAACTTTTTGGAAACAAGTTTTCAGATTTTTTTTTTCATTGTGTGATTTTTTTTAAATAAATTTAATTAAAAAAAATTGAACACGGCGAATATCATAATGAACTTTTAATAATTATTAGTAAAATTTACATACAACATTAAGCAAGATAATGAAACTTTAAAAAAGCGGCTGATAATAACATGGATGTAGAAAAATTAAAATTAAAAATAATAGTTGTGTCAGTTAAATTTGCTCAAATGTCCTCAAAAAATATTGTGTTTTATTATTCTCGTTTGGTCCATCACTGTTTTGTAAAATGTAGAAAAGTCGAGAACAACCGAAATAAAATTAAAGAAAATAACTGGTCGTCAAATATAAAAAACACAATTTATTTTAAAATTTGTCTTTAAATACCTGCTTCAAAAAATAGAAACCATTATTCATAACCGGCCATGGTGAGACTTTGAATTTCAGCCCCCTTACATCTCATTAATTTGTATGTGACGTACGGCTATATGCTAAATTTTCATGAGTTTTCTTCTCTCTATGCAAATTCTGTCAGCAGTAGTAATTTAGCTGTTCGGTTTGTTTGCACTTTTCCGCAACTGGAAGCAGTTTAAATTTTATTGTATAATGCTATTTTCTTAAGCTTTAATTACACTTTTAACTCATTGTTATATTATGTATGTGTAAAATCTGGTTTTCTAACAAATTATTTTTTGTGTAGGTAAATAGGGGTCAACGAAATACGGAATTGACTTTTGCTCCTTTGTTGCTACGTTTCGGCCTTTCATTTGGTCATTATCAGGATACGAAAGAGCTAGATTTTTTAGATAAAATAAATTATATAGGATTTTGATTTCATACTGTTGATAATGTGCTGTTTTCTCTAAAATATTGTATTTTATTATACCTGAGGGTAATTTCATGTCAAATCAACTAAAATAAAAATAGGTCAAGCAGATCACCTGACTCACTTCCATAATTGTAGTAAGAATAAGCCATAAAAATTCTCGAAGCTTAAACTTTTCAATTTATTACGGAAAACACAAATTTTTCTCAAACCTATTACTAAAATAAATCAACAACCAATTTTGCTAGAGATTATTCGAAAAGTCCCGAAAATGTCTTTCGAATGAAGTGTCCTTTGATATACTGTTACATACAAGTTACATTAAAAAATCATCATTTAGAAGCATGAAATGAATCATTAGACAACTTCTTTAGCAGTTTACAACATATACCTGAGTTTTTTTATATTCAAAAATTAATTACAAGTTGGTAATTTCTTCTTAAATATACATCAGTTAAGAACGATTTATTACGGGAAGATAGAATTCAAATTAACAATATGGAATTATTTTATAAGCAAATTCCTCAATTGTGAGTGAGATTTACCTCGAACAAAAAATGAATTTCCTAGCATAGTTGGAATCCCTCGGCTAGCCCATGTAGAGTTGTTGTGACCTTAAAAATTCTATCATTGCATGCTTTATTGGTTTATGAATTATAACTATTTATTTTACTAAAATAAGTAACTCAAAACCGCAAAGAAGCAAAGGCAAAGAATGACTTGTGAATGCCTTTTCATGGGACAAGTATAGGGCAGAGTTTACTAATATCCTTTGGTATTAGGATCGTTCGGAGAATGTCAAATCAATCTTTTAAACAATTATTAGATGGTACTCTCATCATTTATTCAATAAACTAGTAAATTAGTAGTTCATATTTAAACGTTTATGTTGGTGCTGAGTTACATATATTTATGCATGTTAATCGTTTACTTTTGTGTTTTTACATATTTATATCAATTGACAGAAAATAAAATTATTAAAATGTTATGGTTAGTAACAGAAATTATGAAAATCGTGCAGGTGACTCGCCAAACCTTTCGTTGATTTCTGATAAAAAAAAATACACAATTTATAATATCGGTATAGAAACAAAAAGCACGACAAACAACAACAATAGCAGAAATTGCGACACGTCAATTCCTGGTTTTCGCTTTACGCAGTGATAAATAAAACTCGAAAAAAGCCAAAAATGTTTACGTTAAATTGATCACGAAATACTTTCCAGAACATTAAAAAAGGAGTTGCGGGATAAAACGACGGTGCAACAGCGACTTGTCGGACGAACTTATTCCAGAAATATAGCCTTGTTTTGAAACCGCACACAATCCATAATGCGCAGAGTTTTCAAGTGCCCGCAATAACCGAAAATGAGGGAGTTTAGTCTATATTTGAGAAAATCAAACTTTCTACAAAACACTTCGATGATTGATATTCACCTGTAGGCCTCTGACCTAATGACCTCATGACAACGCCGAGTTCGGCCATTGTTATTGTCCCGTCTTCGTCTTTGTCGAAAAGCATGAATGCCTCTTTAAATTCAGCGACTTGGTCTTCGGAAAGGCCATATTCACTCTGGAACGGAACCGAAAAAACTGTGAGCATAATTTTACAATAAATATTTCCGAAAATTAATTAATTAATATAATATATTATATAATACATTATATATATATATATATATATATATATATATATATATATATATATATATATATATATATATATATATATATATATATATATATAAATTCTCAACGGAACATATACGGAATATCAATCGGCTAAGCGTATTTTTTCGTATTCAACAGCAGTTTTTAAAATATATAAAAAATGTTTAGAAATGAACAGTGGGCATTTTGAAATTAGCGTTGTTTAATTCCCAATTATAATTAATAGTTTTTCATTTTCGAAAATGTTAAATGTATTTATGTTACTTAAATTAAACATTTCATCGACTTATTGAAAAATTGTGTACGTCGCCTGCAGGTTAATAATGTCAGCCTGCATTTCCACTTGCTTTTCCGTAACAGAAATCCATATCGCGATATCCACATTTCTGTAAATTAGAAGTGCGGGGTATTCGGGCCGAGAATAAAAAAATCGATTTGTAGCTAAACGATAACACTTAAAACGACTTAAAACAAGATTAAACATTTTTGAGGATTTGTGATTGTGGTCAAGATAATCTTGTTCTATTTTGCAACATCAATGGAAATAAATAAAATACAGGGAACAAAAAAACAATGCTCTAGGAACAGTGCCCTCTAGTGAGTGAGATTTTGAAACACATATTTTGTAATGATGACTAACTAAATCAGAGCTAATTTTTCAAAGAAACTTCCACAGACTACTGTAATACTTTTAACAAAACTTCTGGATTCCTCTTGCGTTGGTTTTTGCTGTGTCGAACTTGCTGACGTTTCGCCAATCATCCTGTTGGCTTCTTTAGGAAGACTCAGCAAAAACCGACGCAAGAGGAATCCAGAAGTTTTGTAAAAAGTAAATCAGAGATTGCGTTAAAAAAAAATTAAAAAAAAATGAATTTTCAACAGCTATAACTCGGAACATATTACGATTTCGAATTATTGTTACATGACTTGCTACCATTATTTTACCACATTGAATCTTATATTCAAGTTTTCGAACTCAATTTTCGATCACCTTAATAAAATATTCCGTCGCAGCATTCAACGTACATCAGCTGCTATTTTTATCCACCGAAAATGAAACCTCACACATCTGGTTGTCACCAACCAAAATAAAAACAGCCCACGGATCAACAATCAACAAACAATTCTTACACACGATTGTTGAACTTCGAGTTCGCTGGTCAACCTTTTTAATCTCGAGTATTCCTTGTCGTATCGATGGCTGTTTGTCATTTTTATTAGGCGCTCAAAATGATAAGTTCGTTGCTGTTGCTGAACGCGCCCAAATACGATTTAACTGCGAAAAAAACCACCGAAAAGTCGGATTTTCCGAAGAGCACTGAAGTCCGGTCCGCGTTTATGTAAGACGCTGTTTGTTTATTTTGATGTGTTGGCAAAGGCGACAAAGTCGCGAATTAAATTGTTTTTCTTGGTTGCCTAGTTAGCTCGCTAATGCACGCTCTGGTTAGTTTTGGTTAGCAACATTTCGACCAAAAACGAGTTGCTAATTGTTTGACGGATAAAATGAGTACGTTATGAAGAAAACCAAAAATTCGTTTATCACAATAAATTTGTGGTTTTTGCAAAACGAGCTAGCAGTTAACGTCAACCGGAAGATGATTTTATTCCGAATAAAACAAAATCAACTCAAGAAAGAAAACATTGTGTTTGTGCTAATTTTGAATCAATTTTACGATATGACATATTCTGCAGTTCAGCTTCTGACAAAAATGTTATTATTTACAAAGGGCCCAAACATCAATAACAAAAGCAGCACAATGACTCCTATAGAGGATGGTTTTAGCAATAATGGCACGTATGCTCTATGCAACCTATATTTACGAATCCCTAATATGTCTGTTCAAAAATAGAAATGAGTTCGGCGGAAATAAAATACACATTCGAACATCTGACGATCTAACGATCTAAGGAAAGAGGAATTTATTGCTTTTAACCATGTACCGAATTCAGTGAAACTTATTAATACAAAACGAACAGAATCATATTCACGTGATCAATAATTTGGTTAATAATCATTGTTGTTTGACGTTATCCCATTTGTACTTTTGTTTTTGTAAAAGAGAATCGAAATAAAGAACTATTATTATTATTGTTCTAGGGTATAACAAACAATCCTAGGGTATTTCAGCCCTTGCAACTTACATTTCTTTAAAATGCAAATAATATATGTTAGTCAACCCTTTTAGGATGATTAATTTTATTGATTCCAACTGCAAAACAGTTATTTTATCGGGAATTTTGGCCGCCTGCCCGCTAGTCCGTCGAGGCGCTTTTATTTAGAGAATCGTACGTGTGGTGTGATCTACAAAAATTTTTGCAATACTGCTTTGCCATTGACATATTTACGGAGCGACAAGTTTATGTGCTGGTTTTATTTTCATCAGCAATGGGGTGGCCCGATTTTGTTTGGATTTTTTTTTGTGCGTGTGCAAAAATTGTTTACTTCCTACCGAAACATTACTGTTACTGTTACTTTTTTGCTTAAAATTTGTAATATTTTAGACTTTTTAATTGTTTTTTTGCGTATTATTCATCTATTTTAACGTAAAAATAAAAGCCAAACAGGATTTTAATACAACTTCAAGATGTCAAGAACGAGAAAAAATTTCAAATTTGCCTTTCCAGGGTAATGACCCATTTGCCCACGGTATTGACAAAAAATTTTGAGTTCTTAAAACATATAAACTCTTTGCACTATTTTATCAACTCCTGTTTGTAAACAGTACTCAGATGAAGTACTTTCAATACAATTCACTTGACGTTTCATAAATATCAAGCCAGATGGCGCTCATATAAACTCATATTCAAAAATTCTTTAAATTTGAAAGACAAAAGTTATTGAACCGGAATTCAGTTTTAACTTAAAACATTAACCAAAAAAGTTTCAGTTTTTTTTAGTTTGATCATGGAAAACAAAGAATTTATGAAGTAATTACTTTAAATCATTTATGGCGACAAAAAAAATAAGAATTTATAAATAGATTTAGAAATGGACCTGACACGGCTCTGAATCACAAATTCTATTATATAAAAAATATGATGAAATACGTTCATGATGATCATCTAATTAATACCACAATTTCATTATTAGAGAGTGAAAACAAACAATACAAGACAGAAAAAAATCACAGTTAAAACAGAATATGCGCGTGCAAGGGCAATAGACTATATATATATATATATATATATATATATATATATATATATATATATATATATATATATATATATATATATATATATATTCACGTATTGATTCACGGATGGAAAAATATGATGACACTATATTCCGGGATATCATCCGTTCGCTTGTTGAACTCCGACTGGAATCCCGCAGACGTTTCGCCAAAATCTCACTTGGCATCTTCAATGCTCGCGCTCCGAAAACACTTCGAAGATGCCAAGTGAGATTTTGGCGAAACGTCTGCAGGATTCCAGTCGGATGCAGGATTTGCAGGATTCCAGTCGGATGCAGAATTCCAGAAGGAGTTCAACGAGCGAACGGATGATATCCCGGAATATAGTGTCATCATATATATATATATATATATATATATATATATATATATATATATATATATATATATATATATATATATATATATATATATATATATATATATATATATATATATATATATATATATATATATATATATATTCTCATGTATTGATTCACGGATGGAAAAATGTGATGACACTATACTCCGGGATATCATCCGTTCGCTCGTTGAACTCCGACTGGAATCCTGCAAATCCTGCATCCGACTGGAATCCTGCAGACGTTTCGCCAAAATCTCACTTGGCATCTTCAATGCTTCAGTGTTCGAAGTGTTTTCGGAGCGCGAGCATTGAAGATGCCAAGTGAGATTTTGGCGAAACGTCTGCAGGATTCCAGTCGGATGCAGGATTCCAGTCGGAGTTCAACGAGCGAACGGATGATATCCCGGAGTATAGTGTCATCATATATATATATATATATATATATATATATATATATATATATATATATATATATATATATATATATATATATATATATATATATATATATATATATATATATATATATATATATATATATATATATATATATATATATATATATATATATATATATATATATATATATATATATATATATATATATGTATATATATATATATATATGATGACACTATATTCCGCGACACCATCCGTTCGCTCGCCGAACTCCGACTGGAATCCTGCATCCGACTGGAATCCTGCAAATCCCGCATCCGACCGGAATCCTGCAGACGCCCCGCCAAAATCCCACCCGGCACCCCCAATGCTCGCGCTCCGAAAACACTTCGAACACTCGGAGCGCGAGCATTGGGGGTGCCGGGTGGGATTTTGGCGGGGCGTCTGCAGGATTCCGGTCGGATGCGGGATTTGCAGGATTCCAGTCGGATGCAGGATTCCAGTCGGAGTTCGGCGAGCGAACGGATGGTGTCCCGGAATATAGTGTCATCACATTTTTCCATCCGTGAATCAATACGTGAGAATATATATATATATATATATATATATATATATATATATATATATATATATATATATATATATATATATATATATATATATATATATATATATATATATATATATATATATATATATATATATATATATATATATATATATATATATATATATATATATATATATATCCACTGATAAAAGTTATTTTGAAGGTTTTGAATTTCGAGATCGGCGAAAAATAAAAATTGCTCATGAAACAAGTCGAAGGAGTTTTGTTTATATTGGAAATTATTAATAAATTAATTAATAATTTGATACCAAGCGGCAGCTCAATGACACTAACAACTTTGTTCAGAACAGGTCTAGGTTTTTGTTTTCCTTTTTGTTTTGTTATTTATGGCAGAGAACTACCAGAAAAATCCGAAATGTTCGATAAGCAAAAATTCCTGCGTTATTTTCGAAAACAATATTTTAAAGCAATTTATTTTTTAAAATTACTTGTTCAAAATCAATTAGCCTCAGCGTGATTGATGATTTTCCAAGACCAACGCGGTAAATTATTTCTGTCTGCTTAGATCAATTAATCAGTACTTAGTGGTTACACCCGCTACTTGCCAATATTTTAACCCTCATCTCAACTAACTGTACACTGGGCCGACGGCTGTGTATAATAGCCGACATTGTTTACAATTATTTTCTAATGTTACGCAGGTATCTTCAATTTTAATTACACCTCTGGAGATCTCCGAAGCAGCTGTCCATGCGCACTAGCGAAACGTGAAACGTTAGGTAACAATTCCTAATTGCAACATCCGTTAAACCCAAATAAAAGTCTTTGAGTTCTAATGGCGAAATCTAAAACCTTCTGATTAAATTGAAGGCTATTTACACCCACGCTGAGTTCCGTTCGTGGTTACTTTTATTTTAAGAGTGGCGTATATGAATTGAATATAAAAAAGTCTGCTACCAAGTTAATAGTGACGATCAAGTCGTGTTGGTGATTCTTCTTCTTCGGTTTCTTCGTTTTCTTGATCGCCGCCGCCGCCTCAATCTTCGCAGGAGCCTGTTTTATGGGCTGGCCCTTTTGTTGAGCCGCTGCTTGATTTTTGGTCTTGCATGGGGTTTTTGGACCTGCGCCCTTGGGGCCGTGAGTGGGGGTTCGCGGTCCCGTTTGATGTTTTTGGCCGACGTGGCCGCTACCATCAGCGGGTTTGTTACGGGCCTGCAATTAAATAATAATTTAAGACTTATTAACATGGTAATTGAGAGTTGATACCTGAAAATAAATTAATAATAAGAATAAATGAGTTTTATTGATCTAAATATCGATTAGAAAATATTGTAATAAACTCATTGTGGCAATTATGGGACAAACTAGCTTAAAAACCGCTCTATTGAAGCAGATATTGACATGATAAACAAAGAAACTTACATCAAACAAGACGCGTTCGAGTAGGTTTACGAAATAAAAAATATTAGACATCAGCCTTTAGCAACTAATTAGTTTAGTTACTATATACGTTCGGCAATTACCGTCAGCGATATTTTTGTATATTTAGAGCGGGTTACTTATATGTGAAAATCGTATTCCCTAAAAGCTATTTAATAGCTGTCCTAAATCGAATGGATGTTTTATTCATATCACCATTTGTTTGGGGAACCTTATACATTAAATATAAAAATTATTTTGCTATCAACAATACGCTTACCAAATCTGGTTGGTCTGTGTTGTACATATTAAAACTTAATTTACTCACTGATAGAACACGTAAACGCAACGCTTTAACTAGCAGATATTAAAAATATACAAATCCATAACAGCAACAATGCAGGAACTAAAAGCAATAATAAACGTATGAAATTAAGTATATTACAGCGTATTGAACCATACTTACATTCCATTTTCTCGACTAATATGATGAGGCAGACCACAACTGTCTTATCAGTACTTTTTCTTTATTTTATATTGGGAATAATAATAGAGTGATGATATTTAGCGAATAAATTTCGGATTTGTTGAATTATGATGTTTTAGTGAATCAGATCTCTGGATCGAAAATTGGATGGGTTTGAAAATAACAAGATTGATTGTGACATTATTCCAAATGTAGTTCGAGCCGTATACTCATTAATTTTGCTCAGTAACATTATTTACGCGAGCTTACTCTGAGATGGCATGTTAGCATGTAAGTATTTTCCTCGAACTCTCGACTTTGGGAACATATTGTTTCTGTTTGGAATTACAATAAGCTACGTAAATCGAAAGTTCCATTCGTTCGATTCCAATGCCGCGTTACACGGCAATATATTATTCGTCGTTTACAGCCGGCGGGGACGTAACCTAGACAAAAGCTTAATCGAGATGTCAATGGAAATCTTGCAGCTATTTTCACCAGGAACGAACGAAATATCCGGCAAATAGAAGCGATCATTTCCGAAGTTTGGAAGAATTTTTAGTTTTCAAATTAATGTTAAATCTAGATAATTAAATCAGTACTGTGACAAATCTACAAATTTGCAATAGATCTTTATTTAAAGCGATGCCAAACTTCTAATACATAAGTTTGTTAATATTCTCCATTAGAAACAAAATTAATAAAATTAAATTCATCGCTAAATCGAACGAAGATACGTCAGGATAAAAAAACCACGGAATTACTCCGAAATCCGTTTGTCAAATATACAGGCCGTGAAAATGTCTGCTGACATGTCACTGCGGATCAAAAAGGTATCCAAAACTAAGGGAGCTGACGAAAACATTAAATCGACACTCTGGGGAAACGACCACTTATTAAGGCAATGTGAATGCTAAATGAGAAAGCATTTCTCATCTACTGTCGAAACCAGAGACAACGGATCTACTCCAGTGAGCCACTATCTAAGAGTTTAATCAAAGCGACGGGCGTAGCGTTCCTTTACTGACGCTAACAAAATTTCGAACCGCCATTGTCTTTGTTTACCGAAAACTTGCACAACGTTTCGATCAGTTATATCACTGAAGGCTATCAATTGCAAAACAATCTAATTATTAATTAATTAATCAGGCTCTCGAAGCATTATGGAGGAAACCATCTTCTGTTGTTAAGAATTCAAATTCTGTGTTAAAGCTGTGGATATATTTCCTTAAGTAGTATTTATCTTCTTGAGCTTTTAATTTGTTTGAACTTAAAAAATCTGTACCTATACTGACGTTCAGGCTAGATTACGGGGCGGTTTGTATAACACTTATTATCATATTTCCCATCATCAAACCAAATATCTCGCTAAAGTATGATAGGTTTTAATCAGAATCAACCAACTACGTCAAAACATGCCAAATACTAAGCAGAATGCGCGTAGACCAAGCAGCCTATATATAACGGGATTTCTTCTCAGTAGTTTTAAGATTAAGTTAAAAACACACATAAAGGGGTGAAGCGTTAAGGTTCGAATCGGACAAAAAATAATAAATGGCCGGAAGGCTTGGGGATGACCTGCCAAGGTCCAAAAAAATAACTATATCGGAGCTTGAAAAAACTGTAAATAACCTAAAAAATAGAAGTACAAGTGACTATATTCTAAATATTAAGCTCGTCAAGGATTTATTTTGTATAATAGGTTATCCGTTGTTATATTTGGTGAATGCGTCTTTAAGGGTAAAAATCCCTGATAAACTAAAAACAAGCATCATAGTGCCCATACCTAAAGTGTCAAAACCGAAAACACCTGGTGAATTTCGACCAATTAACTTGCTGCCAGTAGTGGATAAAGTCCTGGAAACGATAGTGTGTGGGCAGTTGAGAGACTACCTGGAGCAGAACTGCCTACATTGGACAGTCTGGTTTCAGAAGCAAACACTCGTGCGAATCTGCGTTGCAATATATGTGTGCAGTGTGGCGGAAAGACATGAATGAATCAAAACTAATTCTGAGTGTTTTTGTAGATTTTAAACGTGCATTTGAGACTATTGACAGGGTCATTCTTATTAGGTTTATATGGCATTAAAAACTCTGCACTAGAATGGATAAAGAACTTTTTATCTGATAGATCTCACCAGACTAAAATTAATAATAATGTTTCTAGTCATAGGGATAGCAGATGGGGGGTACCGCAGGGAAGCGTGTTGGGCCCGCTCTTATTTATTATTTATATAAATGATATGCATTAGGTTTTAAAAAACTCCTTTGTTAACTTATTTGCTGATGACACGCTTATTTCAGTCTCTGAAAACGATTGCAAAGAAATAGCTACCAAACTGAACACCGAAATGCAGTATTTCTACGAATGGCTGTGTCAAAATAAACTGAAATTAAATAGCTCCAAAACCAAGTGCATGGTTATCGGTTCTAAGGTTAACTGTCAAATATTTTATAAGTCGGGGTATTCTGTGGATATACAGGGTAATAAAATTGAGTTTCTTTCCGAAATTAAATATTTAGGGGTGATCTTGGATCCACAATTATGCTTTAGTAATCATGTTGAATATCTATTCAAAAAAATTGGTAGGAAAATAGGGTTTTTATCGCAGTGGACTAGGATATTAGTGTATAATAGTATAATTTTTCCTCATTTTTCATATGTTTGTTCATTGCTTATATCTTGTACAAAAGAAGATTTAAATAAGTTACAGTTACAACAAAATAGAGTTATGAGAATCACCCTGAACTGTGATAGATAAACTCCTATGAAGAGTATGTTAGACCAGCTAAATTGCCTAAATATCGGGCAGTTCATTAGAAGAGCAAATTTAATGTTGGTCTATGCAATTGCGCACGATCACCAACCAGGCTTAAATTATGGTTGGAAAATAGGTCAAGCCTTTATCAATATAATATACGTTCCAATCAGCACTTCAATGTTTCTATGGTAAAAACAACGAATTTACAGAAAACTCTATTCTATGATGGTTTTTGTAATCTTAATGAACTGCCGGATAATATTAAGGGCGCGCCTTGCCCAAGAGTGTTCAAGAAGAGACTTACGGGGTATTTGCGAAGTTTATAGTTTTGTTTATGCAAATTTTACTTGGTTATGTAAATAGCTAAGTGCTAAATAAATAAATTAAAGAAGGTCTATTGAAACCGATATTGGAAATGACAGCCGTGTTTTGAAATGAATTATTGAATCTTCTCAACATTTTTTGATGATAATATAGGCAAAAATGCCTATATTATCATCATAGACAAGGCTCCAAATTCTGTCACATGTCACTTAGATGCCCATGGGGTTGTAGGGGATGAGTTGTTAGTTCTTCCTCTACCGAGTATAATAGTATAGTTAGTATTCCGAAAAACAAACCCTTGCAGTATGATTGTTGACACAACAGACGTAACGATTTTTCAAAAAAATAAAAAAGCAAAATAAGTTTCGATGCGCAGTGAGCCGTCGTCTTGCCAAAATTGTTATTTTTAAAATAATAAATGTGGCGTCGTTAAAAGACCTTAAACTTCGCGCGATTTGTAAATAATCCAGCTGTGAAATATTGTTTACAACTTTTTATGTTTCCGTCCCACTTTTGTAATTTATCGGATGACAAAATCGGAAAAAATTGGCTCGGGATCGGGATTTAATTGGTACGGGGGGCAATATATTGCACGTACGCCACAAATCGAACTGAACAAAGTATTCGTATATTTCCAATAACATGTAATAATTCTGGATAGAATTAATTGAATTCGTAATTTTGCGACTGTTTATTAATTGACAGTCGGTTTGGCGAATTGGTGGTGCATATTTTATTTCAAGCAATAACGCATTTATCCGAAGTTTTTGGAACGCAGAACACTATTTAGCGTTGAAACTACAATGGAAAGCTTTTTTTAAAATGCGCAAAGCAATTTTAATATTTTTGTTGTATATGTATACAAAAGAGATTTAATTTAATAAATTAATTTAAAGAATTAATGGCCTTGGCACGTCTTAGTAACCTAATTATCATGCGGAAACTTGTTAGATAGTATATTATGTATTTTACTCTATGAAAGTTAAACAATATATAATCAATAGAAATTGTAGAAATTTCTTCTCAACTAAATGAAATATATTATTTCATATGTTTAATAATGGTTGAAGTAAATATTTGCATTGATTTTTGTTTCAACAGCATGTGCAGTTTTACAATAAAAGTTGGGTGACGTATATTAACAAACAATTTAGAGAAATGCAGAATGCTTGACTAATGAAGAATAATTGCTCCACAATTTACTTAAACAATGTGTATAAGCATACCAAAGCTTATTCAGCTTCAGTTTCGCGGTCAGCTTCGCGAAGTGCAAAATATAAATTGTTTTCCAACTTCATGAATTGTACATACGAAGGGGTACTAAAAAAAACCGGAATCATTTTTTATAAACTATATATTGTTTTGAAAATCACAGAACGACATTATCCCCTTCAAAATACTCTCCATTACAACTAATACATTTGTCATAGCGGTGCTTCCACTGTTCGAAACATTTTTTATATTCATCTTTGTCTATAGCCGACAGCTCATCACTCGTTTTTTTCTTGACCTCTTCAATGTTGTCAAATCGCTGTCCTTTCATATTCCTTTTCATACGTGGAAATAAGAAGTCACACGGAGCGAGATCAGGCGAGTAAGATGCATGGGGCAGAGGAACCATGCCATTTTTAGCCAAAAACTGCTTAACAAAAATGGCTGTGTGTGAAAGAACCAGTCGCCTGTCCGCCACAAATCGGGTCTTCTTTGTCGAATACTGTTGGGCAATCTTCTTAAAACTTCCAGATAAAAATCTTGATTAACGGTCTCACCTGGTGGAACGAACTCTGCATGAACTACGCCGTTGATGTCGAAAAAGCAAATCAGCATCGTTTTGATGTTTGATTTGACCTGACGACATTTTTTTGGACGGGGAGACAGTGACGTCTTCCATTGGCTGGACTGTTGCTTCGTTTCTGGATCGTAACCATAGCACCATGACTCGTCGCCAGTAATGATCTTTGAAAGAAAATCTGGATTCGTTTCAAGCTGTTGATTCAAAACACGGCATGTTTCAAGTCGATGTTCTTTTTGCATGTCAGTCAGAATACGAGGAACAAACTTGGCAGCAACTCTTTTCATTCCCAAATCTTCGGTTAAAATTCGCTGAACCGTGCTCCAAGACAACCCACTAATCTTTGACATTTGTTCAATTGTCTGTCGACGGTCTGTGAGCACAAACTCTCGAATCTTTTCAATATTTTCGTCGATTCGAGCAGTTGATGGACGTCCAGAACGAGGTCGGTCATCAATTGATTCGTCGCCATTTTTCAAGCGAATAAACCATTGGTACACTTGAGTTTTTCCCATCGCAACGTTTTTATAAGCTGTTTTTAACATTGAAACAGTTTCAGCAGCACTTTTACCGAGCAGAAAACAAAATTTCACAGCTGCACATTGTTATTTTAAACTTATCATCGAAAAAAACGAAATAACAAAAAAAACAGAGTTAACAAAAAATGGCACTGCAAGTGAACAAAACAAGTTAAATTTAAAACAAAGGTGGCGTTGAACTCGCAATAAGTTGTACTGTCCACAACCTAGCGACAGAAAGGTGTACTATACAAGCTCTGCGCGCGGCAATGAAATTCCGGTTTTTTATGGGTACCCCCTCGTACATTAGCGTTAAAGAAGGAAATGGTTAACTTCGCTAGTGTAAAACAGGCATCAAAATATGTTTCGATGCGGAAATGAAACAACAGATGGGGATATAATGACACCATGTGGTGTTTTTCTATTATATTATGCAGATTGAGGATTTTATTTAAAAATATGACCGGAACTTTTAAAACCTTGTCAAATTCCATAAGCCCGCATCACTTGCACCGAATGTTTTGTCAACACTGTTGGTCTTACTATTTGTTACTACATTAATCTCCGGAAAATGTGTCGAAAGTATGATTGATTTTGTTGGCGAATGTCTTGCTATATTTTTTGTTTGCTTTTCCTGTTCCGCTTTGGCAAGGGAACAAAAAGAGACTCGTTCTTTGACTCGAAGCGTATTGCGGAGCGTTTTATAATTATTGTGCCTTAACTTTCTAGAGCGGGATATTTTAGGCATCGTTAACCGTTGTGTTTACTTCCCGTTTTTCATACGTAATTAGGAACGCCATTTTGAACCGACGCTGTTGCACTACTTTTTGTTCTTTTTTAACGTACTCTTATTAAAAAGTTTCAAACTTAACTTACAAAAAAATTGCAAAGTAACCTATATCAAAAAATTATATACAGTGCCCAGGTAAATAGACGGAACCTCCCTTTTATTTTTTGTACCCTCGTATATTATATGTCTAATGTTTGACGTAAATACGATATCTCAGAATGTCAAAATGACAGCAGCAATGTTTTTCTTTTATGGCAAGAGGGGTCATGTGATGCCAGACAGTCAAATGAATGCTCGCAAATGTTTTGTTCCTTTTCTATTACTCAACCGTACCTTAAATGAAAATAACAAATAGTCTCATCATTTTATCAACAATTTTATTAAATGTTCGAAACTAGCATCTTGTCAATACTAAAATCTGGCAATAAACTCGTTCAAGGTAAGATTATAATCGATAAATATTGAACCTACAATATGATTATCAAGTAAACCCGCCCAAACATTTGCGGATATTATGTGTGATAATCTAGGAAAACATACGGATTTTCATCTTACATTTTGTCTGTTTACTTTCCATACGTGCCGGGCATAGTCTGGAACCTGAATAATTGTTTCACAAATAATTTTACAAAACTGCATGCGTCTGCCCTGATCGTCTTCTGACAGCTGATGTACTAAACTTATTTGTAGGGGTGGAACTTTTGTTTTCTTGCTTACAATTATATTATTGTTTTCTTGTGTAATTATTTTTGGTCGAATTGTCCGGATTGTTGACAACGGTAGGTATAATTTCAACCTATTTCTCTTGTGAAACTGGTTTTCTGTTGTGATTTTTTTGTTATTAACAATGCCACTAGTAAAAAAAATGTTTATGTTTTCTGAAATATTACCGTTTGATGGGGTTTTCAGGATATCTTCTATTAACATTTCTAACTGCCTCATGAAAATTGCGATTGGATTCACCATAAATGACAATAGCTTCTGCTCCAATAACCCAATTTTAAAAACACAAGATCCAATTGATACTAAGTATTTAACTCACTAACAAAATAACGAACTTAAAACTACCAATCGAACGTTGATTAAATACTAAATAAAAACAAATATGAAAAAATAATGAAACTCGAATTTTTAAACGATTAAATACGACCTGATAATCTCTAATGCTGTATCCATCACAAGCAACCTCACAACAATTATTATTATTTGCATTGAAATAAATTACAATGAAAAATACATTTAATTTCTAGTCTTACAAAAACTGCCTAATAATATGTTTGCAAAATTGGTATGCGAATATAACGTGAACGTGAACTTTAAAAAGAGGCACCTCTTACCATTAAAAAAACATCTAAAATGGCGCTTTGCTGACATTTTGAGATATGGTTTTTATGTTAAAAATTAGAAATTTAAATTATATATGTGCATTCCAAATTCTATATTCAAGGGTACAAAACACAATTAGAACGCAGCCTTTCAATATCATTTATTATTTTGAGTGTTTTACATTATTAAAATTTCCCATGCCACTTTAAAATTGAGTGATTTGCATCTTTATTGAATACTGCTAAAGCCGAAAGCGTGACAAAACGCCCTTATGCCGAATAAAAATGGTGCTTGGTGCGCAATTTTGACGTTAGACATCTGGGAACATTTTGAATTGCAGATTAGATCTTTCTCGCTAAACGATTAATATTTTTAAAATATCAAAAGGTACGGAAGATTATTTTGACCACTAGCGGGGTTGGCTTCGAAAACATAGTTAGAGGATAACACCATATTTTTCGGAAATTAAATTCAAATATTGCTTTTACAATTCTAGATCACCAATAAACCTGTAAATTGTCTGAAGTCATTCCCAAATATCTTAAATTTATTAACTTGACACATAGGTGGATGCCCATCAAAGTCTTTGTTCTGGACAGTATTTCAAATCTAATTCAATCGAGATAAATCATGTGTTTCAGAAAATATTTAAATGTTGTTCATAAAATAACCATTCGCATTTTAGAAGTAACATCACAATTTGAATTTCTCGTGGTAGCTGTTGGATGGAGGTTTCCGCTGTTGGAAACAACTTTCTAAATTTTTGAACTTCAGAGTTTTTCAAGAAACCTTTCATTTTAGTACATTATTAAAGTCGTGACATTTTCGGTTATTTTGAGAATCGATTATTATTTCGATTCATGTAACGAAGACTATCGTAATTCATTATTTCTAGTTTTGAGAAAAATATGTTTAAAGGATTTGCTTCATTACTATCCATCAATATTTTTTCAATTAGATTCTTCTAGACTTTTCATAGTAAAAGTTGTTGGTAAGTATCTGAGCTGCACAATAGTAACTCAAAAACCGTCAAAAATGAGTTGCATGAATCGATTTAATTTTGGAGTTCTGAGAAATATTATTATGCATCCAATTCGATCAGCCTGGTAAAAACTTGAACGGAGTAAAGAAACAAACGAACAAACAAAACAAAAAAAAATGAAATTGACATTGACAAATCATTTATCGCCTACAGCTTATTAAATATTTTGTACCAACTTACATTATTTCAAGTCTTCAAACTGCTTTTTTTTAAGAGCCACTTTTTCTCAATGGACTAAAAATTGGCTTCGCTCCGTTTAAAAACATATTCAATCAGCATTAATATTTTTTTGTTCTGTTAAAGTTGAAATCCGTTTCAGCTCGTTAACATCCAGTAAGCAGCTCAACTCAAGATCCGTTTATCTAAATATAAAATCTCGTCTCGTCTTCTATTGTGCGGGAGTGAGTTTGGAATATCTCTGCGTGTTTTTCGGTTAAGTGTTTCCAATCCAGTCTGAAGTTCTTGCCCGTCGAAAACAGGCTTCCAGTGCTATCGAATCCGAAATGGTTAGTTTTGTGCGACTGTGCAAATTATTGTCCCAGTGAGATAAACGGTTTTGTCTTAGCGGTCCTTTTGATTTATTTTAAAAGTTTTATGCTTGGCTTCTTCTATTTTTTCGTTTTTAAATTTACCTTTCTATGCAGCAGTTTAACTTTGACATTACTTAATAATTAATGCTGCTTATGCACGGATTCCGGGTGTTTTTGTTGCAAAGAATAGCGGATCGGGTTGAGGTTATTAGTGCTGTGTAAATTCTGAACATGAAGTTTCCTCATAAATTGTTCGCAAACTTAATATTGCATTGCAACTATATTGTAGCTCAGACCCGTTTGTTAATATTATAGTATGAAGCCGCCTGGTTGGCTTCATCGCAGTGTTTCCCAATCTTGATTTCACGATTTTGACTCAAAAAAAATCTATTAATATTCTAATATTAACCCAAAAACGAAAAAATTGAACAATCTGTAAAAAGCAATGGTTTTATTAATTGTTTCTGACAATGACAACTTATCCTAAATATTTCTTTCTTAACTCTCCGCTCATTTAATAATAATTATAGTATAATAACAGTAATAGTACTAATAATGACAGGACTTTGTTAACCAATAGCACCGATCGTTATGTAGTATTTTACCGGTAAACCATGAAAATGAATAGAAGTTGGATTTTCAAATAATTAAAACAGCAAAACGGATGCACAAATATTTTCAGTATTGAACAGGGAGTAGAACAGGTTAGTTTTCTTGCGAAAACTGTGTAGGTAAAATTTTCTAGGTCATCATTCCTAGTGTTGGGACTGGGCAATTGACCACTTTTTAATTGAACTGTCAATTGACAACTTTTTAATAGATTACTCAAAAAATGTTTTAAATAAAATCTTACCATTGTTGAAGGTTATCTATCGTTATTTAATAATAATATGTATTCAAGGAATATCCGAATACGACACTTAGCGATTCAGGGAATCCCAATAAGAATATCCACTCCATTTGTTTCCCAGAATGACGCTACGGCAACGTAAAGCACAATATAAATAATTATAAATTTCATGGTATTTTAAAAATTATTTTGGGCAATTGACCGGTCCATTGAACAAAAAAAATTGACAGGTCAATTCCACAACCCTAATCATTCCTATTGCTGTAAATTGTAACAGAATTATAAACAATACTAACTTCTGGTAACGGTAGCTAAATGTTAGCGGAAATTCGACCTCTCCGAATAAGATCATAGAAACTTTGCTGCTTTATGAATTTTCTTTTCTTTTAAGAATTAAAAATTGTAGGCTATCCATTTAGTCGCTGAAAGTCACACAAACTTTGCATTATCTGAAATGCTGGTCTATCAATTCAAGTGCAAAACCTTTTTTACCATTTTACCAAACGTAATGGTAGGCCGCCCAACTAGTAAAACTTGGCTGGTTGCAATTCAAGTTCAATTGGAAATTTCCACGTACACTTTCGAAAACCAAATGGAATCGACCGCTGCCAACTCGTCAAATTGTCCGATCTGTTTATCTCGCCGGGTTTCGCATGGTAAAGTTTTAGACTTAATAAATTTAGTTAATATTCGCTTCAGATCAATTTGGCAGTTGGTTCGGTGATTGAGATTTATAATATTCTATTTTATACGTGTGTGCTTAAACCGCAACTTCACCAAGATATAGTGCGACTCCATCTAGCACACTATATTAATTGCAAATAATTTTTCGTCTAGTCGGGTTCAGTTTAATCCGCAGTATGTTTATTGGAATTTTAGGTTTAGGAGTGGTTTTAATAATTCCTTTTTTGGTGGCAGGAATATAGATCTATGTTATATTTGTGGTATCATTAGGTTTATATGATTTTTTGCATTATTATTCAATTTTGTGTTATTAATTAACTTTTTGAAAAAGAAAATCCAACGAATGGTTGAAAATAAATGACCCGGTAAGTCGAAAGTTGCAACCTATCACAAAATCTGCCTAAATAATTTTACTGGCTCTTGAGATATAAACCATTGATTTTAACTTTTCCTGGAAAAACGTGGATTAATCTTAATTGATAGGAAGTTTTTATCAAATCTAATATTTACTATTACGATTTGGAATAAGGTGGCTTTTACCTGCTGAAAATCCATTTAACCCAATAAAATTAGAAAAAAAAAGTTCAGATTTTTACAGTCGTTTAATGATTTATGACAGCGGTTTCGGCAACACCGTGCCTTTATCAAATATGAAAAGGAAAATATACAAAGCCACGGTGTTGCCGAAACAGCTGTCATAAATCATTAAACAACTGTTAAAATCTGAACATTTCTTGTTCTAATTTAATTGTGTTATCTATTAGGTACGGTAGGTGCTGTAAATACCTTAAAATTTGTGCGCCTCAGAAGGATATAACATTTTCGTATGATTATATCGCTAACCCACTTTTTGAGACATTTACTTTCTAAATAGCAATCTCTGCATAAACTTAACTCTTTTTTTCCTGAAAGTTTAAATGGATATGGGACCGTTTTGAGACACCCTGCCGAAAAATTCCACATTGAAATTGAAAATTGGAGGATGGAGGAACTGTCAGCTGCCATGCTGAGTGGCGACTTTGCAAAGTCATGTTAGTTCAAACTAAATTTTAAAATGAGTCGCTTATACGAATGTACCTTTCCAAACTATTGATGTTGATTTCAACATAGGAAAGAAATTCCTATGTATTCAAGTAGCCAAATCCACGTGAATTTCAGATCATTGTTTTGGGAGCGGAGCTGCGCGGTTGGTGGTTGGCTGCTAGATATTTTATCAACCAAGATATATCATCTTTGGTACTTGTCTGTTCCCTCTTAATGATAAATATTGATCCCTAACAGGCAAATTACAATTAGTTTGCACGAGTAACAACTGTTCCAATTTTTTTATATTTTTACAAAACTTCTGGATTCCTGCGTCGGTTTTTGCTGAGTCGAAATTGCTGACTGAAACCGTCAAGCTCTAAAGAAGCCAACAGGATGATTGGCGAAACGTCAGCAATTTCTGCTCAGTTTTGTAAAAAGTATTACAGTAGCCTGTGGAAGTTTCTTTGAAAAATTAACTGTTCCAAATATTGTCGCGTGCCATGTTGTCTCACTGATGTTTATGTTCGTTTTAATTTTACAATAAACAAGGTATTACGTATCAAGGATAATCAAGCAAACGGCGATTTATTTCATCCAGTTTAGCACGCCCAGTGACGTCACCTATCCCTCCAGCTTCTGGACTTTTAACGCAATGATAAACCTATTAAGTTTGACGAAATTGATATGGAATGAAGTTTGATCTTTGCGTGATAGTTTGGAGATAAAAAGGGAATTCGGCATCAAAATTCAAACATACGAGAAAATGCGTCACATCGAGTATTTTTTTATTTTATTGTTTCCTTTTAAACCACGTCAAATGAGATCATTTTTAATTTCTTTTTTCGCATGGCATATAACGGGCGTGATTTTCAAATGTGGGTGGCGCGGAGGATTTAATACGTGTTGTCGATATTTTTGGTTACGGCGTTTTTCGTTCCAATGAGTACGAATTACTGAAAATAAAAGTTTAACGTGTATTTTCTTTACAGGCTGACGTCGACGATGCCCAACTTCAACGTAAGTGATCACTTAACGAGTTTTGCTATATAATTTCGGCATACTTTCCATGTTAAGCAAAAACGTAACGCTTCTCTCCCCGAAATTCTACGGATTTTTGGACGCATTTAATAATAGACGCTACGGCATTCTTCGGAAATAAATCTTGTTTATTTATAGCGACAAATTTATTTTGGGCGCGCGGTGTTTTATTAAGAAAGAATTTGGTAACGCAAGTCGAGAATGAAAACAATTTATTTTAAAACAGCTTACGGTTTGTTTTAAAACCCCCGAGATTGATTTCCTCGGGAATGAACGAGTTTGTTTTATTTTCCATTGTTGTACGCAAAGATTCGTGAAGCTTCCCCGATTCTACGAAAATTGCAAATCAGATTTGATTTATCCTGCCGAAAATTGATTAGACGTTAACATTTTGTTTAAGATATTTGGATATGCTATTTCATAACGCATCATAACCATCAATATCAACGAGTTTCTAGGAATGTTACGCATTTGTAGACTTGCACATTGCTTATGTATTATTGCTCACTCACTTTTTGATCTTATTTTTAACTAATGTCTCCCAAGCTATTTGCATGCTCTTGACAAACTGTTCAACTGGCCAAATTAGTTGTACTGCAGCATAACCAAAACAAATTATATTGGATTCCATAACCCCTGGTACAAAAATGAAGTTTTTCCCATTAATTCCAAGATGCAACATGTAAAATTTTGAACATTGAATTTATCAATTTTGGTTTGTAGAAATTCAATTTCACATAAAGTATATAACAAAACGTCAAACCGAAGTATATATTATTTAAGTTTAAGTAAAACTTTTCGGAAGAGTCCGAAAGCAGAAATTGATGGACATTTCACTGAATCATTCTTGGTTAACAACTTCATCAGTTTTTATAAAAAACTTAACTTTGGCAAAGTGCAACCCGCAATTTTAATATTTAATTTATTTGCCATGCATTTTCCCATCTTTTTCAAGAAATTTTAATGTTCTTATCGACCTCAAGTTAATTGTTGCTTAGTTAGGAATTATTTGAATTTAATTTGGCATCAAGATGGAGCACCTCCACATATTGTCCAACAGGTTACCCATTATCTAAATAATAAATATAGACTTTTGATAGGTAGGCAAGAAACTATCAAATGGCCTGCCCACAGCCCCGACCTGAATCCTTGAGACATTTTTTTGTGGGGATACTTAAAAAAATAAAATTGATTATAATAGGCCTGAAAGTTTACAAGTGACAAGAGAAAGGCTTAATCGTTTTATACGATCTAAAGAGAGAAACCTCTGGTTTTATCACTTCGTGTATTAACAGAAAATTGAAAGTAAATATTGTCCGATGTCGATGTTGTTATGTGGAAAATGTTTAGCATTCATTAATTATTGATATTATTATTGTTTGAATAACATAATTTTATTATTTGGTGTTTTTCTTCCTCAGCATATATTTTTTGAAATATCTTAAATTATTTAACTTACGCTGCAGACCTTTAGTTTTGACTAGTTGTCAAAAGTAAAACATTGTTAAAACAATTTCAAACATAGACTTGATCATTTTAAAAAAATCTCGAATGATAATAATTTTTAAAATAAAATATCTCTAAAACGGCTAAATGAAATGTCAATAAATTATATGTTTTTCAAACCAAGAAGAAGAGATCTACGATTAAACCTAATAATATACAGGGCATTCCCTTAAAAAAAAGATGTTGCTGTCATTTTGACGGCTTGCGATCGTCGTTTGTTTTTTCTGACATTTGCATAAGATAACAGAGTAAAAATCTTTAAACTTTTGTATTTAGACTTTTTTTCTATCTTTCAAAAAATTAACCCTCTAGGTGGGTGTCATAATATAATAAATAAACCTGTACAGGAAAATTTACTAAATCAATAGACGAAATTAAAGATTTACCTTTCCGCGTGTTTAGCTTTCTCCAATGGTGATAATTGTTTTCATAATCAACATATATTGAATATAACTTTCAAGATATTAATCAAAATTATTCGTCATTTTTTTCATTTCTGCGAACTTTAATGCAACTGAGAATGATTTTTCATATGTTTTTTTTTTATCACGATGCTAACTATGATTAATGATTTTAGTAAAAACTCTTTCTTCTACCCTGTAAAGTACCAGCTTGCTTCATTAAAACGTCAGCAAGAATCACTGTTAAAAAGCGATAATAATCGCATTAGAATTCCATTTTCATTGCCGCACCGAATGCATCGCCAAAATCCCGCCCGCCAAAAAAAATACTAATTTTCATTTTCGCTGGCAACAAAATTTACGTGGCTAGAAACAAAATGACTATTTTTTATCGTCACTTAGGTACTTAAATCTGAAATTATGATTAATTTCACGAGATTATAGCGAAGATAAATAAACCTTATCGTAAAAACGACTCCTTTTGCTATAATATAAAGGCTTTAACGGCCAAATTTTATAGCGCGGGCAAAATTTTTACTCGCTTTCGCTTAATGACTGCAGATGAAATAAAAAAAAATGTATTACCAGATAAAGTACTCACCAACACCACAATAACTCTTATTGCTCCTGCTAGAAATAACAAACTAAATTACGTCCATAATCTCGATTAATCCCTCTTTAAGTTCGGCGTACATTTTTCAGTGCTTAAAAGGGCGTTTTCTATGTTCGACTCTGCGAAACGTGGCTCCATCGAACGGGAAAAAGTAAGGACGATCCTCACCACCTTGGGACACAGTTACGATGACAAAGAACTGGAAGCCATGTTGACTGAAGAAGATCCAGAAGGTAAGAACTTATTTTGCACCCCGTAGCACATAGTGGATAGCTTCTCAGAGGTATCTAAAGAACCACCAACGGTTTATATTATTGTATATTTTAAATTATGTATTTCCTTGACGCGGCAACATCTTTCTCAGATTACCCAATCTCTTTTTCCCTTTCTTCCTAGTACTAGACTGATAAAAATGTGAAAGTATCTAAGATTGCATTAGTATTGAGGTAGGATAATGTTATCTGAAGAGATTATACATGTCGAAGATCGTAAAATAAAATAATAAAATAGAGACCCGGTGTGGCGGGTTTCTGTTGGCGAGCGATACGTAGGGTTAAACTTCTCGGACATATTCAAAGATGGCACATGGAATTTTGGAAAAGGAGCAGTAATGGCAAAGCTATGGACGAAGAAAGGCTATCAATATACAGGCGAAACTCTATTTAGCGAAATTGAAGGGACTGCTTTTTTTCTTTATAAAGAGTTTTCGTTATCAAGAGTTATAGGCACCTAAAAAATAACATTACGCATATGTGTTCTGTAATATTTAATTATTTTATACACATATTTTAACATCTATTTAGGAATATTTTATATAAATATTGAAGAACTACAATTAATGTTTCAAATAATCGGTCATTTTATTTTGAATTTTTTTAGTATGCCAATACGCATCTCGTAGTTTGGCTTGTATTTTCATCATTTATTCGTGAGGTGCATCTTCCCCATGACACATAAAAAAATTATCTAGCAGCTTAACTGAATAAAGGGCTTGTTGAATGGTTGGTGGTGGTCCCAGATCAACTTCTTCATCTTCTTCTTCCTCTTCGTGCTCTTCCTCACCCTTTCTTGCTTATTGTAGGCAAATCCTGATCTATCACCATAAAATCTTGCAACTCCTCACTTGTAAACGTAATTGTTGCCTGAAACTGCTTTATCCACTCGCTTAGTGGCTGACCATCTTCCAAATCCTGCTGGCATTCTGTCTCGGTAATAAGTCTTGCATGACGATAGTAGTGTTCACCTCTTTCGAAGCTTTACTAATAAAGTTCACTGCATCTAGCATTTTAATGGAAAATTTGTCTTCGGACTCGATCATTTCAATTAAAATGTTTTTCCTATATCGACTCTTAAGACTTCTTATTACGCTCCGATCCATCGGCTGTAAATACACTTGTTGTTTTGGCTGCAAGAAATGCCAATTCAGTACTCCGTAGATTAGAAATATGGGGATATGCAGGGCAGTTATCTAAGAAAAGTAATATAAGTTTTCCACCCACACAATTTTCGCTTCTAAATTTAAGAATTTTATCGGGCGTCATTTTGTAAAAAATACCAGTTTCGTCAGCATTAAAAATGTCGTCAGCGGGCTGCTAGTTTTGGCCACGTCTTCTCCAGCCAATTTGCCACTTATCTGTCCATAATTTATACCGTCTCTGTTTGAACTTCCCCAACCATCTTTCCGAAGCCGTGAAATCGATAATGCCAAACTGTTCAGCAAACTTTTCTGCATTTACTTTTACGATAGGTCCAGAGAGTGGTACATTTTTAAACCGTTGCTGTTGGAACCACTGCAACATTGCCCAATCCAAATCTTCAAATTGGTTTTCTTAGTTTTTTACTAGAACTGCCTGCCGCTTCAGCCTGAATGATTTTTTCTGTGCACTTCCAAGCCATGGAGACAGTCGGCGGTGTAAGTCCGTATCGACGTCCCACATCACTTTGTTAAAGGAGCTTTTTATAAATTCTGAAAACTATTTATAGTAATATCATGTGAAATTAAGAGCTGAACCCCACCCCATCATTTCTTTGTTCATAAATGAGGCTTTCAGGTAGATAGTAATTTGATAAATCACTACTTTAAAATTTAAAATCAAATGTAATGTACTTCATATTTTAAGTAAACATGAATAGTGTCTTTACGAAAAATTATGCGAAGTGTAGGTTAGTGTGCAGTACAAAATTTCTTCACGATGCGAAGCGTCAAGGCAAAAACAGACCTGCACCAAATTTCGGAAATAATGACAAAGTAAAAACCAACCCTTCCCTCCCCATCAATCATCGCATAAAAAGCAAATCCGGAAAGTAAAAGACATTCATCAAATATTTAATACGATTGAAGTATTCCCTCTAGAGCTCTCTCTGTACAGAGTCGCATCGGCCTTACGCGACCGCCCAAAACATTAGGGTCGAATTTGATAAGTTGTCAGTCAAACCAACTCCAAATGGCGGTATTAAAATATTTTCAAAAAAATAAGCAGACCTAGATAACCCGACAAGAAAACCGATTTGCTATAAATGTCGCCAGAACGGTATCCGTATGTTAATTGCTTCGAGGTGAATATTCGAATATAATTTTTTATCTACAACAAATTTTTCAAAATTGTAATTAATACTTTTTAACTTTGGCAATACTGTCATATACAAGGCATATAATACGAAGTACGCTTCTATCTTGTATCTATCAGAGCAAACCTGTTTTCAAATGAGACAGATGATCATCAACTAATTAATGGCGGTCGTGGCATTTTTGGTCCGGTTTAGGACGTTTAGTAAGTTATATTTTCCTCAACTGCCCTAAGGAATTCCAGTTCAGAAATTGTTTCAGTTAATTAATACTAATATATTTAATATATAATATTTTTAATATGAAATACGTGGATATACTAGATGTGACAAATCTTTTTAACAGATTCTGGTTACTCGTATCTTAATTTCCAGTTCAAATTATTCAAGAGCCCCTAATTTGTTCTGAGTTCTTGAAATCCGTCGGTATAAATAAAATTTGACGAAAAATTTTAATACATCGTATATTATAAACAAATTGATAGAAAATAATGAAACATAGAGAAAATGTGTGTAAAATAGACTTGGATCTTCTTTTTGCGATGAAAAGTTCTTAATATTTTTCATCGGAAAACAGGATCGCTGCTATTATTAAATGTGCAATATGAATGTCGACATGTTCTGGGGAGTATTTTAAGCCTTTCGGTCTGTATTCATAATGGGTTCTCAAGGTGTCCTGGTTCCTTAAATACAATTTTGCATTTCGTATTATTAACACTTCGTGCGCTCCTCAGAGTAGAGCAAGAGGAAAAACTTACCTTTGGAAGATGTTAAGGGATATGTTATTTTATGTTGTTTAATGATTGTGATTCTGGATTTAGAAACTTTTGAGCTATTTTAACACTATACTGCATAATATGCCTGTGTGGCTTTAGGATAATACAATGACAATGAAATCAAAACCAGATACAAATTTTAATTTTTCTTAAGAGTATTTTGCTTCTTTAAGGATTGAAGTACTAATACCAAAATAAGGATCCCTTAAATGAGACCAACCACCACTTTATATTAACCTTTAGGAATTCTCTACAATTTCGACGGTCTTTTACTCCCTTTAATTAACGCTCAAGCAACTTTCATCTCCCATTAAAAAGCGCATGTGCAGAAATCTCATCGCTGCTTGAGGTGTGCCAATAACAAATGCGGTTGAATTGAAAAAATGAATATCAATATCGTGCTAAAAGTTGATTGTTGAGCGTATAATTTTTTTTTTGGCAAACATAAAAATTTGAACATTTTTTCATCTACTGAGTATTTCTCGTTGTTCACATTAGTACGTCCCTGTATCAACGTCAAATACGTCGGTTCGGCTGAGGGAAGAAATATTACCGTGTCTTTAGAAACAGCGGACTTTGATATATGAGCCATTGTTTCCGAATATCTGAATTTAATATGGAGGATTTTACGAATATCGGTTGAAGTTTCCGTACGTCTTTAAAGTTCGTCGGTAATCACCTAAAATTGGGTCAGTACGAGCAGATGGAGCTCGACCGACTCGAATAACTCGCAAAAGTTTCCATTCTTGTCGGTGTCGTGTGATTAATTACCTTGTTATTTTCGAAGTATAGCTTCCAAAAGCGATTGAAAATTTTTCGAAAATGCATCGAATCCAATTGCGGTCAAGATATCAACAGTGTCCATACCCTTGTCTTTCACCATGATTCGCAAAAAAGCACCAACATTCCGTGTAACCTAATTCTCTTCGAATTTTTAAGGTAATAACGAGCCCGTAATGGCACTTAGAGGTCTGGCCCAATTAGATTTTCCAGTCCGGGAAACTCCTTTGGCCCGCTGCCAGCCGCCTATCATAGAAAATATTCGTAATGATTAAGGAGTCTTATTTGCACAAACTGTATGGAAAAAGCAGTTCAAAAAATAATCATCGATAAACGGATCGATGTAGGAAATTTTGTTTCATTACGCTCCGTCTTTGAGAAAAACCGGGCACAAACATTTCAATATGTGAGTCACGCAGACTTCTCGAAGAATATGCACAAACGAACACAACCTTTTGTTGTTTATTATAAAATCTAAATCCATGAAAAATTTATTATTAAAGGAAATCTACTCGTTCTTTTTTGTGAGACCTAGAGCGATTCTGCAACTTTTTTAAAACCCGTTATTTTCGATATAACTTATTAGCGGTTTTTTATTTAAAACCTGGTAAATTAAAATTTACCAAAAAAAGTGTATATCTTTATAGAGCTTGCTCAATGAAGTCTGCACCATATGGGCATTTTTCGTTACTTTTATAAAAAAAGTTATTCCTTATTAAAAGTCACATTTATTTCCGAAAATATTGACAACTGTTATTAAGAATAGTTGATTATAGCTGAAAACTATTGTCAATAACTTTAGATATCTCGAGTTTATAAAAACTCCATATTAGACTTTAGATAATTTTGCTCTACCACATCGCTTGTTAGGTTTCATAACAACAAGCTTTATTTCCTCTATAAGGAATTTGTCATCAACCATCAGTGCTAATAAAAATATCAGGCTTATAACATACAACAATGTTTCTTAACAACAATTGTCGATATTTTCAAAAATTATTTGTGCAGAATTCATATCTGCTAACGGCCCAACAAATTTTATATCTCATATTTGTATTTCAAGTTTTAGACCGCGGATAATTTTTATTACGATATATTATATGGTGCAGACTGAATTATACACACTGCATTTTATTGTGCAAATATATTTTATTTAATAAAATTAAGCACCGTAATTATTAAAATAGTTCATCATATTGACAATTAAATAAGAATAGCATGTATTAAGTTTGGCATTTGGTGGAGAATAGAAAGAACGGTATATATTTATCGGATTTAACTGATTTAGAGATTTAACAAGAAAGCCAAAGAATCTTTATTATATATTATATTTATTATATTTCGGAAGTACGCCAACAAACATTCCCGTGCTTTTCAGACATACATGTTCCGATAGACCTAATTTAGCAAAATTTCAAATATAAAATTTAATTTTTTGAAAAGATAAAATTTTTATCTGCTTAGATTTTGTCATTTTTTTTTCTTTTTCTTTAAGAAACTTCCACAAGCTTCCGTAATACTATTTACAAAACTTTACCGAAGTGGGGATCAAGTTTTTTACGTTGAAATATAAAAGTTGTTAGTTTCTACATTACAGCCCTTTTGATAATGGCATAATAAAAAAGATGTTACCTGAAAACGCAACTCGGTGGAGATACCACGAAACTGGGATAGAGGAAAATCAGCACGACTGCTTGAAATAAACGCGCTCAAACGAATATGCGGGCTTCCGATTTAGAACAAGCAATTTCAATGCGGAGGCTAGTTTAAATGAAATCCCAACTAGGATAAAGAATTCCCAGATATTCAGTTTTACCCTTAAAAATGGCTAAATTCGTCTTTTAAATAAAGTACCGATAGATGGGGCATTTTATAAGCCGTAGCGTTAGCGACGGGTCGTTATTTGGATATTTTTCGCTGGACGAGGACCCTTCCTACGAGAGTCGCACACGCATCCGAATTCGAACGCTTTTCCAAGTGATTATTTCCACATCATTTGCGCGAATGCACTCACTGGGACTATTCGGAATGCCCGAATCACTCGACCAAAAACCGTTATTGCTTCAATTACATGTATTTCGATAAAATATATTTCTCGCAATCGGGAAATTGTGTGCATCCGCTGTTAGGTCGATTTGCGATTTTTACGAAACTGCTTCGAAAGGAAAATATACGGAAAAACTACAGCAATACAGCCAATTACCAACAAGAATAATTTTCGATGAAATCTTAGTCAAGGTTAGGTTTTTTGCAACTTCTTCTAACGAAAACTTCAGCAAAACTTCAGATTTTAACATAAAAGCTGACTTTTTGGGTTGCACATTAATTCCATAGAGCATTTATGAAAAAACAACAACCAAAAGTAATGAACCAGCGCAAGCGTGTTTCGCATTTTGGTCCAAAATTTATTGATGCATTTATTAAAAGCCCCCGAAGCAATGCGGCTCGATATGGATCCTCTGATTTGAATAATTAAACCTGGTGAGTATTTGCCTGATTATAAATTTATTGGGAATTTCCTCAGCCTAACCATTTAACTTTTGGATAAACAAACACGAAAATAGCAATACTTTTTACAAAACTTCTGGATCCCTCCTGCGTCGGTTTTTGCTGAGTCGAACTTGCTGACGTTTCGCCAATCATCCCGTTGGCACCTTCTTCAGAGCTTGACTGAAACTGACTCGCATTTTACTCTGTACCCGGGTATATATTGTTTGAGGGGCGTGGAGCTAAATAAGGGGCATAAACACCATCTCGGATGACTGATATTTTTCGTCCGATTTCTCCAATGTATTCTTTACCGCATATGCATGGAAGGCTGTAGATTCCTGGCGTCTCAAATGGAATTTTAACGAAAAATCCGAGTGTTTATGGAAATCTATACGCAACCTAACAATCTTAACCGCGGCTCAGGTCTCTACCTGTCACCAATATGGGAATCAGTCATCCGAGACAGTGTTTATGCCCCTCATTTAGTTCCCCCCACCCCCCTCAAACACTATAAACTTCCTCCGAGGCAATCATGCAAAGAGACATTTCAACAGCACAAAATATTAACAATGCCTTGTATATACCTATTTAAAATACTTTTGATCACACATAAATTAAATATTCACATAGGAAGCATACTGATATCCACAGTTACAATACTCGCAATAGAGAACATCTGCTGAAGCCAAAACTCAACCATATGTTTTATAAAAAATCACTAAGTTACGCGGGACCATATTATTATAATTTGCTGTCTTCAAGCTTAAAAAATTTATCTATAAATCAATTTAAAAAACACATCAAGAGGCTCCTGTCGGCCAATGCTTTCTACAGCCTGAAAGAATTTGAAGCGTACCTGAGAGCATCGTAAATAACGTTAAAAGTTTACCGAGATTTTTCTAATGTATACTCTCTTTTATTTTAAATTACATTAACTGGTTTGTCATATTTGTTATATAAATATATACTCGTATTCGTTCTATACATTACTTAAGATTATGATATACATTGTTTTTACAATGAAACTTGTAATTTATTATTTGTGTTTATTGACGAAACATCCACTGTACCACCTGGTTTTGTGAATAAATAATCTATCTATCTATCTATCTATCTATCTATCTATCTATCTATATACCAAGGTACAGAGTAAAATGCAAGCCAGTTTCACTCAAGCTCTGAAGAAGCCAACAGAATGATTGGCGAAACGTCAACAAGTTTGACTCCGCAAAAACCGACGCAGGAGGAATCCAGAAGTTTTGTAAATAGTATTACAGTTGCCTGTGGAAGTTTCTTTGAAAAACGAAACATGCAACATATAACAATACAACAACTTAACGATAGAGTAAAACTTTATGTATACTATTCAAATTCCAAAAATTATTCGAACGTGGTGGCTGCAACTGTCGACATAGGCAAATAAAATGGAGAAAAACGACATGGGGTCTTCTTGGGAAAAAATGTTCCTATATAAAAATCATTGCTTCTAAAATACGGTATTGTTAAAATAATCCTGGTCAGTTCTTTTTTTTAAGAAAACTTGCGCATTTTTCTGAAATCTCAATCCCCGCTAGAAAAAATAGAAATAAAGTTATTCAAAACTTTATCACGATATGTACTTTAATACGAAAAGGTTTGATCTTGATTAATACCGGATGTCTGGGTTTCTCCAGACACAGATCTGCAAAGTAAGGCACAGGAATAAACGAAAGAAAAGTAGTACAATTTAAGAAAACAAAAAACCTGATGGAGCCTACATATACCGCAGCAATAAACAGAAAGCTTTTTTTTTAAACATGGTACACCTGTTGGAACCATAAGAATCTAATGAAGCTCCACAATACTTTTCTGATCTATTAACTTATTCGTTTTAATTGCATTTCTCAGAGTCTTGGAAGATGCAACAGAACGACTAGACTCAGCATCATCTACAAGAAGTGAAAAAAGAGAATACACCATTTACATATTATACCCAACGGAACTTCCCTTTCGCCTTTCGCCATTTCCATCCCTACCGCACACCTATGAAGCACAAAGCAAAGTCTGAAAATTCGATATTCGTCTTTCGGACTCATGTGGAGGGGACAATAAACTGCAAAGTCCGTGCATAGTGAAACGACCGTATATCACAAAATGGCGCTTTCTGCAATTACCCTATTCCATTACCGCTAAGCTTTTCCATGTAATAAATTGCTGTCACACCGCAAAGAGGTAATCCATAAAGTATACGAGTTGAGCTACCCTCGCCGTACACGATATTGTTATCTGTTTCACTAAATCAGCGGTGCCCAAGTGACAGTCGATACGTTAATATCGACAGCGTGAGAAATTATTATCAGTGCAATCACGTGCGCCGTTCTACCTGTTGACCTGACCATCGAGGTCTTACTTAATCAACGGCAACGTAATACGCTGTTCGGATATGTGATTTCCTTTTTTCTTTTTCCAGATACCGGCACCGTAAACTTCGACTCGTTCTGTCGCGTTGCGTCTCACTTCTTAGAAAACGAAGACGAAGAAGCTCTCCAGAAAGAACTGAAAGAAGCTTTCAGATTGTACGACAAAGAAGGTATGTATTCACACCCGAAGTTCACGGTTTCATGGAGTTTATTCTGATATACAGTATAATCGTCACCGTCAATTTAGAAAAACTCAGTCTATTTTGAAGTGTTGAATTTTTTCATAAAACTCCTCAATGCGCCCACCTACAAGAATAATATCATAATCAATAATTACTATGAGAGCAGCCTCCAAAAGAAGTTGGATCTTTCATTGTCTGTTCCTAAATCAATGGAATTGTCTCCTCCTTTTGAATTTTGTATAATTACAGTTCAGGCTTTATTTATATTGGAGCTGCAGACCAGCCATTAGAACAGAGCACCTACGAGAGCAGCTTCCAATTTGTTAAAACCAACAGAACTTGGATCTTCCATTGTCTGTAGCCTCAAAGCTACCGTTCGTAAACCCATGGAATTGTCTCCTCCGTTTTGGTATTTTGTTTATCTCAGCTCCATAATAATCTGCATAAATGTGCTCTAATGTGTGTATGCATTTAAATCGATATAGGCAATGGAAAACGATTTGCTCGGCCACTTTGAATAATAAACTTTCTGTTAGAATTCTTCTTCTTCTACTTGGTTGAGATCAAATGATCTGTTAATTCGGGGCTTGCCGTTGTATTAATTCTTGAGATGTGGACTGCCAGCTGTCTCTCCACTTCTTCGGTGGTCTACCGGTCGGACGACTTCCAACTGGTACTCCCTCGATAGCTATGCGGGGTAATCTATCTAGTTAGAATTGATCGCAACATTAAGTTACGCATTACCTTTTAGAGAACCTTGTTATAGGAATATTTGTATTTCCTTATACACAATAAATATATTGTTAATTGTAATTAATAAACTTTCAACAGATATCCATAAATGGAAACTCAATTGTCAAGCATATTCTTAAATGAATTCGTGCGCTTAACCCACTGACCTATATTCAATATACCTCGAAACAGACAGTTAATATTTATTTAACAAAATCAGTAGAAGGAAGTAATCCTGGTCTTTGAGGTCCCATTCTCGCTTTTCATAAAATTGCTGCAATTTTTATTTCGAGTTCCAATTTTATTGCGTTGCGGATTCAGTTGTATAAAAATTTTCAGGTGGCCAACATTCAGAAATGTCACTAGGATAATGCACAATATGGCTACTTTAACATTTTCCTGTTTTTTTTTCTTATCATTTCCATCACTCCAAGCGAAAACAGAGACCTTAAAAAATGCTTATTTTATTTAAAGTTGGATAACCTGCTGCAATTCGCTTTTATTGCATGAAGGTGAAACAATTACCAACAGCAATTTCAATTCCCTAACATTTACTTTCCATGTGAGAAACGGGCTTTAGAAACATATTTATTAGTAAGTTTAAACGGGTCACTTCTCCGATTATCGCCAACATGTCAATATGAAACTAATCAAAACGTCAAAAACAAATGTTTAAAATTTCTAATTTTGTAGGTTTCAATTTTAACGCCTGGTTAATCAGCTTCTGAAAAGGGAATTTGTATTTGTGTTTCAAATTTTCTAAAGATGTTAATCCTATTTCTTATTAAATAAGGTAATATCTTAAATAAATTATTTTGTAGTATTAGTGGATACTTGTAGTTTTATAGTTATAAATATAAAATTATAAATATTAAAAATTCATGTGACCCTGATTTTGGCTGCAAGAACTTATATCTGTCGCTCTAATGGAGAATGTTTTATGTTACTCTTATTAATAACTTCATGTAATTTTTGCTAGCAAAATAAAGACTGCCGCAATTCTTTATACAACTAAAGAAAACATCACCAGGCTTGTCAAAACAGACCGGAAGAACAAAGCTCACCTCTTTTTAGAAATTTATTCTACGTAGATATAATGTTACCCGAAATTAATTTATTCATTTATTCAGGGTGATTTTTTTTATCGGCGTACCCACCTACAGGGGTTAAAGGAAGTCACAGAGAAAAACTTTTAAAAGTTGTGAAAGAAAACAGATGGTATCAAGTTGTTTAGGCGTTCCGCAAATTGATACTTTTTTTATTTCAATAAATATTGATTGACCAAATATGTTAACAAAAAACGATATTAAAACCGATGGCACCGATAATTAAACGAACAACAATGAAAATATAACGTGAAGTAAATGGGTGTTTTCTATATATCCAGCATTATTTCCCAAACATTTTGTAATATTATTTCTCATTTTATAATGAATCACATTCAAAATAAAGTCTGGATGATCTCTACTGAGCCTGAATATTTCTTGTACTAATTCTCTGGGTCAACACTGAGGTCTCTCATTGTATACTAGGTATTTTAAAAATCCTCGTAGGAAAATATCAATAGAGTTTAATATATCCATCATCCATCAAGAAAAATCGGTCTCATTATTTGGTCGGCCAGATTGCCACAAGATCTACAAAACTGTATTTTTACTGGTTCAAGTTTTATGTCGATTTTCAATTGCCCAATAATGCTTATTTTTCCAATGTATGTTTACCTGTCGCCATGAAAGTTGTTTCATGAACAGAAATAATTTTTGCCAAAAAATCCAGATCCTCTGTTATATGCCTCCACATTTCTTTGAATTTTATTTCCTTCAGATAAACATTGAACTGGAATAAATTTGTAGGGGTGATAATTATAATATTTTAAAGTAGACTGAATTTTGTAATATGACATTCCTAACTGCGCAACAATTTTCTAAAAAGTCATATGAAATTAATTTTATTTTTAATTATTATTCAAAACAGAGCAAAATATTCATATCGTCATCTTTATTTCTAACAATGGTTCCCTTTTTTAGACTGAGGCTTTTGGTTTCATTAAATTAAATGATAATGAAGCTTGAAATTGAATATTTCGTTTTAACGTAAGGTTACACAATATGTCACACGTCTGGCAAACTGGATCAGCATGTATTTAGTTCATCAAAAATTTAAACAGAAATTATTCAAGAACAGCTTATCCAAATATCAACAATTTTTATATTTTTGAAATCAGCAGAAAAATATCTTTCGTCATAACACAAAATATATAGAGTGTTCTATTTAAAAATAGAAAACCTTGCTACTGTTGCTCAACTTTGCGATGTGCATTTGTTTTATTTTACAAGTCTAAAAGATAATACTGCAAAAATTATACCACTTATGTTTTGAATTAAGTTTTTCTCGGTGACTTCCCCATAGGTTAATACGCAAATATAAAAAAATAACCTTTCACGAACTTACGAGACATCGCTTTTGCTTTGCCTTGTTATTTTTTAATGTCTAATGTTTAAGATTAATCTTAACTTTTCAAAGAAACTTCCACAGGCTACTGTGATGCTTTTCACAAAACTTCTGGATTCCTCCTGCGTCGGTTTTTGCTTAGTTGAAATTGCTGACGATAGTTTCAGTCAAGCTCTGAAGAAGCCCACAGTATTATTGGCGAAATATCAGCAATTTCGACTTAGCAAAAACCTACACAGGAGGAATCCAGAAGTTTTGTGAACAGCGTTAATTTTAAGGCTTGGAAGGTTTTGTACACCACCATATAATGTATAATAATAATTTTAAATTCGTAAAAATCTTACCAAAAATATGTTTTTCCCTTTGAACGGCACATGCAAAATATACGACTTCGACCCAGTTGACTTTATTTTTAAAGTTGGCATCCGAGGAATTTTTGATAAATGATCGAGATGAAAATCTCATCAACCTGGTCTACAATGCGAGGATACGAGTTTAAATAGGACGAAAATAAAACTGGCTGAAGCGCTTAATTTTAAAATATAAAAAACGAGTATTTTAATGTTACTAAGAATATACTTTTAATGGCAACTTTTTAGGTAACGGTTACATCCCTACCTCAAGTTTAAGGGAAATTCTTGCAGCCCTCGATGATCAATTGACTAGCGATCAGCTTAACGAGATGATCGCAGAAATCGATACGGATTCATCTGGGACCGTCGACTTTGATGGTTGGTAAACTAATTATAATGTTTTTAACCTAAGAAAATATCCAGTTTCTTTGACTGACTGGCATATTGTAAACTATAACTGAAGACCTCATCAATTTGAATAATATTTTGACTGAACTGGTATATCGTCATTTTTATAAGCAAAATGGAAAAGAATTACGAGATAAATTATTTAAATGCTAGAGTCCGGAAACATTCAACTGATTATGTATGTAATTCTTAAAATCCATTATTTACACTTGACAACATCTTTCAAAGGTTTTAAATAGATGTTCCTAGTGAGAGACAGAAACGCATCTTAATTAAAACTTGTGGTATTTAGCCAAAGTATTTAATTCTTTTACTTTTAAAAATATTTATATATTAGAATTCATAATTTCTGCAGATTTTTCTGAGTTATTGTATGGTGCAAATAATAATGTAGCAAGAAAACAATTAAGAAACAACTGACGTAAATAATTATTTTGACTTCCATGTTTAAAAATGGGTTTAAAGATTTATTTATTTCATGCTTTTCATAAAAAAAAACATATAAATTATTATTACTTGAAGGTTAGTATGATTTTGAAATTATATTTTAAGTTGTTGTACAACTAACTTAAATTACTAATATCTTTTCGATTATTTACCAAATTTAAATCTTTTTAATGACATTCCTTCTCTTTCAGAATTTATGGAAATGATGACTGGAGATTAGAATCTTAAGCAACAATCACAGCTTAAAATAACTATGGAAATCGTTAAATATATCCTTATTGTGTAACACATTTCTTGAAGAATTATTAATAAATGAATTAATAGGAACTGTTATTTTGTGACCTAACAATCCAAGCAGCGCCTTAATCACGACTGGTAAAAAGAAACACATACAAGTTTGCGCCTCATATTTTTAGATTTTATGTAATTCTTGCACATCGCTCACATATTGCTTGGGAATAGATGGATTCACTGGTGTGCTAAAAGGTTTACATGCCACGGCTGACACCCGTTACAGATATGGAATGAGTTATTTCGAACTAAAGGCGGAGTAGAGATAAAAGCTATACAATTCAGAGAGGCTTTAGGAGTTTCGAGGATGTTGAATTAACTTTGAACGTTTGTTGTAAATCCATTGTGAGGTTTCCAGACGTTTTCCCGTTATGAAATCTCCTCTTTAGAGTAGTGGTATATGCGAGTATAGTCCGGCTTGGTAGTAATTTACAATCGACTTTTCTGCGAAATAATAGTGAAACGGATTTAAAGAGAGAAGTGTTATATTATTTTTAAAAATAATATTTCAAATTAAGATTTAATTAATTAATTTAGTGTTAAGCAGTTTAGTTTATTAATGTTTAGTTAATTAATTTATATTATTAGCAGATTTCAATTCCACTTTTGCCTCATTAAATGGGACTTTAAAAACATTTTAAATCTAATCAAATCTAATTCTAGTCTCTCATTTTAATTATATCATAATTGTAACATAGTGGTGAAGACTGATTTGCTACTGCAATTTGAAATGCACCATAATTTATCAGTGTTCAATTAGCCTTATCTTCGCAGCTTACCAAATATAATTGTGACTAATTGTGCCAGAAAAATGCCTTACGAAATCTACTTTTAAATGTTGGCAATAAAACAAATAAAATACAAAATCTTTTCCGTGCCAATATGTTGCTATGCAACTAGTTCATTATAGCAGGAGTAGAAAATTTGTTTAATCAAATTTTTCAATTATGGACATCTACTTAAAGATGTGACAATGTTTAACCAACTAATTAAACTAACGTGTTTCTTAGTAAGTGATAAACAAGTGCGGAATATAATAAGTAAGTGACCATGTCTTTATGTATGTGTTCTGTTGCCCAGTCCAGTTATTTAGTTCCTGTGCCTGTGATATTCGTCATATCAGTTCAAAAGTAGTTGTACTTAAAATAAGTATTTAAAGTAAATTGTAACAAAATAAATAAGAACTAAAAGTTCAGATTTTCACGAAATTACATATATTCACATGACAATTGTTGCTACAATATACACCGAAAAATGATAATAAAACCTTAATTAATGTTGTGAGAATTTAAGTTTAATAATTGAGAGGTATTTAAATCTAATTGACGTTAAGCAACACATTTGAATGTCTCATTTTGTTAATCTCCATGGCTTCCAATAAATTTCATTTTCTACTTTTTGTGGCTGTATGTAAAATATCAAAATTGTCGTACAAAATGTGTTTTCTTATTTAAGTGTATAGCATAATTAGATTCCAAACTATTGTTTTTAAACGCTCTTTTATGTTAGTTAATGCGTTTCTTGAAGGATCTACCTGTTTGTTCAATATAAATTTTAGGACAAGATCCGCATTTCAACCTGTAGACACCTGATTTTTGAGATTTTGGGCACTTAGTTTCATTGTTTTTTCAAAATTTTCCTGTTGTGTTGTTAGTTCTGAAGGCTATTTTAATTTTAATACCGCATTTTGACAAATGTTCTGAAATTTTTTCACTGGGTTTTCCTATGTATGTAATTGTTTTAAATTGTTCGTGTTCTGCATTAGGTTTTGGATAAATAGAGTTTACTGTTGTCTGGATTTGTTTTTTATTTATAATTTTATCTATAATGGACGGATTGTAGCCGTTGTTCAGTGCAATTTGTTTAATGATATTAAGTTGTTTGTTTTTAGTTGAGAGTGGCGTATTAAAAAGGCTGTGTATAAAAGAGTGTGTATAAGGGTGATTTGTAAAACTGTGTCCGTGTGTGAAGGTTTATGGTAAATGGAAAAGTCTCATTTGTTTTGCGTTTTCGTAATAGTATATATATAATAGCAGGTAGTTTGTAAATATTACATTTGATAAAGACACTTTTAGTTCTTATTTATTTTGTTAAATGGATTTTCATCAAGTAAAAGCCATCTCAGTTCAATTTTTAAATTGTAACAAATTAATAAATGCCTAAATTGATATTTAACTAATTTCCTACTAAATTAAACAGTTTAAATAAATTGAAATTTGAAAAAAATTACTTAATTTATAATTTTTGTACATTTTGCTCTTTACTATTTAGTTCATAGTTTCCATAAATAGGATATGATCAATATATAAACCCAATCAGCTTCCAAAAATGTATTCTGTAAACCAACAATTTTTCATTTTAATTGAAAATTCAAACTAAATTGTTTTCCTGATATTTTTCTACGGCAGCGTCGGCCTACAAAAAGCACTAATAAATGTAGATTTATTATTGTAATTGCAAGCTTTTAGAAAGGAAAGGAAAATTTTCATCTAATTTGAAAGACACACGGGTTTTATAATCCGACGGGTGTCGATATTACGGTCGAAACAAAAGGGAAGCGGATTGGACGAGAGTCTTTGGATAATAATTTACCGAGCCCCACGCGAAGAAAGGCATATTAAAATTATCGAATGTCATCCCTCATCAATCTTAATACACGGGAGATTACCTAAGGGAGGGATGCCAAATCCATTTAGGTCAAGGAAGGGTTGAAGGGTACTGCAACTTGTTATTTGAAGTTTGCTAAAAGCTTCTCGGTTTTGGTGAATATACTAGCGAACCCATTGTTATTTTATTAATAGTCCAAACATATGTTTTAATTAAACGGATTTTGCGACCTATAAGACATCTTTAAAAAATGTTTGTATCGATTAAAGTTCCAGAAAAGTGCCTATCTACAGGGTGTAACATAACATATTAGGGTTTAAAATAAAACTTATTTTTTTAAATATTTACAATAAATTAAAAAATTAAATGGAAATCAAATTCAAAATTATAATAATAGAATATTTGAAAATGAGATTTCCGAATCCGGTATTAGCTGAGATTTTTTTACTTCGAACTAGTGAAAGTTCGTTCATTCTGAGTGGGTCATTAATGCTGGTAATGGTTTTTTCTCATTTGTTTTGTCAAAGTTTAAAATGTCTGCCCGTTGTAGGTAATTAGGCACTAATTAGGATTTCTTCTCTGATCGCAATTCTCAAGCACTTTAAAAAATATGTACATGCTGTCAATTTAAATTTATCTACCCGAAACGCACATCCCTTCATCACTACGTTGAAGTAACCGGTTTCTCACCCAAGAACAAATCAATTTACATTGGTAAATTAACCAATACCATATTTTATATGTATATGTATATTCAAACCCGACCGAAGAAAAATTTTGACACAATCTGCTACAAACAGTCACAAAATGGATTCGAATAATAACTAAGATTATCAAATGATTGGAAATGCGCGTTATTAAATGTTATTTAGTTGTGTCAATATAAACATTCTCCTAACAAAACAAAAAAAATTGGGACATTTTTAAAAGTTTGTAGTATATCGTGTCGGTCTCGAACAACGCGTGCAATGGGGCGTGCTTGTAAGAAATTTTGAATATTTTTTAATTCAATGAAAAAATGTCACGCATATTGAATTCCATTATCTGGAAATCTGAAAAGCATGCAGTATTTCGTGGTCAAAGTTCGTATTTGAACGTCCTACCGAAAGCAAATTCCTATCCCTAAAAAACTGACATGCGGTGGAATTTAAAATTCAAAAACCAAGCAGAAAACCTCTAATCTACGTCAAAATTGACACTCGCAAAGAACCAGTAATTTAAACCTGTTCAACAACTTCGTATATTACCATTTTGATTCTTTTATGCCTATTTGGTGGATCGGTAGTTTCTCGAGTCGAACAGGTCTAAACGTTCCTTTTGAAAACTATTTGATGGCGATAATTTCTAGCTAATGGGTTAGCTAAAATATTACCTGGCTTAGACTTCTATAGCTACTCGCGCTTCCACTGCGCGCCTGCAAAAAACGATTGAAAATGTTTGATTAAAGATCTCATATTACGTGGTGAAATGAATGCGAACACTATTGTTGTGTCGGAATGGAGCGTGCTTCTATGTATGCAGCATGGCAAAATCAGTCGATCAAAACCGACCAACTCAATCCCACTTGAGCCTCCTTCAAAAGAAGCTGTCTTATGGGGTCTCCGTCTGATTAGAAAAATTGCAAGGAAAGATCTGGTGCCAGCCAGCTTTAAGCTCGCTTTTCACGCCTTGTGATATCTCACGAGCAAATGTTCAAAAGTTAATAGGGTCATAAATTAAAACTATTCTTTTATATCAGTATCCGTTGTAATGCGTTATTCACTCTTTCCTCCTTGTCTATTGTAATAGTTTTATAATGTTTGTCTTTATTAATCCTCCTTGTTTCAGAGATTATGGCATAATTATCCATCATTAGACCAAAAAGTAAAGAACAGATAATATTAAAAAATAAAAAGATACTAAAAATCGTCAAAATCAACGCTATATTTTTAAATAAACGTATTTAAAAAAAAACGGTTTCAAATGGTAGATGCCTGAATCTCCCTTTATCTTTCGATAATGACAATTTTTATTTCTTTCTTTCATTCTTTGAAATTGACTCAGAATCCCGTCGAATATACTACTTTCAAAATGTGTCACTGTGACACATTAGTGACAGGGCTTATTGATCTAGGTTTATAGGAGACGTCATTAGCCATTACTAATCGAATGAATCAATTATCAACTTTCAATAAAAATTCATAAACTGATACCAAAAATGGATGGGAAAATATTAAGCCTGGATACTGTAAATTATTTCAGTCTAGTTTGGCAAGTCGAACAAGAGACACAAATAACAAAAAAAGACGGAAACAACAAAATATGTGCCAGTTGGCTATTGAAACTATTACTATTACACAAATCTCTAATGTTTGTCAATAATAAGATCCCTCGTTGTTAGATAATTGGAGGATAAAGCTCCTCTGCCGAGTAATTCAGAATTGAGTTCTTAACAATTATCCAATTAATATTTAAATAAATATGGCGCTAATAAAAATGGATTTTTGACTGAATTAAGTACAGCGCTATAACACAGAAATAATATAAATACTATACTATAAATATCTCGATAAATATGATCGAAAACAACTGTTTCATGAAAACACATTTTCTTGACAATCCGTAGCAGAGGCCAAATATTTGCAATATACATGTATTCAGTAATATCATCAGCTATCCGCACAGCAGTTGTGGAAGGATTACTGAAAAATAACGTCATCTTAGAGAATTTTGCTGCTTTTGCTGTTGGAAGAGAAGTACGAAGGAATATTTGGAAATATTGGTGTAATAGGGAACTTGAACATTTTTTTAAATTTTATAATTCATTTGTTTATGTACAGATACCAAATATCAAAACTTGAAACCCAATATTTAAGTTGCGATAAATAATTCAAGTTGTGACACCAGGCTATTCCTTTTAAATGACACTAAAGGCGTGGCATTGATCATGACGTCATACCGCTGTTTTGCGATCATACGGCGACATGTTATAATCTTATTCTCAGGTTATAGGCAGAGAATTATATTATTTAAGTTTATTTTTGGGTTGTTTGTATTTAATCTACACAAAAACAATATTACGAATCTTGCCATCGTATTTGAATGCAAACCGTAAAATGCCATATAAACTTTTTATTTGTCTACCAGAAAATAAAAGCCGTGGTGTTTTGTTAACATTTTGTTCAGGTGTCACCTTAGCTTTAACCGTGCAAACATGTTTAACTCTTCAAACTTGCACCCATCCTATTCCAGTCTCCATATGAGTATCTTCCTGATCTATATAAAATAAAAAATACTTTAAGTTATCAATGCCAATATACTTAAAATCAGTATTTAGGTTTCCTTTTTGTTTTTTTTTTTGTTGAATAATTTAGATTTTATTTGATATACATACCATTGGAATTTTAAAAGCTAGAAAACTTTAAGCTGATTACAATATTATATCGGCTTAAAACTAGTGACCAAATTTTCTATGAACATGCCTTTTAGCTTTAACACCGCGAACCTCAGCAAAAGAAAAACTTTCCGTGTTTTGTATGTAAGAATGTCACCATAAACAAATCTACTAGAGGTAATTATCAGATTGACTTTAGAAAATCGGCTTCTGTCATTTTCAAAACTTTCTTTTTGATACTAAACTCAAAATTACCAAAGCAAGAGACAGGATCAAGACTCAAATAAAAATTAAAACCACCAAGACGAACTCGTTGTCGATCTCGAACGGCTTCTTATGCTTTTACAATTTTTAATTGCTTATATTTGTTCCATAGGACTACGAAATAATTTTGTATTGTAAGCTGTGGTTCTTTTAGTAGTATAAAATTACTTTTATAAGCAATATTTCTCAAATTAAAATTTTGTTCAAGCTCCCTATTGAATTTAGGGCACAGCGTTAAACGTCCACGCAAATTACCATCAGATAGAAAAAAAAAGTGCTTGCTTAGAAAGATAATTTGCTGTATTTACAAATTTACAAATACCGATATGGTCCACGATTTAACAGAGCCACTAACGTTCCAAGAACACTGTGGGTGCAGATTTGCAACCAGAGACAACACAACACTTCATTTTCTAGGATACAGCTAAGCAGGTAACACTAAACACTATTCGCCTAACAAGTATTAACAGTACAACAGGTCCTAGCTAGTCCTAGCTCATTAGAATTAGCCAAATCGTCAATTAACATTCCTACGAATTCAGCAGCAAAATCGTTAACTAGAGTTTACTGAGATTTCATAGCATTGCATGGGCGGAAAGATTGTTGTCCTAAGTAGCGAACTCCTTGGTCTTATCAAACAATACCTATCAACTTATCCGATCCCCAAAAGTTTAGTAATCTGGATCTAGACCATTGATATTAATAAACAGCAGTACGCACAGAGCTTTTGGGCTAATTTATTAACCTTCGCTTATATTTTCAACAGGCGCAAGCGCCATGCATAATATCGAATAAGTTTTTAAGCCGTGGACACGCAAAACTACGTGTCTTATTAACGGAGTTCATAATACCCTGTCAAGCGGGGCGTATAAAAGGATGTCCGTGACACTTTGCAGGGGACCTTTCCTTTTATTTATGGCGTTGTTACAGGGCGCGTGGGCGTTTCATCTTGAAACTGGGGTTTAATACTATTTCCGGGATATTTATCCCGGAGAAGTGAAAATTGACATGGGTACGCAAACAGACCGACGAAACAACAACTAGGTGGTGCGAAAATACGATAAAAGTTCGATCGCGTGTTATGGTTTGCAATAAACCGTGCGTCCAATTTGTTTTGATAATTTTTTCATTGGCTGTAACTTTTTTGTTTTTAAATATACAATGGTAAATAAAAAACAAAATATAAGGTTATTACAACTTACAAATGAAAAATAATCGGAGTTCTGTTCATATTTGGAACTAGCAAAAATAAATTAAATTCTTTATTAATTAACTAGTTGCTAACTGACTTAATTAATTACTATTCTAAATAGTGTTGTATTTGATCACCATTTTATTCAACACATTTTTCGTAAACTTCATTCTTGGCATTTAATAATAGTTCCGAATTATCTCTTAACTGATTGATTGCCAATGTAATTAGTTTCCGATATGATCACAAGAAGTTATCTACCACATGAATTTTTATGTGCCCTTAACAAAAGAAATCCGTTGAAACCAAGTCAACCAATAGTTCCTCCATTCCCTATTCAACCTCAACATTTAGAAAGAAAAATATAATCAGGACGACATGACCTTGTATCTTCTATATACTACATTGTATTGTAGAGGCGTAAATAATCTTTGATCTACACAAAATACACATTTTGCATGCTTCTCTGGCATTTCAGAGATCTTACAAAAATTGTTAGTTTTATATTAAACGTTTCCTTTGGGGAAAACTTAGCTGCTCTCCCTTGTATTTTGATTTTTTATTTACCATGATATCTTTAACAACACAAAAAATCAAAATATTATCAAGATAAATTGAAAGCACTATATAAGCTATTCGTAATTAGAGTGTTCTATTAGGAAGAATTTATTTCTAAACCAAATACAGTAAAACATGACCTGATTTATAGGTCTATTGACTCGATTTTTGAGAAAGAGAAATTGTTAAAAACCGCACTACCACCCGAAATGTACGGCGTTTTTGATTTTTGTTGTTGTTATCGCCAGTTGTTAAAATTTTCAAAACTGGCGATAACATTTTTATTTATTTTTATGATCCGGATAAAACTTTTATTGGAGAAGTTTTTAAGTGCAGTGGCATTTTGCAGATTTTTTCTATATTTGTCCTATTTTTCTAAGTATTAGTACAACTTTCGCGTCTTGTGCAGCAATATACTAAATCCACATCCATATGATTTTTCGAACAATGAAACATATAAAAAATTATAACTTCATATCTGTAAAGAAGTAGTACTTTGCTGCAGGTATATTTATTTGATAAAAGAAATAACCTATTTAATACGGACCAAAATGTGCGAAATTATTTTCTCCAACGGTATTGACATATTCTGAACATATTTTTTACCTTGCTCCTTGTCCTGGGAATATATTCCTCTTTAGAAGATTTTCTCCTCTTGTCTTTCAATATCATCCGAGCTGCAGCGAACGCCATCTTGCTATAGTCCTGAGAAGCACTCCAAGTTTTGTCTCACTCAATGTTTTGACTCATTTTATTCCCACCGCCATCACTGTATTAAGTGCAAATAATTATTATTCCAAATATTTGACCTTTACAGATAATAAGCCGAGGAGAAGCAGAAAAAACAATTTTTACGACGTGACCGAATCTAATTTTAAAATTTGCAAATGTTATTCCTCGGACGAGAACTTCAAGTAATCTCCCAAAGCAACACACAATTTCACTCCTCGAAGCAAGGAGGAAAGTAATTGGTATCGATTTGGTTTTACCTTTAGAATCGCGAATCGAATAGAGCCACTTCGGTTTACGTTTCAACGAACGTATTTGCAAAATTACGTGACCATACTTTGTGCTTTTTTAAGGTCCCGGAATGAATGCGTGCAAAGAGCTGGAAATCAATCAACATAATCGTAAAACCGAACCCGTTCTTGCAAAGAAAGCTAATAAAGTTAAAAAAAAATGCTGCTTGCTGGTACGATTCAGTTATGGTGTAATTGTATGTTTTAACTTTAATTTCTAATCAAACTTCCGATGTTTCATTAAGGCGATAAATGAATGTGTCCAATTTAATATGTTGGACATGAGAGATTGGTGTTATTGGAACTTTAGCTTAGCTCGAATTCTTAACAGCATTTGACATGATCATTTTAAGTCAACTTTAATGTATTAAAAGCCCATAACTCCGTTACGCTATCCAAATTTACAAATCAGTAATGTCCCTCTAACTTTCGCTAATTCTGTTGGTTATCTTGGTACGGTTTTGTTAGTCAACGTTCCTTACATTTCTAACTTAAACTTAAAAGCTTGATTTTATTAATTCTAATAAGACATTGAAGTCAAAACTCATAGTCAAATCAACTGCCTCATTAATTCAAAAATCATGATATTAGAAAGTTCAATTAATCAAAAATTGTAACGTAACTATAATTATTAATTTTACGCTGAAATATTTTATGATGAAATAGAATAGCTAAATTAGGGTAAACCTTTAAATTCTAATATGACATGAATTGTAAATATCGTACAACTCTTGGAGCAATATCCTGTCCTGTTACATTTTGATATTATTATCTAACAGTCTTCAGAAAATTATCTGAGATAAATGATTATCTTTGCTTACTGACATAGACCAGTTTGCTTGCTCATCTATTTCAGGAAAATATTTGGTAAAAAGAAAACATTTTAAACATTTTTACCGTAAGTTTTTATTAAAGATCCGTTCCTTATCCTCATAAGAGGTGAGTTATATCAGCGGCTATAATATTCCCAGAATTTCAGAATGCTCATTGTTAAGGTTCATTATTTTATCTTTTTAACCAGTGGATTTTTCTTTAAATTCTTAAAATAAAGAACAGTGATACACATAATATTTTTGCAAACCTACCTAGTCTACGGACGCCACTGGCTATAAATTTTAAAAATCTACATAAAAACGCGGCTGCTAAGAGAGTTTGTTCATTATTTTATAGAAATATTTAGGAAGTTACATCATCAAGCATCTTATTGTGAACCACACTGTATAGGGAAACCATTTTCCTGTAAAATAGAGCATAAAAATCTGAACCGGAATTCCAAATTAATAAAATTTCAACATTGCCTCACCCTTATTCTGCAGTCGCTGAATACGCGACAGAGACTTTTGCAACTTCAGCGAGTCTACAACATCCACGCATTATATTCATAAGTTTTAATTAACAGCAAAAAAAAACTGCCCTTCCAGATTATTAAACATAACAACCCGGCCAGGTCGTTAGTTGATGAGAGTAGACAATGGGCGAAAATTATGCAGGGCCTCCTCTAATTAAAGGACAAACGGTCTCCGGCTCATCATTAAATTTTCGTCGTGAACATTATTGCCGGGTACTGTTAGTTTTGCGCGGAGCCCTTTTTAATGAACTGTTTAAAAAGTTCTTCTTCGACGTCTCGAGAAAATCCAGTCGAAAAGCCGCAAAGGCAAATAATGGCCGATATTAAATTGTTTTAACAAAATTTCATTTCAATTAAAACGTCTTTCTGCTGGTTTGTTGGCCAGTACCTCCATCAGAACCTGAAAACTAGGCTACCATCCAACGTTTACATTTATAAACTTCCATATCACCTCCTTCTGGTTCCGAAAGAAAGGCAGTTCAAAAACAAATGTGCAGAGCAATGGTGTTACTGTATGTAGTAGATAAATACAAAATAATTATAATTATCCCCAATGCAATAAGGAAAAATGGAACGTCACCTACGCATGATCGAGCTGTTCGGACTTTTGCAGTTTCATATCGTCTTTATAGCGACATTATTGCATCAAAAACTAATGCAAATTTTTCGATTTTTCAAATGAGATTTTAAAAAAAGAGAAATAATAATAATTAAAACTCTACTGATCCTTTGCTCCATTAGTTAAATGTGTTAAACGCTGTACATTATTTGCAGTACATTGGATTTGAAGGAAAATAAAGTTATTATTAATATATTATTCTATACTTTTATTATTATTATATTACAATTGAGCTTTTACACAGTTTATAAAAGTTTGGGTGCTAGCCTCAAGAGTTGAATGAAGAGTGTCAAAACTTGGGTGGTAACGCCACATATCACTTATTTTATTATCGTTGCCTCATTCCAAGGTTCTTGTCAAAAGTTTCTTATCAAATCACAACCGAATAACCTCAAACCCACCCCCTAAACAAGAGTAATATTTACATACATATCATTACCAAATTTCAATAACTCCAAAAGCCTCGGGATATTTTAATATCTTCCACCTATATTTGGATATCGGTTCATTGCAATCCTCCCAGCGAATACGAGAGGTTTTCATATAGCAGCGTGAAAAGTGCTCGCTTTTCAACATTATTGAATAAGTCGTAATATTACGTCAAGCGTTGCAACGATAGCGGCTAAGAACACCCGCAGGTGCAAAATAGGGAATATTTTTCATCTCTTTTTTATCGCGTTTATATATCACACGCTCATCCAACCGTATTTATATTATACATGAAATAGCGACCTTAAATGCCTATGAATTTCTAACGTGCAACGTAAAAGTTACACCGACAATCATTTTCATTATTGTATATCACATAATATAATTTTAACGTTCAACATATGTGCGGCTAATATAACTTCCATCTCATCATATTTAAAGGAAAATGCTGAAAATACACATTTGGCAGGGTGCTTCCTTTATGCGCAGAAAATATTGAGGAAATAAAATAAGTAAATATATATAAATAAGCATATATGTTTTTTATATAAAAATTGTAATTGCGATACATCGCACTTAATATGGTTTTATTCAAATAGTTAAAGTCTGTTCATAGATATAAGAAAGTGACTAACTAAAACGAATTAGGGAAAGACCCGGGCAAACTGTAAGAATGAAATATGGCCGAAAGGTCCGTACTTTGCTTAGAATTTAATAATTTGGGGTTTTGTTGTAAAAGATACTAAGCAATATTTATTTACTTTTATATTTACTTATGTTTAATGCTAAAATAAAATTACAAATTATTTTTATTACCTACTTAAATTACTTCAAATTATTTACATAATATATCAGTATCACCATCGCTATCATCGCCTAATTATTATTTGCAATATGGATATACGATTGTTCTGCTTTTTCTATATGTTTAACAGAATTTGCCCAACTTTTTGAGGACATTGGAGTTAACACGGAGAAAAACATTATTACGATGAATGGCAGATTTCAGTTGGTGCCAAACATGTTCAATGGGATTAAATATACAGTGGTAAGGTGGAAGCCTAAAAACTAGATGCCCTAGATTTTTTGCATAATTATCACAGACGTATTCCTTTTATAGGTTCAAGCTTTGTAGAACCTCAATTAATTACTTTTTGGTATAATTTTCGTGAAAATAAATGTCGTTATTATACATGTAGTTTTGGATTTTTGTTTTTGTGTCACATGAGAAAGGGGTCAACTGTCTACTGTGATAACTTGCATTGTTCATTACAATTATGGTGTTTTGGAACTAGTTTGTTTTTAAACCAACTTTCAAATAAATCAGGGGTGGTGTCCTCATGGTAATCCAGAGAAGAATCTTTAATATTTTTCGCAGACAGAGAAAGTTCATTTGGAATCTTTAGAACCGGCATGCAAAATAGTTATTCTTTTACCTCTTTTTGATGGCGCGATTGTTTTACACTTATCAGTTGAGTCAACCCAACCCTTTTCCGGGATATTATAAGTGTCGAAACAGGTTTCATGCAAGTAAATAATTGGCCTTTGTTGTTCTGTGTAAATCCAATTTTTTTCTAGATATTCCAGTCGCCATTTCCAAATTCTAAAAGATTCCATTAAAACTTGCCTTCTGTCAATTTTTTTAAATCTAAAACCTATGTGTTGAATACACTTCCATAAGGTAGTTCTGCCACATTTAACACCAGCTTCATCTTTTTTAAGCCTCCTAATTAAGATATCTACTGTCGGTACGCTTTGTTCCTCGTATAACTGGTACATTTTATGCCGTAAACTTAAGCTAAGTAGTATACCAAACCAACGAATATTAAACAAAGGTAGGTATAAAATTATTTTCTATTACGGACCAGAATTTTACCTGAATTTAAATTTCGAAACATTAGGTAATAATCTTGTTGCATTGTATGTTAATGACCACCCTTGGATAATCCCATTCAAAAGCAATTGGTCACTTTCTTATATCTATGAACAGATCATACCCTTTACACTGCTTTAAAAAAAAAACGTCCAAATGATATTAGTAAAAAGTTGTTCCATTAGACTTTCTGTACGAAGAAGTTGAACTTTACCGATGGTAGCCATAGCTTTGTACTATATATTCGTCAAACTATTTGCTATGAAGTGCGTAAATTTAATTTTAAATTCATAGAGCTCGAGTTATCCAAACTGGGTTAATCGTTATCGCGATATATTTTCAAACCCTGCCGGAATGTATTATGAATAATTTACCATGTTTGCAATCGCAGAAATATACACATATATTCGTCCCAGTGTGTTTATTTCCTTCGGAATTACATCACACAAAAAATTTCTCTCTGGTGTTGAGGCACTGCAGA